TTGTAGACTTGGCCATGGGGACATCAGGGAGTTCCAAATTTGTGGCTTTCCTTCATAGTAAAGCATAAGTTAAGATTCTCTTGCTTATGGAAGTGGGAGATGTAAGAGGGTTGAAGACTAAGAAATCTAATTGTTCGGGAGGGAAGAAAGGAATACAGCATAATGACAGTGCAGTGCCAAGGTCCCCTGAAGGGTACTGATCCTGAACTTACAATGGCATTCCTCTTGGTGATTTTGCTCCAGTAATCCTTGTGTTTAGATGTAGGTTCAGGGAAGGTGAACAGTGGGGGTTACTTAGAGTTCTGGGGTTGTCAGGAGAATGTGATAGAGGTTAGAAAGGGCAAGGAGGCTGAGGACAGCTGCAAGAGAAGGATGTTTGTGGTGGACCGTGGAGTCTAAAAGGGACAAAGAGGAAAATGATGACAGGACGAGAAAGGTGACAAAGAGGAAATGGTGGAGAACAGTGCATTAGAGGCCTTTTGAGCCAGAGACCCTTTTTTCCATAAGGCATTTAAGCAAGTGAGCCATAGGTATAATCAGAGAGTAAGATTATCAATTGATGCTTTTGGAGACAGAGTTCTAGTGAATTTAAAATCCATGTGTGAGGAAGGAAATTCTGATACATTCATGGAACTTGAGGACATTATGCTGAGTGAAATAAACTAGACAGAGAAGAACAAATGCTGAATGATTCCACTTATATGAAGTTCTTAGCATAGTCACATTCACAGGGACAGAAAGTAGACTGTGGTTTGCCAGGGGCTGGGGGAGGGATGGGAAGTTATTTAATGGGAACATACATTCAGTTTTTCTAGATGAAAGAGTTCTGGAGGTGGGTGGTGATGGTGGTTGTGAATGTGCTCCATGCCACTTACAAATGGTTAATGGTAAGTTTTATATGTGTATTTTACAACATTTATATATATATCAGGTGTGACTCCAGAGTGGGAGGCTGAGGAGAAGGACCTCAGCTATGATATGAGGTGGTGAAGGGAAATTCAGAGGAGAAGGTTCTGAGAGCTGGGGTAGAGAGGGAGAGGCTGCGACCCAGGGGCTTCAGTCTTCCACAAGCAAGGGCATGGTTGCAGGCTGGCAGAGACAGTCCAGAGGAGAGGAGGAGGTGGCAATGTCGACTGGAATGAGCATCGGGGGAGCAGATCTGACAATATGGCTGGGTGTTTTAGAGGGATGAGGAGCCTCCCACTCCACCTTGGCTCTGAGATACACACATGGTAGAGAAGGAAGAGAGGCAGTAGGGGAAGCATGGTGTTGGGGGAAAGCCACATTCCTGGTAAGGCAGGGAGGCAGAGAGAATTGTCTAGAGAAGACAGACTATCGGACATCCCCAGGGAACACAAGAAGGAAAGGGATGGTGGCAGTGGTTGCTGGATGACTGTTTCAACAGGGAACTTGAGTTTAGGAGACACGCAGGACATCAGTCCCAGCCTCCTGCTGCTGAGGTGTGGATAGGATTTGAAGCGTGAGGAGGTACACTGCAGTTCTTGGAAGCAGAGTGTGTGATGGCAGTGCCTCTCCCATTTAGCTCAGAGATGAACTGAGACACAACACAGTTTCCCAGAGAGCCAAACTAGGAACCTACTTACTGTTAGGTCAAGGCAGGGGGGAAGCCCATGATGCAAGCATCTGCAAGGTGGATGGTGACAAAGATATCTGGCTAGCTGGAGCCTTCCCAGGGCCTTCCTAGACCCCTGGCCTGAGGCAGGAATTCCACACCTCTCATGCCCTCTGCCCTCCCCTCCCTAAACAGCTGTATAAAAGAAGTACCTATACCACCTTTTGGTGCAAACTGCCCTGGCCCACCCTCAGACCAGCGAGCTTCGCCCTTTTTAATGGCCTGGACTCTGTGTCTTGCTTTTGCGTCGCAAACCTCTCAGCTGGAACCTTACACTTACCAACCCTGCCTTGCTCATTTCATGGACAAGGAAAGTGAGGTTAAGAGAGGACAAATGATTTTCTCAAACCAACCTGGGATTTCCTGTTTTCCACCTGGCTGTGGAATTTCAATAGCTCAAGGGTCCCAATGGGGTACTAAAGAATGTTGAGCACCATGAACTGCCCTACAGGGTTAGTAGTAAAGGAGGTGTTGCAGGGAAACAACTCATGGAAGGGGAAAGGGTGGGAATGAGGGGAAATGAGTGAGAGGCCACAGGAAACCCATGCCAGACCCACATTCTCTGATTGGCACTTGAAACTGTGGAACTGGCCAAACAGGCACCCACCTTCCCTCTGCCTGCCTAGAAACAGCAAAGGCTCTGTACCTTTCCCAGCACCAGGTCACTCTGGCAGAGAAGCAACCTTGTCCTGTTAATAACTGAGAAAGCCCAAGGCTGACCAGCAGAAGCCAATTCCTTCCCTCATGGTTGAAGATTTAAAAACCATGAAAGGAAACATAAGAAAAATTTTTTTGGGGGGGGAGGGATCTTCAGCAGTGGAAGAGGGTAGTTAGGACAGGGTAATTGGGAAATTTTATACCTATTGCTGGGCCATATCTGAGATAGATCATTATAATTGTCTATGCTCTCCAGCTATAAGCAGATGCTGGATTTCTTGCATTTGTGAAATGTCCTGGTCACTGGGAAGAAACATCTTTTGGTTTACCTAATTAATCCAGATCCTGCAGAACTGACCCCGTGGGTGAAGAGCCATGAGGAATGTGACATTTGGGAGACACTCTGAGCCCTGATCTCAGGGGTGAGCTGGACCAGGACCCCCTCCCCCATTCCCTCTTTATTCCATTTGTTTTCTAAACCCTTATGAGTTTATCTTAAGAAGTCTGAGGGAAGCTGCAGAGTCTTTTCAGAATACAGAGTTGGGAGCAGGTATCCTGGGTTCTCTGGTGCTCATCTGGCAAATACTAGGTATGCCGTGTATCCCCATATCCAGTGGCTATGCCTTTGTTCTAAGGGGCTAGCTACTTCCTATCTCATCCACTGGCATTGTGTTATGAGCTGAATTGTTTCTGTCCCCACCCCAATTCATAAGTTAAAGTCCTAACCCCCAGTAGCTCTGAATGTGACTGTATTTGGAGACATGGTTTTTAAAGAGGCCATTTAAGAAAAATGAGGTCATTCAGGTGGGCCCTCATCTGATAAAACTGGTACCCTTATAAAGAGGGAGAATAGGACCCATGTACAGAGGGAAGCTGTGTGAGGTTGCAGGGAGGAGAGGCCTTTCCAAGCCCAGGAGAGAAGATTCAGGAAAAACCAACCCTGACAACACCTTCATCCTAGACTTCCAGCCTCCATAATTGTGAGAAAATAAATTTCTGTTGTTCAAACTGAAATGTTGAAGCCATTTAAAAATAGAATTAGGGAAGCCTTGCATATCTTACTCATCCAATGTTTGGAACATTTGAACTTGGAAAAGTAATCTTTGGACTGGGCCAGACCAAGATTGTGTAGTTAAAGAACGTAAAGTTAAAGAATAACAGCTTAATAGCAACTTCAGAAATTTTTCCTATATCCATGTGATTATGTAATGCCCAAGTGTCATAAACCCCAAAGACTACCAGGGAGCCGAATCCGATGCAATTGCAGAAAGCCTGTATTTATTTCGGACTAGTCCGAGCTCAGTCCCACTTACACCAACGAAGGCATGGCGAGAAAGAGAAAGAATTTAACATATCAATGGGTTTTATAGGGAGGGTGGTGTCGCTACCTTGGCTGACCTGATTGGTTGGGTTAGGCCTAGGGTCCATTTACCGGGAGCTGGACCCGCCCCACCCTGCCCCCTCATCCCGCCCTGCCCTCTCAATTACCCCCCTTCCTTTTCCTCAGAAAGACCCCTTGCCTTTACTCTCTAATCAAAAAACTATTTGGGTTTGAAGATATTCAGTACAGGTGGCCCCACATGTGTCACTTTGGCATTTAAATTATTTTGAGCTGAAGGCAATCAAGACCCTGCAGTCTCAGGAAAAACGTTTACCTCTCCCTTACATAATTTAAATTTGGGTCCTTGCCCAGAATAATTTACCATCAGAAGTAACTTTTTATGACCTACCTAGATAGTAGGGTGGGGCGAGGCTCTAATTACTGAACATAGGCTCTTCTTATTGTACCCCAGTGACTTTCCTCCTCTCTGAAGCCCCAAGGCGCCTTACCTCATCCTGAGCGCCGAATGCCAAATATATAATTTTCCCTTTCTGTCTCTGAAACTGTCATGTATGTGGGGTGTCTGGTTCTCCCAGGTCTGCAGTGTTCCCATACATATGTATGGAATTAAATTTGGTTATTTTCTCTTGTTAATCTGTCTCATGTTTGTTTGAATATTAGGCCAGCTGAAAGAACCTAAAAGGGTAGAGGAAAATTTCTTCCTCCCACACAGGTTTCTGCCTGAATCAGTGTTTTCCAAATAGCTTTTTTTTTTTTTTTTTATCTCAGATAAACACATGTTACTTCTTAATTTGGTCTTTAATTTCCAGGTTAACAAAAGCAGCCAATCCATGTATTTTGTTATGGCAGCCCAAGCAAACTCTTACAGCGTTTCTGGGAACACCTTATTAAGTGGGCAAAAGGGCTATTTTTTGGCATACACCCTTCTCCAGGACCAAAGGGCAGGATGTTTGTCTGAATGGAGCTCCTCCCTGACCCTTCCAATCCACACTAAATACCCACCTGAACTGAAATGTGCAGAAAGTTGTGTGGGAAAGGTCGCTGTCAGGTGCTGAAGCGTGTACTTGTTCCTGGTTGCCTGTGAGAGGAGAATGGATAAATGTGGCTGCCTTAAGGCTGAAGTCAGTGCATTTTGGATTTCTTTAATAAAAATAAAAAACAAACAATGTAGCCTGCAAAACCATGTAAAGTAATACAGGCTTCTTACAACAGAGCTCAGGAATGTCTAGTCCTTTTCGGAGCAGCCACACACATGGTCTTCGCCTTAGCCTATGGGAACAAATAATTGACAGAAGAATTGAAATTTTGGAGCAGCCCCAAGGAGGGGCCTGTGCGTGTGGGAACACATCCTAAGCAGCTGTCCTGAGTATGAGTAATCTAACTGCCGTGGCGTCACCACAGCTGGCCGCTGTCCAAGCTCTAAGCGGAGTAATGACTAACCAGTTTCCTCTGGGAGGGAGGAAACAGTTAAAATCTTGCAGCAGCTGCAATCACCTGGGCGTGGCTCTCTTGTCTGACTTTGGCTTCAAGGATCCTGGGCCTAGGAGCAGAAGCAGGAAAGCTCGGGCCGCCGGCCGCTGTGCATTCCGGATGGCCGAGTTGGACCTGATGGCCCCAGGGCCACTGCCCGGGATCGCAGCTCACTCCCTGGTCACTCTCAGTCCAGACTCTGGGTCAGCCAGCCCAGCAGAAGAGGATAAGGAGAGCCCCCAGGGAGAGCTGGAGAGGTCGGGCGCTGGCTCCCAGGATGGTGGCGGTGGTGAGGAGGAGATCCCCTGTGACTTCTGCCTGGGGACCCAGAGGGTGAGGGCGGTGAAGTCCTGCCTGACTTGCATGCTGAACTACTGTGAGGAGCACCTGAGGCCACACCAGGAGAACAGCAAGCTGCACAGCCACCAGCTGACCGAGCCGGTGAAGGACCGGGACCTGCCCATCTGCCCTGCCCACCACAGCCCGTTGGTCGCCTTCTGCCGCCTGGATCGGCAGTGCATCTGCCAGGAGTGTGGCCAGGACCAGCACAAGGGCCATGCCTCAGTCTCCTTGAATGTTGCCCGCAGGGACAAGGAGGCAAGTGCCAGGGCCCCTTGGGAGAGGGAGGTGGGGAGACTCTGTGCCCCGGGAGGGGCTGAGCCACACTGCTCCTCTCAGGGTGCTCACTTCACTTCTGAGCTCTGTGTTTACCTGAGAAGGACTTGACCCCAGTAGCCGGCTGTGCCCAGTGTCAATATCTGTTTCATTTGGCTTTGGAAATTGAAGTAGGTCACTCTGTCCCCATGGAAGTCCTGCTGCCTCTGTTCCGTCTCTGCTTGTATCTCTCTCCTCGTGCTGGCTTGTTTCCTGCTGTTTTTCACGCAGCTTCCGTCCTTGTTCCATGTTTGGATGTGGGTGGGGTGCAGAAGCTGTGGGGTTCAGGGCACAGAGACCCTCTGCCTAGGTCTCTGTGGCAGTAAATGAAATGCAAAGCTCGGCACAAATTCCAGAAAAAGAATCAAGCCTTTCCCCTAATTTATCTTCTTCCCTCTCCCACAAAGAGGAGACCCGTAGGACGTGCCCCTTAGAGGTACCAGGGTGAAATTCAAGAGCTTGAAAAGGGCTAAGATAACAAAGAATTGGAAACTTACCTCCAGGCACAAAGTCAAGGACACCTGACTCAGGGAAAATGCAAGTTCCTTATCAGATAGAGGAATCAGGAGCACAGAAAACCCTGTGCTCATAACCTGTAATTTTATTCCCGTCAGATAGGGAAACTGTTTCTAGAACAGCTAGCCCTAAAGCTGAGAGCCTGGAGTTCTTGGGAATGGATTTAGCAACTTTGTCTACTTTGTTTCTCTGCCTTGAACTTCCCAGAGAGGAAGTGCAGTTGCTTTTGTCCCTCATCCCTTGTATTCTCACTGCTGGCTATTTCTGCGATGCTCACTGCTCACAGGGCAGGCCCATGGTTGTCAGTGGACAGCAGAGGCAGCAGGCTTCTGGGAAGGGTAGTTTACTTGCCAGGCCCCCCCTCACCCCAACCCCGCCTTTAGGCTTAGATCCCATTAGAGTTAGTGGGAACTGTTTTGGAAAGCACTGTAGTCCGAATGCTAGTGAGTCTCCATTTCCAAATCTGGGAGCCACTCACCAATAGTTCCTAGAGTTTCCAGTCTCAGGGAATGTCACCCATTTCTCTACTTTTATAACCATGGACAGATTCCCATGAACAGATAGAGGGTCAAAGGGAAAAGCTCATATAACTGAGGAAATTAGTCTCCACTGAGCACTGCTATGTGTGTACTGCTCTCCGTGGATTTTACCATCTAGTCCTCAAATAACTCTGGGAGGTAGCGATCTTTTGTCTCCACATTAGTCTAAACTTGCACAGATGACTAAGTCATGGGGAGGGGAGTGAGAACTCCTGGGAGCCATCCCACTGGAGGAACCCCAGGGAAGAACCCCAAGATCACAATATGGTAACCTGACTTTTTTTTTTTTGTACTAACAAGCCTACCACACATATAGTAGAATTATTAAGACAAAGTGCACTGCTTTTTCCTTGAGGTATGATAAATCCTCTCACTTTCCCCGACTGATGGACAGAGAATGACGTCCGACCATTGACCTGGGAAAAAGAGTGCTTAGTCAGGGAGGGACAGGTTCAGGGTTGTAAGGAGGTGGCAAAAGTGGGACTTGTGGAGAGGAATCATCCGCTGAGCTGAGTCGAAAGAGTCAGAAGACAGAGAAAGGGGTTTGAGAGGGCAGAGAGGACTTTACGAGGAGGATCTGATGGTGGAACATGAGGAGTAAAGCGAGGGGCGAGAGCGGGAGGGTGGAAGAGGGGTTAGGGGATGGAGAAGCCTGTTTGTAGGGATCTGGAATGCTTTCCAATCCGGTGGCAAAAATTACCTAGGTCTTGGAGGATATTGAAATCACAAGTGCCATTTTCAGGCCACAGAGAGACATTGTCAAGTTTATGTTGTGGCCAGGTAGAGCTTCTTTAGTTTGATGTAGCCAGAAAGACCAAGGGTCGAGAGATTGGCGAGAAGACACCCTAAAGGTGAGATGAAAAATGAGACTGAGGGCCGAAGACCAGGACACAGGCTTTATTAGAGGAGAAGACCCTTGCCAGGCTACCTTCCAAAGGAAGAGAGAACACATGAGCAGGGATGAAGGCACCTTTTGAGGAGAGGAAAGGGAAGGGACGGGGCTTAGGGCACTCAGCACACACTGATTGGTGGTTTCATATAAGGCACATAATTAGGGACTTAGGAATCAGGGGCTAGGGGATTTTGCAGGGGCTGATTGGTGGTTCAATGTATAGTCCATATAAGGTAGCTAGTTAGGTGCTCAGGAATGTTCGGGCTGCAGGTGGAATTTACCTCATTCTCCGTCCATCAGTTGGGGGAAGGGAGGATCTATCAGGGTATAATGTCTGGATTCCTTACACTTTACTGGAAAAGTGATGTGTGCACATGTTGAAAAGCAATCTCCACCAAATATTGCAATAGATTATCCTGCATTTCCATCTCCCTCCTTGGAGGCATGCTACTATCTACACTTTCTTCTGTTTTTTAAGTTTAATTTAAAAAAGATTTTAATCCTTACCTGAGGATATATATATATATATATATATATATATATATATATATATATATATATTGCTTTTAGGAGAAAGTGGAATTGAAGGAAGGAAATGGAGAGAGGGCGAGATAGAAAGAGGGAGAGAGAGAAAGAGGATGAGAAAGAGAACTCAAACATCATTGTGGGATACATCCCTTGGTTGCTACTGGCTGACCCCTTCACACACCCCATTGGAGACTTGGAGCAAACCGGCAACCCAGGTGTGTGCCCTTGACTGGACATTCAGTGTGTGGACCGATACACTAACCACTGAGCACACCACTGAGCATGGCCAGGGCCCTTCTATTTTCCTGAAGGAATGTTCTATGCCTATAGCAGCAAAGACACAGAATGAATTTTAAACGTAGTGTGTATTGATGCATAAGAGATTTAGGGTAACTGCAATTCTGAGCAAAAAGTGTAGAGCATGTGTGGACCCCCAAATTCAGAGACCCTAAGGGGACTGGTAGGATAAAGTGAAGACAGCAGGGTAGGAGTTCTAGGGAAGGCTTTAGTGCTTAAAAGCAATCATGGTTATGAATACAGTGCGACAGCGCCAGACCCCAGATTTTTGCTGATGGCCCCAATTCATAGGCTCTGCTTTCTGGTCTGCCTAAGAGAATTCTTGTCCTGCTCACCTGCATCCTTATTTTCAGCTCAAATAGTCAGTTTACTCTGTCAATGGCAACACACTCTAGATGGCTTTGCCAAATCTTAGGAGCCAAAAGGTTGTCTGCAAGGAGCAACTGCCACCAGGATTATTTTGTAAGTTTTATTAGATAACATTACATTCCCTTCAGCTGGCCAAAACCTGCTGGCATCACTTGCTGAAAGTCACTTTGAATTGTGTTAAGGGCTAATTACTCAAGCAAGCATGTTGTGCATAGAAAACTGTAAATAGCATGGTCAGCCATCAGGACACAAAGTAGCTGAAATCCGCATCAGCCCAGAGCAACTTATGCCTCAGTTACCCAGAGGAGCCCTTTCTGAAGCTCCCACAGCCTTTAGCTATGCCAGGGAACAAACACGAGTTTGGGAGTTCTGGCTGTTCTTGATTATTTGTTCTATCCTGCAAATAATCGAGAGCAGCCAGAACTGCTCTGAATGGGACCTCAGAGCTTTCCTTTGCTCCAAACCAGCTTCCCAAGACCCCTTTGCTCCTAAAAGCCTCTGGTCTTACCTCCTCTCACTCCTCCAAATCTCAGGCTGGCTACTGTGGGGTTGTGTTACGTGCATGCATGGTCAAGTGTGCATTCTCTGACTGCTGTCCTATTTGTTCTGCCCCATGAAATGCACTAGGTTCTTTCCTGTTTTTCCTCAAGTTTATCACTTACTATGGAATGTTTCCTATGGGCTGTGTCCTCACGGCTGGCCATGCTATTTGCCCTGTCTGTCCTTAGGGACAGGAAGCCAAGGCACATTCTGTGGCTCCCTGGAATGCCAGAGGGCTGGGCAACACAGCTGCCACGTGATCAGAGAGGGTGTGGTCGTGGCGCTGAGGTCAGGGCAGGCAGGGTTCTTGAGGGAGGGAAGACTGATCTGGGCCCTGACTCAGATCTTGAATTCCATTAGTTACAGGCCACTGCACTCCACATGAGCACAGGTTCCGGGAGCTCAGGACTGTGTGCTACCCGCAGACACTGTCTCCGTGTGGGACAGGAGCCCAGCTTCTGAGAGCTCAGAGCTCGATATCAGTGCATCTCTGGGAATCAGTGAACCAGCGTCACTCACAGCCTGTTTGCTGGCCTCTGGGAAACAGTGATTGAAGGCGTCTCAGGAAAAGAGTTTCTTCTAGAAACTGAGGAATGCCTCAGACTTAGTCTTATGTAACTTGTTTTTCATAAACGTTCCACAGGCTATGTGTCTTTCAAGAGCAGGGAGGATGTCTTATTTCACTGGACTGGCATGTGGCCAGTTGTGACCGATAACTGAGGAGTGAAGTCAGGTGGGAACCAAATGCAAACACTCCTGAAGGACCAGCATCTTGTGGTGGAAAGTGCAAAGGAAGGACCACCATCTGGAATGTTCTGCTCTTTTTTCAGGCTCTCTGCTCTTCCTATTTGCATCTCTAATCTGGTTCCTGGCTACGAGTTGGGGGGGGGGGGGGTGCCTTTGCCCTGTAGATAGAAACGAGGACAAATCTGTAACGTAGTCTTGTGGCCCTGCACCAGAGGGGACGCTAAATGACTTGGTGAAGATAGTGCAGGCAGCAGCCAGGTCTCCAGACCCCAGATATGGTGCCTTTTGCACATTTGTCATTGCCTCCTGAAGTAGGCAGGACGCTATGCCATTCAACATGGGGCTGTCTCTACGATTAACACTGCTGTCCTGTTGAACACCCTGGCCTATGCTATGTATGGCAGGCACCATAGGAAACCCTGAGACAGAGTCTGAGCCACACCATCATTTCTGAGGAGGAGGAACAACTGGAGATACTGGTTTCTCAAAGTGACCCCACCTTTTGTGGTAAATAGGAGTGACTTCCCATGGGGTGACTCACTCAGAGAGGTCACCCTTAGGCTCGCAGGAGCCTTTTTCTCCTTTTATGGTGGTGTGCAGAAGTGAGAGAAGCGCCTCCCTGCAGACTCTGGGGTCTCCCGTGACTCTGGCTCACGCTGGGGCTCCCTGCTTCGCCACATTGTCTCATTGTCAGGGTGCTCTGTTGTGTCGGCATCCACTTTTAAACAGCGGCTCATGTTCCTTCCCTCCTCTAGAAAAGGTCGCTGTGTAAACCTTTTAGACCAGCAATCACCAACTGGTGGCCTGCGGACCACTGGTGGTCCAAAGGTTCGAAAGGCTGGTGACTGCTGTTTTAGACAGATCAAGATTCCACAATTGCCCCCAAATAGGGCAGACCCCCTCCCCCATCCTCACTCCTGGGCATCAGATCTCTGGTCTCAGGAGTGGGAGGGAGGTCACTGGGGTTTCCTCGGCTCAAAGTCAGTGCCCCAGAGCTGAGCTAGCAGCACCTGCCTGCCAAGGCTTCCTCACTGGGAGGCCTGGGTGTCCCCAGGGTTCAGTGGGAGAAAGGAGAGACACTTTGTTTGTAGCCTGAGTTCTATTAGGGCACAATGGCTCACAGCTCTGAATGCAGACAACCTATTAAAAGCAATGACAGCTAGAGCTATTCTTTTTCTTTTTTGCTGCCTCATGCCCTTGTGGAAGCAGGAAAGTGAGAGGGCCTGGAAAGTTTTCAAAGGCTTATGTTTCATGCCTTGGCACATTTTGTGGCAGAAAGTACTCAGGGTGTCCCAGGAGATGAGAGTGAAGCTGGGCAGCGGGGTCAAAGCAGGCACACCGAGGTTCCCAGGCGGGCATTTGCCTTGCTGGCTCACTGTGCCCTCCTCCAGGAGTGAACAAGAAGGCGCGGTGGAAAGCAGCTGTGGCAGCAACAAGACTAAGAATACTGGCGAAGGTGATGGCATCGCTGGCATCAATTCAGCATTTACAATGCTCTGGCTACTGTGCAAAGTTTTTATTAACACACACTACCTCATTTACCCTCACAGGAACCCTGCAAATTAGGACTTCACAGGTGAAGAAATGGTGGTCCAAGGTGTTAAGTAGATTTTTTTTTCCAAAGTCTCAACTGTCAAGTAGAAAGCCTGGAATCCCCTCTATCAGCTCCAAGCCCATGCTCCTTGCTAGGTTATTCTGGCCTGGGTCAGATGACCTGGTTCAATTCCATGGTTGCTTAATGTTATCATTTGTAAAATGGAGATAATGATCTTAACCTAATATGGGTGTGGTGAGAATGATATGAGGTAATCTATATAACAGCTTAAAATAATGACAAGCATGCACCATGTATATGCTCCCCATATTATAGCCAGTTCGAGCTGCATTCAGCTCCAGGATGTGCTGGCACACAGATGATCCTGGGCACCTCCATTTAGGGTGCTTTGTGCTGACTTTGAGAGCAGCTTCCGAAGTCAAACTCTCTTTTCCATGGAAGTTAAGTTCAAAGTGTTATTGCTCCTGGGACCTTCTGTGCACGCTGGACTCATCCTACTTAATGCTGTCCTTTTCTTTTCTTAGGCTGAGCTTCGGAGCACCCAGCTAGACCTGGAGCGGAAACTCAAGTTGAATGAAAATGCCATTGCCAGGCTCCAAGCCAATCATAAATCCGTTTTGGTAAGGCTGGTCTGGGTCACCTGTCAGGCTTCAGTACACATCTGGATGCAGCTGCAGGCTCAGCAAGGCTCATCTGGGTTATAGAACATGGGGCTTCAGGTCCAGGGGCTCTTTGGGGTCTCTCAGCTAATTTTCTATGAAATTAGTTTAAGGCTCAAAATTGGCAAGTGAGTTACTTTTTCATAATATAGAGTAAAAGCAAGACTAGCATTATTTTTACATTTACATATTCTTTCTTGAGCAGGGGAAAAGTGTGTGGGGACAGCAGGGAGTGTTTAGATAGAGCTCCAGGAACTATACATAACTTTTGCCTTTCCACCTGCATGTGTGTCACTATGTCCTGGCAGCCAGAAAAGAGCATTGGAAACTGCTGGATTAGTGGATGGTGGTTGTTAAGGTCAATGGTGTGCAGGCTACTTAGTGTTAGTCTCTCTGGTTTTGTGACCACTTTCCATATAAACTGTACGTAGACCCAAACAGTCCCATAAATTTTTCTCATTAGTGGCAAACCAATAACCACTACTCAGAAGAGAACTCAATATACCTACCCATCCATCCATCCATCCATCCATCCATCCATCCATCCATCCACTCATCCATCCACTTATCCATCCACTCATCCACCCACTTATCCATCCACTCATCCATCCATCCATCCATCCATCCATCCATCCATCCACTCATCCACTCATCCACTCACCCTTCCATCCACTCATTCATCCATCCCTTCCTCCATCCACCCACCCATATATAATGCATGCATTCATTTCAAGTTAATTTCCTCCTCAATGTTTACAACTAACTAGCTGCTTTAGGGTAAACACTTCTTTCTTACCCACATAATCATATGAAAAAACAAACAATTGCCCATTTGAAGCCTTGTAAACCTCCAGAGATTGTTGATTCCCAGGCTCTCCATAATAGGAGAACCACACAGTGCACCTTGCCTTTTCCCAGTTCTTTCATTTTCAGACACTTACATCCCTACCCAGCTCTCTTCATAATTGCATGGTAACTGGCGGAGGTGGTTATCATCAAGTCATCATGTATAAGAGACATGAAGATAGAGATATGATAAGACTTGTCTAAGGCCTCCAGACTGATGGAACAGGTGAACCTGGAACTGTCCCTCCCTTGACCTAAGAATGACTCAGTACATGCGCACCACCCTCTTTACACCATTACCTTTGGTACTTCGATATATTTGTGGCCTTTCCTTTCCATAATCTTTATTTGTCATCATTTGGTCAATAAATTAAATCCTTCACACATTCCATTTACATGCAAGGAAGAAGTATTTCTCCATGGGAATGTTTAGGAGTGAGAGGCTACCCATAATAGCAGAAGAGTAAATCCACCAGCATCATTTGAGGCCTCCTGTCTACAACTCTTCCTCAGGAGGACCCCTCTCAGGAGCGGGGTTTTGAACCATAAAGTTTGTCTTTAGTCTAATGCCTCTGAGCTTCATGAAATCATGCTTCTATGAGGAACCTAAATGTCATCATCATTATAGGGAGTAAGTGGATTCCCCTCCTTTCCCACAATATCCCAGGCCAAACCAACATTGTATTGCTAAGGCAACAGGAAAGCAAACATCTGACCAGAAGGACTGAAAATTATGGACTCTCTTCCTGAAGAAGAATTAGAAACCAGTCATGTACAGTTAAAGAGTGACCCAGCTTGTTAGCACCAACAGAAGTTTCTCTTTTTCCTATTCATGTAGTTATTCCCTTCTTTTCTCATAATATCCCCTTGCCCTCATCCTATAATTGAGATTCCGGGTTTATGCCAGAATTGGTGTTCTATGAGCTGCAATTCTTTTTAATTCCAAATAAATGCTTGTTGCCTCTGAGGAAAGAGTGAAAATAGGAAATATATAAAATAAAGTCACTTTCACAAGCTGCTGACATTATTGACATTATGGAGCTGAGGCATGAGGCAAGACTCTAATCTTGTCCTAACTATCCTGGGAACTTAAGCTTTTTGAACTTTCCAGTCCTGTGTCAATGCCTGGATAGCCATCTGCATACACCAGACCCCCAGGAACCCCATTTCCGTCCTGAAGGGCTCACATGCCCGGGCTGCCTGACATCAGAGTGACGTTATTATACAGACCACTGGATGCGGCCAGAGCCCCTGGCACCCATATCCTAGCTTACTTGGCATCCAGCATCCAGACCGCCTAACAGCCAATTCTAGAGCTAAGAGTGTATGGCTCATTGTTCATGAGAATACAATATTTTTACTATATTTTAAAAAATCTTAACTATCGTATAAGAGTACAGTTTACCAGAAGAACTATAAGCACCAGTACTTAAGAACTACCAAAGAGAAGCAGAAGCCATTCACCACTTGGACTGACATTGTAAATGTGAGACTGACGGAAGGCATTTATATGACATTCACCTGTGAAAGAGCAGAGTCCCACATGCACAGTGCCACGTGATCACTATCACTCTGAGTTTGCTTATCTGTTATTTGGATGTGGCACTCACTCTGCACTGAACACACCCTAAACATTCATGCCGGGCAGGATGCCATAAACTTAACTTGTGCTTTTGGTGCTGATGGCCTCAGTGAGCTGGGTAAGCAGATATAACAAAATGCTAAGGAAACTAATTCATGCTGCATATTTGTACAAAGATGCCAAAATATTAGTTAACCTCAATAAATATAACTCTAAAGTACACTGAATTCTTGGAAGAGAAATTGATTTCAGAACGTTGAACAGCAGCCCAACTGTCAGAGCTGGAAGGTGTCTGACACACAGACAAATTCACTCTCATCCCAAGTGAATGATGTGTACACAAGAACTTTTACCTGCTGGGGAGTAAATCTTTTCAGAACCCAGGGTTCATATGAGAACCAAGCTTCCTTTTACAATAGAAACTTGTTCCTTAATCTGTTTATCAGGTTTACACTTCCATACAGTGGACACCTTGCTAACAGGTTCTTTGCTGTGCCCCCTCCCCACTCGGCAGGTGTCAGTGTCAGAGGTGAAGATGGTGGCTGAGGAGCAGTTTGGGGAGCTCCTTGCTGCCGTGAGGAAGGCCCAGGCCGACGTGATGCTCTTTCTGGAGGAGAAGGAGCAAGCCGCTCTGAGCCAGGCCAATGGCATCAAGACGCACCTGGAGCACAGCAGCGCGGAGATGGAGAAGAGCAGGCAGGAGCTGGGCAGGATCGCTGCCATCAGCAACACCGTGCTGTTCCTGGAGGTGCGGCTGGGAGGTGTTCTTGGACCACCAGGGAGTGAGCTGCTCTCTGATCAGTAGGAACAAGGGGGAACAGAGACAGGGAGGCAGGACTTGATTCAGCAGAGCACAGAACAGGAAGGGCAGAGGAGGCTTCGCAGAGCCAGAAGCTGGAACCAGTCAGGGCAGATGAGTACTGCTCAGAAAAATCTTTCAGAGGTTAGAGAAAGCATGTATACAGGTGTGTGTGTGAGAAAGCACCCTGATTTGGAGGGTTGGGTGCTTTCCCAGAGATGGGAGAGGAAGCTGGCTGTGAGAGACCTTTGCTCTTCATCAGGGAGTCACAGAAGCTGTGAAGGACTGCAGATGGGGGAGGGATGAACTCGGAGAGTGTGCTTTAGAACCACTGTGATGTGATGAGGCCTGCCTGGCAGGGTGAGGTTGGAGGCCAGTTACATGTGGGATTGAGGAAGGACCCTCGAGGAGAGACTTTCTTTCTTTCTTTTTTTTTTTTCTTTTTTAAAAAATATATTTTATTGATTTTTTACAGAGAGGAAGAGAGAGGGAGAATTAGAAACATCAATGAGAGAGAATCATCTATCAGTTGCCTCTTGTACACCCCCTACTGGGATGTGCCTGCAACCAAGGTACATGCCCTTGACCGGAATCGAACCTGGGACCCTTCAGTCCGCAGGCTGACACTCTATCCACTGAGCCAAACCGGCATTGAGGAGAGACTTCCACTGCAGTGCACTGTATGCAGAAATGGGCCCTGTACTATTGCAGAGGAGGAACACTTGGTTGGACTTCAATCTTGGATCCATCACTAAGTAGCTGTGTAGTTTTTAGCAAGTCACTTAACTTCTCTGGGTCCCAAATTCCTCATTTATCAAAGGATCAGGGCAGAGTAAATAATTAGTTCCTTCAGATCCAATATCCCTAAATACAGATAAGTTTTCTCTATTGCAGTTTTGAAAAGTTTCCCTTCTAGTTATAACAAACATAAATGTTTACTGTGTGAAAGCCAGAAAAATAGGAAGGAAAATATTCACCCATACTTCCCCACCTTATAATGAGTGAGAGAAAGAGAAGCAAAACCAAAAATATGGATGGAATGTCTTTGTTAGTTCCTTGCTTTCCAATATCAAAACATGAAAAATCTATGAATCAAAGTTGATTCATGTCAAGAGTTTCTCCAAAGAGAATATACACAATTTCTTTTCATTTTCCTTTTATAGCTTTAACATAAAAACTTTTAATATGCACAAAATACCTTAGAATAAGTTAACTTATTTACTTTGGGGAAAGATAATTTCCTTTTCCCCAAATTGCTAGCCAGCTGACATGACAGCTATTGGATAACCTATCCTTTCCCCGTTGGCTACTTTTATTGTGTATGGTTCAAAATCTCTATACAGTGTTACGATGTTCATCTACCTTTCCCTATCAACTCTCTGGTTTGGACTGTTTCATCTTTCTCACTCATCTATTTTACCGTTTTGGTGCAACTGTTTTCATCACTAAGTTTTACACACTACCCAGTCTGTTCTTCAATGCTTCAATTACCTTTGAGTTTGGATAACGTGTTATGTCTGAAAACAACATTTCCTGATCATCACGTTGTTTTGAAGCATCACTGACTTAATGTGATTATCTCTGTGGAAGCACTCTTCAAACTCCGAATCACAGCACAAGAATGAGAGGAAAGCAGCCAGCATTCCTGTCTGAGGTCTTATCCGTGCACATCTGAGCACCATACCGGTTCCTCCATTCCCCACTGTGGCTCCTATCTAAATTATTTTTAAAAGTTCTGAGGGTATGAGCATAGCAGGAATATCACCTCCTTTGGCTTTTGGCATTAAATGTGTTCTTGCCACAATGCCAGCCGGGGCTGTGCATTAGAGTTGCTCAGGGGCATCTAGTATCTCTGGATTTTTAAAAACCCACTTTCCTAGCTTAAAAAAAATAGATGGTTTCTATGTTGTTAGCTGCTCACATGATATACTTCCTTTATGAAGTGCACATGGCCATCAATCCATTTTACAGCAGCAGAGAATGAGGACAGAATGAGGAGAGCAGCCAGTTAAGGAAACACAGAAACCAGGGCATTGCCTTGCTTCCCTCCCTGCAGGAGTACTGCAAGTTTAAGAAGACCGAGGACAGTGCTTTCCCTAGCGTCTACATAGGCCTCAAGGACAAGCTCTCGGGCATCCGCAAGGTCATCACGGACTCCACCGCGCACCTAGTCCAGTTGCTGCACAACTATAAGGAAAAGCTTCAGGAGTTCGCGAAGGACGGTGAGAAGCTTCCTGTGGGCTGTGGTGTGTGTCTCTCAGGGTGGTTGATGGGGAAGGTGAGAGAGAGAGCCAGGGGAGGAGGTGAAATCAGGGGGACATCTCATTTTCAAAACTACCCTTTGGCTAGACTGTGTTCCTAATGAACAGGTCTTGATTTCATTTTACAATTGAGGCCCAGATAAGGTGTGCTAGTCACACCATGACTAGCTGACATTTCTGTTTCTCAGGTTGCTGACACCTATGCTTTTAAGTGAAATACAGGCCAGTCTGACATCTTTTTCAGACTATTTTGCTTCATCCATGAGAGAAATGTGGTCCAGTGAGCATGGTTCTCTGGGAGGTGATGAGGGTCCAGTCCCATTTCCCTCTGGGAAACCTGGGGAAGGGCGGCTGGGAAGACCTGCTTCTAAGTTCTCTGACCACCTGGACAGGTGTGCATTCACAACTCTCTGCCTTTCTAGAGGAATATGACATCAGAACTCAAGTGTCAGCTGTGGTGGAGCTCAAGTATCGGACCTCAAAACCTGAGCCCAGCACCAGGCAACAGTTCCTCCAATGTAAGTGTGACAGCTCTCCTCCTGGTTATTGATGTCGGTGCAATGCTCTGCTGAAGCAAGAATGCTTTCTCTCACATAGGGTTCGGGTTCTTACAATCTGTGGTTTGTCCCTAAATGGTACATTTAGAAAATTTTAATTACACTTGTTTTTATTTTGAAACAATTTGAAACTTTAAAAAATATTGCAATAATAGGACAAAGAGTTCCCATTTTATTTTTTATCCAGCCTTTCCAAATGTTAACACTTTGCATAACTACAGTACATTGATCAAAATCAGGAAATAAGCATTATTGCTACAGTGATACTAACTAATCTATAAAATGTATTTTCCATTTTACCAACTGTTCTAACCATTGTCCTTTTTTTAACCTAAAGTCTAATCCAGGGTCACAGGTATTTCCATGCCTCCTTAGACTCCCCCAATCTGGGTCTGGTCCCCCAGTCCTTCTTTGACTTTCATGACCTTGGCACTTTGTACAGCCTAACTAGATACCACATGGCTCCCCATAAAGTCGGGCTTGGCCAGGTTTGTGTAACAAACTCTCCTGTCATTAAGTGGAATTGACCTGCTCTGTTAACATATCACAACACTACGCTGCCAGTCAACACTTCATTATGGTTAACAAGCCCAGGAGGTTTCATCTCCTAATAGAGGAAGGACTGCATCTGCATGTTAAGGCTCGTTTTGTGAGATGGCTAATTCATCTTTTTGGAATACAACATTGAACTCTGCTTCTTATTGTTTCTGGAGATGACCCCTGGCTGACCAACTCCTGGGCCCCTTTTTCTCCAGTTATCATATGCAGCTATGGGTTCTGATGCCTGCCTCATACTCCTGCCACAGCTCTGACTTTTCCCAGGATCTGTTGGCTTCCACACAGTTTCTGTAATTTATTCTTGCCTTCTGACAGTAGAACATCTATATTTGACAAACATGTATGATTAATATAAGAAGCCAAATATGCTTCATTCTTAACATTAAAACAAAATTGACACATTTCCTATTACTAGAGGCCCGGTGCATAAAATTTGTGCACAAGGAGGGGAGGAGTTCTCTCAGCCCAGCCTGGACCCTCTCCAATCCAAGACCCCTCGGGGAATGTCCAATTGCCAGTTTTGGCCTGGGATCAGGGCAAAACCAGCAGTCAGACATCCCTTTCGTAATCCAGGACCTCTGACTCCTAACTGCTCACCTGCCTGCCTGCCTGATCTCCCCTAACCACTTCTGCCTGCCAGCCTGATCACCCCTAATTGCTCCCCCCACTGGCCTGATCACCCCTTAGTGCCCCCACTGCTAGCCTGGTTTTTCCCAACTGCCCCTCTCTGCCATTCTGGTTGCCCTTCACTGCCCCCGCTGCAGATCTGGTCACCCCACCCAGCCTGCTGGTCAGTCATTTGATCATCCCTTGCTAACTCCTCTGCTGGCCTGGTCACCCATGCAGCCTGCTGGTCAGTCATTTGGTCATCCCTCGAAAACCCCTCTGCTGGCCTTGTCCAAGCAGCCTTCTCTTCAGTTGTTTCTATGATGGCATCATGATCAATTTGCATATTACCCTTTTATTAATATACATAATCTATTTTCTTTTGCATGACAAATAAATTTTTGTACACCCAATATTACTATTTTTCTTTGAGTGTTGCTATGAACCTTTAACCTTTGTAGACTCAGATGTTTCACTTTTCAAAATTCTGGAGCTCAAATTGCCAATTTGAACAGTTTGAGCCACTTGTACGCTGGCCTCTTCCTCTTTTAAACATTGGCATTCTGCCTCTGATATCCTTAAAAATAGCATTGCTTTTAGGGGTATTCCAGACCTATACTGGTTTTCTTGCCCCAAAACAGAATCATCTGCCCTCCTGGGACTCCTTCATCCCCTTAAATGAGAGGAACATTTTTATTCGATATCTGGATGCCAAGGATTTCCCAAAAAGTTGGTGGTGGGCAAGAGCAATACTGTGGATACTGTTGGATGTGGATACTGTTTTAGTAACAGCTGTAGACTATATGCCTTTGATGGTCCTCAGTTCACACTCATTTTTCCCTTTTAATTTCCCAAACTGCTGTGTCCTTTTATTCTAGGATGTAGTCTCATTGACTACTAAGAATTCCTCTTACCAAAGGAATTGGGAAAGCTCTGGATTAAACTAAGGGCTTTTTAAGTTAATGGATTTTAAAATAGCCCTTAACATGCACAGTCATTTGGCAAGTACATACTGCACATCTTCTCTGAGTTAGAACCCCAGGAGAGAGTCCCACATTAAATGATCCTCTTACAGATAAGGAGGAGGACAAGCATGAAACAAACTACAAAGAGATTATTACACATTGTAATGAGTATCACGAAGTTTAAAAAGGCCAGAGTGCCCAGTGATGGGAGTGCTCTGGTCCAGAGTCACAGGGAGCTTCTTTAAGGAAAGGAATCTCAGCCACAACCCAAAAGGATTAGTAGGAATCCCCAGACCTGGCTGGGGCAGCAATGGCACCACTGAGGAATGGCCTGTGCTTAAGCCCTTGGGGGTTCAGTTTTAGGTGGGTCTGAGATCAGTGGAAAGGGCAGTTGACAAGGCTAAAGACACAGGCAAGGGCCCATTAAGCAGAGCCAGGTAGGCGAGGGTGAGGGGTCAGTGCTTTATCCTAAGAGCAAGGTACACCACCCAAGGGCTGTAAGCTGGGGGACATGACTCACCTTGACCTACATTCTGAAACAAACACTGTGGCTCCTTCCTGAGGAAGGTATGAGAGGAAGGCATGGGAGGGCAACATGACCAGCAAAGAGCCTGAGTGGGATCTGAGGGAGGGGGTGGGTGAACCAGTGCCTTGGAGAGAAGTGGGTGGCATCTAAAGGTCTTGCTGATGCCTGTACGTGTAAGAAGGGGGATGGTGGGGGTGAGGATGAGGGCAAAAGAAATGTTGAAAATAACTTTAGTGAGATTTGAGCAACTGGGTGCATGGAGGTGATATTTTCCGGGACTGAGAAGAGATGTGTGGGGATTGTTTGAGATTTCATCAGGCTAAATATTGGTCAGATATTAAAAACCCTCACAAGTAATGGACAAAATGTGGATGTACACTGAGTGGCCAGATTATTATGATCTCTGAACACATAATAATCTGGCCACTCAGAATATATATATTAGAGACCCGGTGTGTGAATTCATGCATGGGTGGGATCTGGCCAGTCTGGCCAGGGGGAGGGGACATGGGAAGTTGGCCAGCCTGCCTGCTGGTAGAATTTTTAGTGGAGGGGACAATTTGCATATTATCCTTTTATTATATAGGATATACACTGAGTGGCCAGATTATTATGCGTTCAGAGATCATAATAATCTGGCCACTCAGTGGGTAAATTCCTGTTCCCCGGAACCCTTGACAACACTGGGTAGAACGGTGCCTGGTTTTCAGCACATATTTGTTGAAAGAATGAATAAGTAAATCTATGGATTTTATTTCTTGATTCAGTTCAGCAAATAATACAGGAAATGCCAAGTAATTTGAGCTTCAGAAAGAAAGGAAGTGGAGTGACTTCTTGAAAAGGATCAGGGATCACTTTCAACGTGTGTGTGTGTGTGTGTGTGTGTGTGTGTGTGTGTGTGTGAGTTTCTCAAACACACAGTTCTCTGAGACATCAGCTGGGTAGCCCATAATTTAATTCAATTCTGACACTGTCTACCTGGAGATGGTGTCAGATCACACAGGCTAAGGGTTCAGTCCTTGAAATTGCTCCCACCCAAGTTCAGATGTTGTTTCCAAGTAACAGGTTACTCACAACTTCCATGAAATTTGGCTACAAATTGTAGATCCCCATGACCCCTTCTTGGTTGGGTTAATTTGCTAGAGCAGTTCCCAGATTTCAGGGAAACATGTTTTCCAGGTTATTACAGAACATGATAGTGGACACAGGCATACATACAGGTAAAGAGCTGCAGAGGGTGAGGTCTGGGAGCAGCCTGAGCTCAGGACCTTTTGTCCCAGTGGAGTTGAGGTGTGTCACCTCCCAGGGTGGAAGTGTTTACCCACATGGAAGCTCTTTGAAGCCCCTACTAATGGGATTTTTTAAATGGAGCTTCCTCTTGTAGCCACCATCAGTTCACTCCATTTCCTGCCCCTTTCCCTTCTTTGTTGAAGTGGGGGTGAGGCTGAAAATTCTAATCATGGCTTGGTCTCTGCCTCATCCAGGAGCCATCCAGAGGCCCACCTTAGTCACCTCATTAGAACAAAAGTCAGTCCTTTCACCCAGGAAACTGTTATACAAGGGTTTTAGGAGCTCTGTGCCAGGAAGGGGTGGGGGCAGGAACCAAGCATGTACTTCTTACTATAAATCACAATATCACATTGTATTCAATTTCCTGGTTTGCTAACCACAGGGCAGCACCTTCCTTCCAGGGGACAGAACAGTCTGGGTAAGCAGAACAGAGAGATGGGTGCATTTTCATACTTAGGAGGATGGTCAGGTTTGAGGTGCTCTGTTGGCTTTCTGACCTACTCTCCCTGTCTTCTGTGTCTCCTCAGATGCCTGTGACATCGCATTTGACCCTGACACGGCACACAGGTATCTCCGGCTGCAGGAGGACAACCGCAAAGTCACCAACACGACACCCTGGGAGCATCCCTACCCGGACCTCCCCAGCAGGTTCCTGCACTGGCGGCAGGTGCTGTCCCAGCAGAGCCTGTACCTGCACAGGTACTATTTTGAGGTAGAGATCTCCGGGACAGGAACCTACGTTGGCCTGACCTGCAAAGGCATTGACCGGAAAGGGGAGGAGCGCAACAGCTGTATATCAGGAAACAACTTCTCCTGGAGCCTGCACTGGAACGGGAAGGAGTTCTCGGCCTGGCACAGCGACACGGAGACCCCGCTCAAAGCCAGCCCTTTCCGGAGGCTGGGCATCTACGTCAACTTCCCAGGAGGGATGCTCTCCTTCTACGGTGTGGCGCCCGACGCCATGACTCTGGTTCACAGGTTTGACTGCAATTTCTCGGAGCCAGTCTACCCAGCCTTCTGGCTCTCCAAGAAGGAAGACACCGTCCGCATTGTGGATCTGGGAGAGGAGCCTGAGAAGTCTGCACCGGCCGCCGTGGAGGCTGCTGCTTAGACTCTGGATCCACATTCTGGACATTTGCTAAGGGCAGGGCAGTGTCTTGCCCTCTGGAGGCAGAAATCTCTGCCAGGGGTAGCTGGCTTTAGAAACATGTGGGTCTGTGAATGAGGACAAGAGTTGCTGGCTTCTCCCTTTTGCTCTATGCTGTGCTGTTCTTCAAGTTTGTAGTCATGTTCAGGTGAAAGTCCCTTTGGAGTGATACTTGGGTCTCCCATCTTTGAGTGACATTCTCCTGTCTGTCAGGTGAACGGCACATTGTACCTAGGACTGGTAACCAGGAATCTTCAGGGAGATTAAAAAAAAATCACAGAGTAATCACAATAAATTGCTAACTTTATGATGCATTTCCTAGGTCCCAGACACTGTTTTGAGTGCTCCCTGTATATCAACTCCGTGACCCTCATACAATCCCATGGGTGGAAGCTCATATCAGCCATAATCTGCAGATGGGGAAACTATGGTCTAGGGGGATAGTTCACTTGCTCAAGGTCACTGAAGTCACATGCTGAGTAAGTGACAGAGCTGGGGTCCAGACTTGAAGGGATTACATTAAAGTTTCAATCACTGTACCGTGCTGACTTCCTCACTGGATTGGGGGTGTTGTGTAATAAGGGAGTAAACTACATGATGACCTGTTTCCATGGCAACAGAGCATCCTAAACCCTCCTCTCAGAGTTTGCAAATCTCTTTGCAGCCCCCGCCTCTGATGGGACTGTAGCTGTGCTGCAACAGATGTTTTTGGAACAGCAAGGATGATAAGAAGTGTGTTAGTCTCAGACCCCATGACTTCTAGGCAAGGGGCTCATTCCTCTCCCTTTGAAGTCACCTGGAGTGTGTACACTTGTGATTTCTCTTTCAAAGGACAGTTTTTCAAGTATTTAAGGGTGGTGCTCACAACATATCCTCCCCAGAAGCTCTTCACACTGTATTCCCCACTTTCCTTCTTTTCACACTTTATTTTCCCATTTTCCTTCATGGTTTCCAAGTCTTTCACTCCCCTAGCATTTCATCCTCCTTTCCATAGATGTGGAAATTCATAAGATTTATGGCAAACATTCACTTTTTTATTTATGCAAATGACAAACTATTTTTAAATGAGTTTCTGAGATATAACCAGGAGTCCGAAGGAAATATAACTTCTGGTTCTTTGTCAAAGCAAACCTGTTCACCCGGCTGCTGATCCCCTGGAAAAGAGGTAGGTGAGTTTTTAAAATTTAATAAAAAATTTAATAAAAATTTTATTACATTTTTACAGAGAGGAAGGGAGAGGGATAGAGTGTTAGAAACATTGATGAGAGAGAAACATCCATCAAATTCCTCCTGCCCACCCCTACTGGGAATATGCCTACAACCAAGGCACATGCCCTTGACTGGAATCAAATTCTGGGACCTTTCAGTCTGTAGGCTGATGCTCTATCCACTGAGCCAAAGTGGTCAGGGCTCTTTAGTGAATTCTTAAAAATCTGAATTCTATTGAATTATTTTTTTACTTGAATTTTAAAGTTCATCACATTATTGCTGCTTGCTGAGATGGTTTTGATTAATTATTCTATTTCCAATATATTAGCTCTCCATCCTAATCTAGAGTCACCTAAACAATTGTTAACCTTTTCTTCTTTAGTCTTGATCTTGTTGATACCTACATTGTTTAGGGTAGGGCAAAATATAGAATCCTGCAGTACGCACTCGACACTCTTTGGGCTCAATTATTCAATAATTTATGCATCGGTAGAACTTTTGCCACTTTGTCCACTGGACCCAAAGAAGACCCCTTTTCAGTGGCAGAGAACAGGATAAGCATTCCTTGCTGCATTCCTATGTCTGCAGTCCTTGCTGCTCCTGTCTATCCTCTCAAAAGAGAAAATGAGATCTGCTTGGCCTGCTTTGTTTTTATTGAGCCTCTGTGGGCTGGTGGTGCTTGTCACTTTCTTTTCTAAATGCTCACCAAATATTTAATAAACCATTTAAGAATTCTGCCGTGGACTAACATCGTTTACTTGTCTGTTGTTTCCAGAATCTACCTTATTTTTCTTTTTAAATATCAAAACAATTTTTCCGTTCCCACCTTCTACCATTCTCCTTAATTTCTCAAACAATAAAGCCTAGTGTTTAGTCACATTGACGAGGTGTGTCAGTCATGAGATGTAATCCATTCAGACCAGAATACTTGGCTCAGAGGAAAGGAACCCTTTGGGTGTCTCCTCACCTGTTGTGAACTTTGTTCCCTGTCAGCTCTTTTCACCTGTTCTCAGTTTAGAGAGTTTTCTTGTTGATATAAAAGATCAAAGCAAAATTGAGAGTTGGGGATATTTGCTTTTTTTCTGACATTGCTTCAACTGAGGCTTTTTTCTTTTCTTTTTCTTGGCCCCCAAACTGAAAATTACCTAAAACACACATTTTTTTTTTTAAAGAAAATAAAGGCTTATTATATATTCTGTGACTTTTCCTCAACTCTGTGTGTCATTCTTCTGTATTTACCCACCTTTATTTCCTCTCATTATGTGGACTCATTCTGGAAAGAAAAACAAACAAAAACTGAACTCATCAAGAACTCCTTTTGGTGCCAGATTATTTGGTTCCATTATTAGATCATTTGTGATTGAAAAGTCAGAATGTGATTTTAGCCACTACATAAATACATTCTATGACAACTTTTAAAATATATATTAATTATAGTTGCCATACAATATTATATTAGTTTTAGGTGCACAACCCAGTGATTAGACATTATATATCTTACAAAATGAGCATCCCAATAAATCTAGTTTCCATTGACAAAATACATAATTATTATAATATTATTGACTATACTATTGGTCAGGTGCATGGGGGCTGGGAGTGTCCCTCAGCCCCACCTGTACCATTTCCAATCTGGGACCACTCAGAGGATGTCTGACTGCTGGTTTAGGCCCAATCCCACAGGGACATCCCTCTCACAATCCTGGACTGCTGGCTCCTAATTGCTCGCCTGCCTGCCTGATTGACACCTAACTGCTCCCCTGCCAGCCTGATGGCCCTCAACTGCCCTTTCCTGCTGGCCTTTTCACCCACAACTGCCCTCCACTGCCGGTCTGATTGCCCCCAATATATTTTACTATCCCATTTTTCAGTCTGTCTCTTGTACATAGCATATTTAAGGATTTTGTTTTGTTATCTATTCAGCTACCATATGTCTTTCGATTGGAGCATTTAATATTTTGCATTTAAAGTAATTGTTGATAGGTATGTATTGCCATTTTATTATTCACATATTTTTTATATTTTTCTTCTCCTTAAATTCCTTTAACATCCTATATAATAAAGAGATAATATGCAAATGGTTGTCACACCCTCATGCTGTCACACCGTCACACCATAATGGCTTAGACACTCAATGCTGAGGAAAGAGGAATGGGGACCAGCCAGGCACAAATGAGTTCTTGAGAGAGGAATGGGAATCAACCAGGCTGTGCCCGGGAGAGGGACAAACTGCCATCCCTGAGATCCTGGGGGCTTGCAGCTGCAGCCCAGGCGAAGCCTCCCCCCACAGTCCCCTGTGGCTATGGCCAGCCCAGGCAAAGCCAACCCAGGTCCTGGATGCCTGTGGCAGGCTAGAGGGAGGGAATCCTGGGTCCAGGTGCCTGTGACAGGCCATAGGAGGGAATCCTGTGTCCCAGGTGTGAGGGGAGGCTGAGCAGTTAAGAGCAATAAAGCCAGCAAGGGAGCAATTAGGGATGATCAGGCCAATAGGGGACAGTTAGGGGCAACCAGGCAGGCAGACAGAGGTGGTTAGGGGAGATCAGGCAGGCAGGGAAATGGTTAGAAGCCAGTGGTCTGGATTTCCAGAGGCAGTTGGACATCCCCCGAGTGGTCCCAGATTGGAGAGGGTGCAGGCTGGGCTGAGGGACCTTCCCCCCGTTCCCATTCACAAATTTTAGGTCCTGGGCCTCTAGTTTCTTATAATACTAGTTTGTGGTGATGAAATCTTTTAACTTTTTCTTGTCTGGGAAGCTTTTTATCTGTCTTTTAATTATAAATAATAGCATTTTTAAATAGAGTAATCTTGATGGAAGTCTTTACTTTTCATCACTTTGAATATTATGTGGCAATCCTTTCTGGCCTGAAATGTTTCTGTTGAGAAATCAGCTGATAGTTTTATGGGAGCTTCCTTGTAGGTAACTACCTTTCTTTCTCTTGCTGCTTTTAAGATTTTTTTCTTTGACAAAATACCTTTTGTATTTTAATTACGATATATCTTGGTGTGGGCCTCCTTGGGTTCATCTCATTTGAGACTCTTTGTGCTTCCTGGACTTGAAGTTTATTTTCTTTACCGGGTTAGGGAAGTTTTCCACCATTTTTTTTCAAGAAGGTTTTTAATTTCTTCTTCTCTCTCCTTCTGGCAGATCAATGATGCAAATGTTGGTACACTTGAAGTTGTCTCAGAAGCTCTGTAAATATCTTCACTTTTTGGATTCTTTTTTCTTTTTATTGTTCTGATTGGGTGTTTTTTGCTTCCTTATCCTATAAATCTCTGATTTGATTATGTGTTTCATCTACTCTATTGTTGATTCCCTGTAATGTATTCATTTCAGTTATTGTAGTCTTCATTTCTGACTGGTTCTTCTTTATGTTTTCTATATGAAACTTTATTTTTTCTATCTCTTTATTGATGTTCTTCTACTCTTTCCTTAAGTTCATTGAGCATTGTCATAACCAGTGTTTGGAACTATACAAAAGGTAGGCTGACCTATTTTGTTTAGTTCTTTTTCTGGATATTTTTCCCATTGGTTTTTATTTATTTTTATTGTTTGATTAATCCTCACCTGGTAGGTCTGCCAGACTTAATAGAATGTCTTTATGTAGTAGGTGTTCTGTATATTCCATTGGCATAGCCCCCTCAGTCACCTGAGCTGGGTGCTCCAGGTGTGCCCTCCATGTGGGCTAAGTGCACCATCCTGTTGTAGTTGAGTGTTGATTGCTGGTGGCACATTAATGGGAGGTATTTACCTTCAAGAAAATTGGTTGTGAGGATTGGCTATAACCTACATGAAGAATCTACTCTGCATGTTCATGACACTTCAGGAAGGCTCTAATATCCACTAAGTCCTTCCCTGGAATGTGTTGCTAGTGGAGGTGGATGGTTGGTCTGAGCTATTCACTGGGTTCACTGGCTCTGGGGCCCCATGGGAGGTGTAGGCCAAGGTCAGCTGACACCTGTGTCTTGCCTGGAGCTACCCAGCATAAGCTACAAAACAATCTTGGTCTCTCCTGGGCACCTCTAACCTCAGCACAAGTAGATGGCTACTACTTGCGCTGAGGTTAGAGGTGCCCATAAGAGACCAAGTTGTGAACCAAGGCTTGTTGCTTCTAGTGCCAGGCATTGGTCCCCTTAGCAAGTGGTTTGGGGCATTTTAAGGCCAAATGATGCTTGTTTTAGAGATTTTAGCGAAATCCACACTATGAGCTAAGACAGGTGGTTTGCATGGAAAGGCACTGGGTGGTCCTGAAACTTGAGTGGGGTAGGTCTCAGGGAATCACCAGATTGGGGGAACAGTGTTTGCCAGGTTGATGGAGACTCAGATATGGTGCTCACCTGCCATATCTGTGAGAGCTCAGCAAAGGAACAATGGCCTTTGGCAATACTTTTGTTTGGGAGAAAGCTGCCTTGCCAGCCCTTGCCCTGATGCCAGACAATTCAGTTCCTCCCCATATGTCTCTGGCCCCCTTTGAACTGCTGCCCCAGTGCTGGATCTCAGAGTGAGTGAGTCTGAGTAAATTTGTGCACAGGCCCTTTAAGAGAAACATCTGGAACTACATAAGCCCTCCATGTCACTCAGCCACAATCCCTATGGTTTTTATAGTCAGAAATTATGAGGACTATTCTACTTGGCACTGGAATCCTGGGCTTGGGAGCCTGGTGTGGGGCTGGAATGCCTTGCTCCTCAAGGGGGATTGTGCAACTGAAATATCCATCTGGAATTTTAGCAGTCACATGTAGTTGTGGGACCCCTTGTCCACATCTCTGTCCCACTCTTACCAGTCTCCATATAGCCTCAGTTATAAGACTCTGTTCAGCTATATTTCAGGTGATTTTCAATGATGTTGTTCTGTAGTTTAGTTGTAATTTTGATATGGTTGCAAGAGAATATTAGTATTGCACTTACATGCTAAACCAACTTGATTGGACTTTTGAAATACAAAGGCATATGCCATTTTCTTCTAGATATCTTATGAATTTTGAGTAAATTCCCACATTTTTCCAAGACTCATGATAAAATGATGAGATATGAATACTTGCTCAATCTGAAAGCCCCTATCTCTTCAACTTGTTTCAGCATGTTTTTGGAATGACTGCCTTCAAATCAAATCAATTCGAGTATAATCACTGTGTTAGATGCTAAGATATAGTAACTTAGAAGAGAACTAGCTGTGTCTTTTGATCACAAGAAGTTGATTTTGGCCAGTAGAAATACGAAAAAAGTGCCAATGTCACTAATCATCAAAGAGATGCAAATTAAATGATAATATTTCAGCCCACACCTGCCAGAATTGCTACCATCAATAAATCAACAAACAAGTGCTGATGAGGCTGTCGTGAAAAGAGAACCCTAGTGCACTGTTGGTGGGAATGCAGACTGGTGGAAAACATATGGAGTTTACTCAAAAGATTAAAAATGGAAATGCCTTCTGACCTAGAGGTCCCACTTCTGAAATTATACTTCAAAAATCCCAAAACAGCAATCATAAATAATATATGCACCCCTATTTTATAGCATAATTATTTATAATAGCCAAGATATAGAAACAGCCCAAGTGCTAATCAATAGATGAGTGGCTAAAAAAACTGTGGTTTATTTACACAATACTACACACTATAAAAATAGAAGGAATTCTTACCCTTTGTGACAGCATGACTGGAGCTGGAGAGTAATATGCTAAGCAAAAAAGTCAGTCAGAGAAAGATGTATCACATGGTATCACTTATATGTAGGATCTAATAAATAAAATAAACTGGCAAACAAAATTGAACCAGAGGCATGGATACATGGAATAGACTGACAGATATTAGAAGGGAGTGGGTTGGGGTAACTGGGTAAAAGAAGGTGAAGAGAGTAGCCAAAAAAAAACAAAAACATACATATATATATATATATATATATATATATATATATATATATATATGGCTAATGGACACAGACAACAGAGTGGTGGAGACAAGAGGAGGGGTGGCAGGAGCTGGGTGGAGGTGGACAAATGGGGGAGGGCAGGGAATGAGGGACATTTGTAATACTGTCAACAATGACCTGGGTCTCACTCTGGCTGAGACCTGCTTGCCTGCCCACTTCTTTGGGTATTACCGAGCCATTTCTTCACCGTGAGAAATCATTGAGTTTCCAGGTTGCCTATTAGCCCTTTGGTTTATCCCATCTGGTCATCTTGTCCTGCCCTTCACCAAGGCCACTTTCTAAACTCTACCATCAGATCCCAAATGACTCCTGAGCCAGGTGAGAGGCTGTGTATACATGTACTTTTAGGGTGGTGAGTGGAATGGATAGGCAGCAGAAGTATCGTGATCACCTACTTTGATGAATGTAACCCTCACATTACATTCTACAGGGTAGGGAGGATCATATATCATCCACAGGGAGGAAACTGGCCTCAGTGAGGCTGGAGGTACTTGTTTAAGGCCGCACCTCTGGGATTCCACCTAATGTCTCTGCGGGCCACGGTGGGCCTCTGAGCATGGAGTAAAGGCTATTGGGTTAGTAAAACTGCTTCATGTATATCAACCTCACAGATTAAAATCTTAATTTGGATTTTCAAAGACAAGCTACTTTTAATTTTACTTTGTAGTCCTTCTGGGGACAATATATTCCCAATCCTCTGCTTTGGGCCTCCTACCCTCCTTTGTCTGACCTTCCTGATAGATTACTGTATACTAATCTGCTTTTGCCTTTCAAATATCTCTTCAGATAGAAAAGGCTGAGCTACTAGCACTGTCCTCCCCAGCTTGATTCTTGTCCCCCACACGACCCTTGTATGGGACTGCCATTGCAAACCACCTCTGGCAATGATTTCCAATGCCTGTCTTTAACTGCCAGATCTCTAGACTGGAAGTGCTTATGGCATTGCAAATCTTCTCTTTAATCTGGAGTAATAACCATAAAAACAACAACAGTAGCAGTGACTGGTCTCACACATTTGCTTTAATCCAGAAGATGGCTATAATTTTTATTACCTGCTTTCATCTTTGCCATCTTCATCAGGTAGCTTACTGAAGACCATGTAGTTCCTAAGTACCAGAACCAGTTTTTGAACCTTGTCTTGTCTGAAGCAAAATGTCTCAGTGTGCTTTCAAGTCTCTCTCTGGGCTTACAATATTTACAAGGTCATTTTGGCTGCAGGGACAAGCTGAGTAACTATGTTAGGTAATAGTCTAGTACAGCAATTTTTCTCAACTTAGCAACAGTATATCTTTATTAATTATTTTGAAAAATTTCTAACGTCCATGTGCACTCTTATACTGTCTTTAATGGCCCCAGTTGTCACACCTGAATGGATCATAAGCCAGAGTTAAAAGATAAAGATCTCATGAAATAAGTAAGTTATTTTCATGTCACTTTTCTTTTAAAAACTACACCCATACTCACATTATTTCTTTACATGCATCTCAATGTATGAATATACACACATATGAACATCTTAGTGAACATTGGTTGCCTGGCTGCCAGCAGAGTGATCTCAATGACAATAATAATTATGGTGACAAGGGTACAATAATTAGCATTCATTGTGGGCTAGTTATGTACTAGACAATCTCTTAAGTGCTTTGTGTATAGTAGTTCATTTAATCCTCACAAGGACTTTACTAGTATGTAGTAGGAAGTGTTATCTCAATTTCCCAGCTGTGGAAACTGAAGCGGAGAGGATGAAGCAATGTACCTGTGTTCACAGAACTAGTAAGCAGGTGATCTGGGATCTAAACTCAAGAGTCTGGTCCACACCCCACACTTTTCCCTCTGAAGCTGCCTCCTAGACACATGGGTTCGCATGTGATTGAGGTTGGAAGTCCCCAAGTACAATCTTTGTCCCAGTGAAAATTTTTCCATTGAGTGCTTCCCTAAAGAGGTTTCTGGTTAGCATTTTCAAGCAGCTAAATAACTTAAATTTATATTAAACACTTGTGTTTTTACTTTGATAATGAGTTAAAAAAAATGAGTATAAATATATTCATGGTCATTGGGATAGCCATCTTATAATCAAACAGCTATAATCATAAGAAGTTACATCTAATTTTACATTCACAAATATTTAAAAGTCATTAATAACAATACCAATTGGAGCTCAACACCAGGCTACCCAATATTTTCTTCCTTTAAAAATTATTCGTATATTATTTAAGTTTGACTAACACTGTTCTTGTTCTAGAAATAAGATGACCAGCTCTTTCAGAATATACAGCAACTGCCTCCACAAAAGCAGTGCCAGGTTTAGGAGATTTATGGTAAAACCATGTTTCCTAGGAGTTCAGTACCAACAGGCAGACTTCTACTGGCAGTTTCTGGGAGAGCTAAGCTTTCCATCCATCTCAGAGGCTTGCTTTTTCTCTGGGAGATGCTTATAATAGAAAAGTGTCATTTGGGATATTTATCAGCTTCTCCTGTCCCTCTGCTGTTCGGTGGAGCTGGCCACGGGCAAGGATAAAATGAACTGGTCCTCTCAGGATCATGAACAACATGGAATCAAGGCTCAAGACTGTCCCCTATTTTCGTTGTGAGAAAGGAAATGAAACTGTGCCCGTGTGTCAGAGGTGTGAAACGTGCATCTTGGCTAGGAAGATCTTCTCCACCAAAGAGTGGTTCCGAAGGGTCAGTGACATAGCTCAGAGGAGGTTTCTAGTGAGCATTCTGGGACAGTTAGATAGCTTATATTTGTTACACTATTTCCTAACTCTCCTTCAGACCATACAGGGGAAGGATTTCATCTATAACAGGTCCCGGATGGACCTCAGCAAGCGGCAGGAGGACATCATGAAGTTCTCCGTGAGCCAGATACTGGATAAGACAGTAGAGCAGAATATGAAGGAGATACTGTGCTGGTTTAGGAACAGCACCCACCGGACTAAAGCAAATTACACACTCTTGCTGCTGCAGATGTGCGACCCCAAATTACTGCTCATTGCTGCCAACGTCATCAGAGTCCTGTTTCAGAAGGAGCATGATACCATTTTAGGTAAATGAGACTACAGGTAGAGACCAGATGGCTTGGAGTCAGGTTACCGAATTCGGTAAAGGACAAACTTAGGTAGATTGGGATTTTCCAGAAGGCAGAATAGAGTCTTTGCCCTGACACCAGATCCTATTTACCAAAGGAGAATGTGCTAAATATAACTTCCTTCTAGAAAATAGTTAAATGATAAATGCAGCAGGGTGTACGGAACTTTTAACTGCCAAGCCTTTAAAACAGGTTTCTGCCTCCCTTCCGCACAGAAATGGCTAGTCTGTGTGTCTATCACTTAAGGCTGGTGTGATTCCTGAATCAATGAGCTAGAGAATGGTCTGGCCTTGGGAGGGATGCGAAGGGGAAGCTATTGAATTGTTTTGTCCTTTACCCTTCACTGCAGAAACCAGGCCAACAGGTCAAAACCTAGAGCTTTATATTTTCACTCATTGCGTTATGTTTCTTGCTTGCACATAAAATCTAGCCTTGAAGTGGAGTTTATCCAAGGTTGGAGATAGTGAAAGGGCTAAGTAAGGCTAGCACACTTCTTAAATTTAACTTGTATTAGAATCTGGGGTAGGGCTTATAAAGTCACAGCTGGCTGAGCTCCCTCAAAACTCTTGAATCAGCAAGTCGGACAAGTTGCATTTCTAACAAGTTCCTAGCTGATGCTGATGTTGCTGGTTGAGACTTCACTTTGAAAGCCATTGATCTCGTGTGTTGATGAGAAGATCTTAGAAATGTTTGGCCAGCTCAATCGGGGAAGCAAAAACAACCAGAAAAAAGGCAAGAGGTAGATTTTTCAGGTGTCCAGGAGTGAAGGGTCCACTGTGGGGAAGCACAGGTTTAGTGGAGATAAAAGCAGGGAAGGGAGCTATCAGGTGCAGGAGTTTCAGAGTGAGGTCTTTTTTTTTTTTTTTTAAATATGTTTTATTGATTTTCCACAGAGAGGAAGGGAGAGGGATAGAGAGTTAGAAACATCAATGACAGAGAAACATTGATCAGCTGCCTCCTGCACACCCCCTATTGGGGATGTGTTCTCAACCAAGGTACATGCCCTTGACCGGAATCGAAACCAGGACCCTTCAGTCCACAGGACGACACTCTATTCACTGAGCCAAACTGGTTTTGGCAAGAGTGTGAGGTCTTGAATAATGGAAATTCCTAATGTCCATGAGACCTTATTTGTAGTTATAATTGTGACAAGTGGATTCCAAAAGGGTTTTTAAGCTACCCTGTTTCCCTGAAAATAAGACAGTGTCTTATATTAATTTTTGCTCCCAAAGATGCGCTAGGGGATGTCATATTTTTCCATGAAGAAGAATACGGTACACATTTATTGTTAAATGAAAATAAAGGAAATTTATTACCTGTATACGGTGCGGTAGTACGATAGTTGTCAACACAAACCAGACAAACTGTGAATTCTACAGTATCAATAATTTACTCATTTATTCAATGACAATCATGTCATCATCTTCTGGAACATCATCATAACAATCCAATTTCTGAATTTTCTGGTGAATTTCTTGTGACTCCATTTCTTTCAGAATCAGTGGACCAAATCTCTCATGTTTAGCCTAGGGTGGCCTTATTTTCGGGGGATGCCTTATATTTCACTCAGAAGGAAACCTGTAAGTAGGTATTATTTTTGGAGGATGTCTTATTTTCGGGAAAACACGGTAGATAAACTAGGGATGATTAGATCCCGATTTATGCCACTTGGCTTCTTCCGTACATTAGGGAAGTGAAAGAATGATAATCTGAAAGGAAGAAGTGATGAAAAAAATTAGTCCAGCTCCTGAATTTCATAGATAGAAAGCCAGAGATCAGGAAATCTGAGAGATTGGAACTGGGTCACCCAGGCAAGGGGGTTGGAAACCAGAACTCCTTTCCTGAGCATCTCCCATTGTGCAGTGCTACCCCTCACCACAAGGAAAGGCAGATTACAGCAGGCCTGGCTTATACACCCACATGCTCTGTGGTTTACTCTCAAAGGTTTTCATCACCCTCCACAGCAATTAGCTACTTATATTAGGGTCGAGCCCACTTACAGGTTGTGCAGCCTTCTCTTTCTCCTAGGGCAGTGGTCGGCAAACTCATTAGTCAACAGAGACAAATATCAACAGTACAACAATTGAAATTTCTTTTGAGAGACAACTTTTTAAAACTTAAACTTCTTCTAACACAACTTCTTCAAAATAGACTCCCTCAGGCCATGGTATTTTTGTGGAAGAGCCTCACTCAAGGGGCCAAAGAGCCACAAGTGGCTCGTGAGCTGCAGTTTGCCGACCAAGGTCCTAGGGAACTTCTTTCTTAAAAAGTTATTATTTTTTTTTTTTTACTAAAGAATACTTATTTATGTCATTGAAGAAAATTCAGCTAGAGCTCCAGAAAAGCAGTCCCTCTTCCAACTCTTGCCCACAGCACTCTCATGCTCTCTGTAAAAGAGCTCTGATAAATTTTGCATTGTAGGTAGGCTGGCAAAATCTAAGTAGGGGAATTCTGTGATATTTGCATAGAAACTCAAAGACCCCAGATGAAAACCAACATAATTGGCCTGGCCCATTTTACGTAGATTTAAAAGATGCAAGTAGAAATTAAATAATTTACTGCCATTTTTCTCCCACACACCTGCTTAAAGAACAACCTTGTCTTGATCTTTTGTTTTTCAGAACTTGGTCAAGACCCCAATCTTATGCTTTTATTTCCTGAAAGATACTACAACCTCCAGCTTGATACTTCAAGAGCCAGGAGCACATCCTTCCCTTTGTCCAAAGATTCAGAGGGAAAAAGCTTGCTTAAAAATGTTGAATGGGAAACATCTAATACTGGTAAGTTGGTTTGTAGTGAGAAAGCCAATAGATATGAGATTGGGCAGCCCCAATGGAGTTGGAGAGGCTGCGAGGGCAATAGCATCTGGGAATGACAGATTTGGGGAATTAACCTTCATTTTTCACTTATGCTGTGTTGGAATCTCTGGGAAGGGGAGAAGCAAGGATAAAATCAGTTATTATCATTCAAAAATCTACAGCAAGGTGCCTCTGAGAGCTACCTGAGACTAGACATCAGAAAGGAAACTCTCAAGAGCTTCTTTGGAAGCCTCTCTCTGTCCCAGGCTAAGTCCCTTGTTTAGCCCCTGACCTGTGGTATGGTTGGCACCCCTAGAATTCAACCATTCTTTTTGAAAAACGCAATGGCTGTTTTTTAAGCACTGGATTACTTGATAGGAAATAGAAGCAGTGGGCGATTTGAACCCTGACCTCAAGGCCTTTCTAAGCTGGACATCAAAACAAGACATATACAAGAAACAATGACAGGAAATATGACACATAGGTTCTAAACCATTTTTATATAGAAAATTTCAAAAGTAGATGGAAGCTATATACCGTATTTTCCAGCGTATAAGATGACCCCCTAATTTTTACAGTTAAAACATAGGTTTAGGCCTACATTCGCTGTATAAGACTACCCCCCATTTCCGAGGCAACACCAGTTCTTTTTTCAATAAACTGCCTCTCTAACTCTGGCCAATCTGAGCAGGCTTTTTTTGTTTTAAAAGTCGTCTTATGCTGAAACTGGTTTAGCTCAATGGATAGAGCGTCGGCTTGGGGACTGAAGGAACCGGGTTCGATTCCGGTCAAGGGCATGTACCTTGGTTGTGGGCATATCCCCAGTAGGGGGTGTGCAAGAGGCAACTGATCGATGACTCTCTCTCATCGATGTTTCTAACTCTCTATCTCTCTCCCTTCCTCTCTGTACAAAATCAATAAAATATATATATATTTTTTTAAAAAGTCGTCTTATATGCTGGAAAATACGGTATATCCTATCTAATAAAAGTATAATATGTAAATTAACCATCACTCAACTACACCTATAAGCCACACCCACCAGACAATCAGGAGTGAATATGCAAATAAACCAAACCAAGATGGCTATGGCCACAGAGAACAGGAGGGAGCTTAAGTTTCCCCGGTGATGGAGGAAGCCAAGCTTTCACCCTGCCCTTGCTGGCTTAGACCTCCACTCAAGGCTACAAAGTTTCAATGATAGAAGATAAATAAATCCAAACAGGAATGGTGCCAGCCATGGAACTGGAAAGAGCAGGAGGCTAGGGTTGCCCCCAATGACGATGGAGGAAGCCAAGCTTTCTGCACACCCTGGCCAGCCCAGGTTTCCGCTTAAGGCTAAAAAGTTTCAATTGTAGAAGATAAAATAAACCCCAGAAATCAAGGCCTCTGCTTGGGTCACCAGGGGGTGTGGCTGACCTGCAAACCACCACAGGCCCCTTGCCCAGGCCACCCCACACCCCAAGGGAACCCCCACCCTGATCCAGGACATTCTTCAGGGCAAACCAGCCAGCCCCCACCTGTGCACCATGCCTCTATCCTATGTAATAAAAGAGTAATATGCAGATTGACCATCACTCCAACATACAAGATGGCTACCCCCATGTGGTCAAAGATCCTGCCTCCATGTGGACACATATGTTCACCACAAGATGGCCAGCAAGGGAGGGCAACTGGGGGTGATCAAATCTTCAGGGGAGGGCAGTTAGGGGTGACCAAGCCGGCAGAGGAGGGAAGTTGGGGATTACCAGGCTTGCAGGGAAGGGCATTTGGGAGGGACCCAGGCCTGCAGGGGAGAACAGTTGGGGAGACCAGGCCTACAGGGGAAGGCAGTTAAGGGTGACCAGGCATACAGAGGAGGGCAGTAAGGGGCAAACAGGCTGGCAGGGGAGCAATTAGGCATCAATCAGGCTGGCAGGGGAGTGGTTAGGGGTGATCAGGTTGGAAGCAGAAGCGGTTAGAAGAAATTAGGAAGGTAGGTAGGCACGTGAGCATTTGGGAGCCAGAAGTTCTGGATTATGAGAGGCATCCCATATTGGACAAGGTGCAGGCTTGGCTGAGGGACATCCCCCCTCTCCCATACATGAATTTCATGCACTGGGCCTCTAATATATATATACCAGTGACCAGAATGCCACAATGACTTAAATGACTGGTTGCTATGCTGGTGGTCAACCTTTCGCAACCACTCCCTCACCTGGCTACCCCATCCCTGACCAGCCTCTCCCACCCCAATTGAGGGTGGGTCCGCTGGCCAATGTTCCACAGCTCTTCCCTCCCTGTCACCCTTGCCCTCGATGGGCCTACCCCATCCCAATTGGCCTGCATCCCTTCTCCCTAGCTAGTCCTGCCCCGAATCAGCCTCCCTACCCCAATAGAGGGTGAGGCCAGCCAGCCAACTTCCTGCAGTCCCTCCCCTACTTGGCCCCACCCCAGATCAGTCCTCCTACCCCAATCTGGGGGTAGGGTTGGTCAGCCCATTGCCCACAGCCCCTCCCCATGGCTAGCCCCACCCCAGATCAGCCCCTACCACCCTGATGGGCCCATGGCCCCTCCCCATAGCCAGTTCTGTCCCTGATCATCGGCCTCCCACACCAATCAGGGGTGGGGTTGGCTGGCCAACCTCCTATAGCCCCTCCTCTGGCAGCTGACCCCTGATTGGTCTTCCCCACCCATTTGAAGGTGGGGTCCATCAGCCAGTTGCCTTACCCCCTTCCCCCAGCCAGCTCAGCCCTGATTGAGCCCCAATCTTGGTGAGCTGGCTGACTAACCTCCTGCTTGGTGGGCTGGCTGACTAACCTCCTTCCAACAGGCCTAGTCTCAATCCGATGATTGGAGCTAAGCTGGCCAGACCCCACCCATGCATGAATTCATGCACTGGTCCTCTAGTAGTATAATAACCATTCACATAACCATCACCTAAATTCAACAATTATCAACATCTTACCAATTTATTTCATCATTCTCCTTTTAAAATTGTTTACAGTGCTTTCTTAATTTGAAGGAAATTCCAGATGCCATTCCTGAGCAGGGTAGACTGAAACTACAGACTTCTCCTTGAACTGGGAAGTTTGGGAAATACTTACATACTTGGTTAGGGAGCTTCTAATTTCATTTTTGCAGAAGAAATGACAAACTCCAGTAGCCTAAGGGCAGACTCTGATGCATTCTGGCCTGGAATTATACAAGAGACAAACCATGTTCCTTTTTCTGTCTTGGTTCTAGAAGGACAATGGACGAGTTCGCTCCAGTGCATTTCTGAGATGAATAAGCTATATTCTAAAAAAGTACACATGCTCAAGGCAGGGTACATCCCATCCAATCTGTTGGTTGACCAGGATGTTGTCAGGGACTTGTCTTCTGGAGCCTGCAAATACCGGGACTTCATCCGTCAACTGCCCATCCATCTCTCCAAGTATATCCTAAGTATGCTGAGATGTATTGGTGATTTCTCAAGAGTCTTCCTTTTGTAATCCAGTTTAAAGGGTCCCAGGTTTATCTACCTTCCCCACCTCCCCACAGGTATGCTCGATAAAATCACCCTGAGCAGATGTGCCTCCGTGAGCCAGCACTGGGCTGTACTGGCAAAGAAAGTCAAGAAGGACTACTCGATGCATGCGTTCATTCACAACCAGATCGCCTTACTGCAGGTACTCCTGTCTGGAGGGGCAGTCTGCAGACTGGCCTCACTTCCTTGTGGAGGCTGACAGACTGGAGCCTTTCAGCCCACTCAGCAGAACCTTTGAATGGCCTCCTTCTCCATTTTGCTGCTTCATAGGCTTCACTTCCTTTCTGTGTGGACTCCCCATTAATCTATACCATTGTCAGTGTTTTGAGCAGGGACAATAGGTAGAAACCTATCGGGAAGAGAAAGGCAGAGCCTTGGGAAATCATGTGAAGTAGGGAATCACCACCCACCCCTGCCCCAACCCCTGACCGCTGGCCCCTAGAGCTGCATTGTGGCTTAGGCCATCAGGAAGTCATGTGTATGTTTCTAGGTCAGCCTAACACAGTACACAGATGTCTGCAAGACCACAAAGTCTATTTGTAGGTTAAAATGCAATTTTCTCTGGCATTTTTACTTCTGTTTCTTACCTGAAACCTAATTCAAATAAAGGATTCTTGGGAGCTAGAATTTTTCCCAGCAGACAGATGAGAGAAGAGGAGAAGAAACAGGTCATCCTGGAAAACTGGGGATGACTGACCCTTCTTTCTGGTCTCATTCCAAATCTTTAGTATTATCCTCTTTAAGCCAGTCTACACACCCTATTGCCTAACTAGCCAGGCTCAGGCCTCCCTGAGTTAAGAGCTCAACCTTGTTTCAAATCTTGCCAAGCACTAGTTTTTCCCTTCTCTCAGAGAGAGGAATCAAAAGTAGCCATTTTCTGTTTTCCCCCACCAGGGTTCCTACACAAAGGGAATAGATCCCACCTATGCCTGCAAGGTTTTCGTCCCAGTTCCTAAAATGACAGATGATTTAAAGCACATACGTGTGAAAAATCAGAAATGGAAACTGAAAACAAAGGTGGGTTCTGATGGCATCGAGGGCAAATAACTGTGAAAATAATCTCTTATTGGCCAATGAAAGCTGAAGTCCAGGCTCAGTCCTTACATAGGGTATAGAAAATGGGAGGATATAGGATAAAGCATATGGATATAGGATATTGGAAGTGATATTCCTTATGGAAAACCAGAATTCTGTGTCATGTGTCCTTCAGCTTAAGTTACTTCCTTTTTTTAACCCTGAAATACCTCAGGTGTTAAACAAATGGATTGATCTGGTTGTTGTCTCAGGATTTGTCCTTACTTTAAATCTCATTGCTATGTCCCAGCACCAAGTCATCTGGTGCAGAGCTCAGAGCCAGGTGCAATGCCAGTTATAGCTGGGATTTTCCTCCACACCCATTTATCCAGGCATCTAGAGGCTGCAGAAGTCTGTGGCTCTGGAATGAGAACAGGAAGGCCAGTCCAGAATGTCCAGGATCCAGAATGAATTAAACTTTCTCACTTTTCATGTCCAGGTTCATTCTGATTTTAGAATAGAAGGGAAAAGTTACTTAACCATAGATCTCTCTACCAAAATCTTAGGCAATAACGAAGAGCAGATGGATGACCCTGAACTCTATGTTCTGACTATCCAGGCATGGTTCATTCCTAGAACCATTCATTAGATTACTGCTTCCTCCTCTTTTCTCAAGGGCCTTCTATTTTGAAACTATTCAATGGGTCCTAAAAGAATATTTATTGAGGAGTGATCAGACTGTAGTTTCCAATAAGAAAACTGCATTGAATGATAAATAGATAAATAGAAGTGTCCAGAGAGACCATCTAGTTCATGGTTGTAGAGGCCAAACAGGTCCCATGAATGAGGCAGTGGTATAAGTAGTAAAGAACAGTGAAACAGTGGTGGATTAAAGGGTTCACTTTCCATCTGAAGGGGCAGGCCTGTTGCTTCTCAGCTAGAGCTAATTATTGCCATGGAAGACTGTGAAGATTAACCTCCTAGACCACCTGAACTTTTGAGAGAAATTAGAAACCTAAATTATCATGTGACATTCTTTGCTTTTTTATTTATTTTTATTTTTTTAAAATATATTTTATTGATTTTTTACAGAGAGGAAGGGAGAGAGATAGAGAGCTAGAAATGTCGACGAGAGAGAAACATCTACCAGCTGCCTCTTGCACACCTCCTACCGGGGATGTGCCCACAACCAATGTACATGCCCTTGACCAGAATTGAACCTGGGACCTTTCAGTCCACAGATCAACACTCTACCTCTGAGCCAAACCAGCTTCGGCATTCTTTGCTTTTTTAAATGCTGGCAACCAATTAAAAGCACTCAAAAAAAATATGGGCCAAAGTAAATACACTTTTTTTTTTTTACCTCATTTGACTTGCAATTTTTTAAATCTTTGAGTTGGTCCATTCACTCATTCTATAGATAAAGAAACTGAGGCACAGAGAGTTTCAGGATTCTAACCAGCAGAATAATAGAGACAAATATAAGTGAAATGCTGACCTGCTGTTGGGTATAGTGAAACGAACATGCTTCTTCCTTAGGTGAAAAAGCTATAAGTACGTGACAAAAAAGAACCACCCAGGCAGGGTGTAATATTTTAGAAATGTATAATTTAGGAACATAGAGACAATATGAGGTCAAATGAGGACATGTGAAGCAGTGAGACAAAATAGTTAAGGGGTCTGCTAGGAAAAGGTGGAAGGTGAGTACTGCTGAAAGGTGCTGATTGCAATGGGTACTGAGCTCAGTGTGCCAGGCATGGTGCCTAGGCTTTGTACACATTATATACTTGATATTCATCTTAGGCCATATATATAGCATTGCTCCCAGTTTCTGGAGGTGGAAATGAAGGCCATGTTGCTGGAAAACTTGCCCAAGCTCCCATAGCTGGTCAGTGGCAAGCTGGAATTTGAACTCAGGTCTTATTCCTCCCAATGACTCTACCATGTAGATTCTAAGCGCTCCAAACTTAATTGATGGGCAAGAGCCAAGGAATTCCAGCATGACTGTGAGAAGCCAGGAAAGCCTCATCTAATTCAAGGCAGGTAACAGAGCTGCTTGGACTCCGAACTGGCCCTCTGGAGGGGAGACCGTTTGATAGATTCTTCTGAGGAGAGACTTGTGGGTGGATATCACTAGGTTAAATTTTAGAAGGAGAGTAAGCTGCCCTAACTGGTTTGGCTCAGTGGATAGAGCATCAGCCTGTAGACTGAAAGTCCCAAGTTCGATTCTGGTCAAGGGCATGTACCTTGGTTGCTGGCACATCCCCAATATGAGGTGTGCATGAGGCAGCTGATCCATGTTTCTCTCTCATCAATGTTTCTAACTCTCTATTCCTCTCCCTTCCTCTCTATAAAAAAGCTATAAGTATATATATATATATATATATATATATATATATATATATATATGTATTTTAAAAGGAGAGTAAGCTGAGGAAAGCAACCATTCTGAGAAAGAGCCTACAGGCATGAAGATGCCTAAGGTTTGGAAGGAGACTTAGGAAGAGATGTCCCTATAAGGTCTTCCAGATGCAAATACGATGGTTTGGTCTTCTTTGCTTTCATGACAAACTCACTCTGTGTTTGGTTGCCTGGTCGTGTATTATTCTCTGCTTTTGGAGAGGGAAGAGTATGGCTGGAAAGAAAAATGGAACTAGGAATGCAGTTGAGTCATCTGTGCCAGAATTCAGCATGCCTAGAAGGCTATAGCTGCTCAGGAAGTATTTGATTAAGGGAGGGAGAAAAATAATAGGGAAGACAGGAAGAGGGAAGAAAAGAGGGAGGGAGGGAGGGAGGGAGGGAGGGAGGGAGGGAAGGAGGGAGGGAAGGAGGGAGGGAGGGAAAGGGAAAGCAAGCACCTCTGCTGAGGTTTCATATATTGATTTCTCCTCTCTGAGGCTCAGATACCTCATCTGTAAAATGATGAGAACACTTTGTAGGGTGAAAGATGTACTTTGCGAGGCAGCTGCAAGGAGAAATTAAGATTGTAAATGTATGAAAACTTTGAAGTGTGAACTCCTAGAGTAATTTCATATATTGCAGTTCCCACGAATATACTTTGTATTGTCAAGAATATGTAATATAAATGTGAAACCCTACTGCATGCAATGGCTGGTAAAAAGGGACCTGTGCCTTTATCTGTGAATATACCCTTTGTAAGCTCACTTTTTAAAAAGTTGAGCATCAGCAATATTGAAAGTTCATGGAATCAAAATGCATATGAAACATAAAGAAATGGGAGAAAAATTAGGACCTTGGACTCAATATTTTCTCACTTACAGATTACCTTTCTGCCTGCTCCTTGGCCCTTCCACATGACCGCATAGCAACAGCCACAGCCTGAAGAGGGCCCTTGTATCCTTGCTGGGCTGGGGGGTGGGGGGGGGAGATTTTAGGGGTAAAGTTGACACTGTACTTTGACTCCAAGTATTCCCTTGTTAGAATGACAACAACTTGTGGATGGCATACCAGAACCAGGAAACCCAGCAGATCCAGATGGAGGAGAGAAATGTCTTCTGTGGGTCTTACAACATCCACATTCTTTCTGACACGTAGGTACTAGGATCTGAATATAGGTCTTCAGAGATCTTTGAACTGCCCACACTGGCATCTTAGGATTCCCATGACCCTGGTTCACTTGTAAAGGCAATCTTTCCTCACCTCAGGCTCTAAATTAACACGAGAATAGGTGCTTGCTTTTTTTGCACTATTATCAGCAGTGAGTGGGGGATATTTTTCCTTTATAAATTTTGGATATAATGACCAACAAACATGCACAATTTACATGCATCAAATATTTCTTTTTGAAATATTTTATTGTTTTATTCTAATATCAGAAGAAAAATATGCTTAGTGGGGGGGGGCGGGGGGAAATCCACCAAATGCCAGAAAACATATAGAGAAAAGCAAAGATCTCTTATAATTTTGTGTTCTAGAGATAACACCATTGATATTGGTGTCTATTCTAGAATTTTTTTTGCATGCATAAATATATATATTTTAAATAGAAGTGGGTTATGCTATACATATTTCTGTAACCCACTCCAGCAAAATACTGTGGGTATCTTTCCATGTTAAATATGAAAATAGTATTTATGATAACTACATAGTGTGACATCATGTAGATATGCTATAAGATCCTTTAACAGTCAACTTTCTGCCATGCTGTAGGCCTAGGATTTCACTCTTCTTTCACAAGGTTTTGTGAAGGCCATATCTATTTTATTTTTGGCTGTGAGCCGTACTAACAAATTGCATATTGACCAGTCCTTAAGGGAAAGACAGAGCACATAGGAGACATGCAAAGTTGACTTTTTATGAGTGGTATGGTGATAGGTACTCTTTAGAAAAGATGGTGACTGGTTGGTCTCAAGGAATGACAATTCAATGAGGACAAAATTGCTTCTCATATTTAGAGTGACCATACATTCCTTTTTACTGAAGCAATCCCACTTTACTCAGTGATCCTGGAGTAATTAATAATAGTGTCCCCTTTCACAATAAAAAATATTTGGATAATAATTATTTGGTCATCCTGATCACATTTTATCTATTTGTTAATAATATTATGGCTGAAAAATTAATTCAATTCAATTTGTTTTATCAGACTACAAGCTTATTGAAGTCAAGGTCCATATCTTACTCATTTTTGCATTTCTCATGGCTCCTTATTAGCTCAGGACTTGGAACTTAATGGATGCTCATGGATATTGGTTAAGAAAAATTAAAAGAAAAAAGAAATAGTGGTATATGCAGTGGGTATAGGGCTTCCCTACTGTGTTCCTCTGAGGTTTTCCATGAAAAAGGTTTCTGTGGTTAAATAAGTTTGGGAAATACTGCATACTCTATTCTCCTATTCTCTCTTTTGGGGATTTATCATACATTAATTAACAGATTTTTCTTTTTTCTTTCTTTCTTTTTTTTTTTTTTTTTTTTTTTTTTTTTTTTTTTTTTTTTAGATTTTGCCCCTTGTCTTTAGGTTTTAATTTTACCTAAAATGGATTTTTTGTTATGCTATGAGGTAGTGATCTATCAGGGCCCATTAAAACTAGGCCTTTATCTCTGCTACTGTCCTTGTTGGAAGGCCTTGACTTTTCATATACTTGCAGGTGAAACCACCGTGCTGGACACTAACTCTCTTTTCATGGATCATCCTTTTTCCTGGCAACCCAGGTGGGACAGAAATAGAATCATCCACTATTCTGGGGGAGATGTGGTAGCTGTGTCATCCAATCGGAAGATCCAGCTTCTGGACGTCTTACGAGCAAAGGAGATCCCTGTCCAATTCCGAGGCCACACTGGGAGTATCCGTGCCCTCTTCTTGTGTGAGGCGGAAAACTTTCTCCTGAGCGGGAGCTATGACCTGAGTATTAGGTGAGTGGGCCAACGAGTTGTGGTTCCTCACCATCCTAGGACCTACGTCCAGTTTGTAGAACAAAGAAGTATATATATATTTTTTTCCTTTTTGTAGTTATTGATAAGTTATCCTAAAAAATACTAACTTCTAGAATAGCCCATAGCATTTTGCTTTTTTAGCAAGGTAAAAACCAAAAACTTGTATTTGTTTAAACTTTGGATGAGATAGGCTTATAACAATGATCAGATCTACTAGTATTTTCTAGTTGAAGACTGTGAATCAGAAAGTATTTTTTTAGCATTCCTAGATGAAGGCCCAATTTATATTTCTTTTCATAGATTCCTTCAGGGAAAAGTATTTTTTTGTGGGTATGAAATAGGATATGGAAGTAAAAATATATACATATATATATATATATATATATATATATATATACACATTTATTTTTAAAGAATTATAAGAAGGACCATTGTGCTCATTACTTAGGCCAAGAAACAAAACGTTGTCAGTCTCCAAATCCTATTATGTGCCTTTCCCTTTTGCTTTTTTCTTCTTCCCAATCAGAGATAATGTTATTCTAAATTTTATACTAATTATACCCTTGTATTTTTATTGATTTATTTATAGTTATGCAACCTATATATATCTCCAAATATATTTATTACTTTGGTCCATTTTTTAATAACATAAATGGAATTGTTTTAAAAATTCATTCATATTTGATTTCTTGTACTGAACTATGATTTTGAGATTCATCCATATGATGTAGGCAGCAGTAATTAATGTATTTTTACTGAGATATAGTGTTTTATTGAATGAATATATCTTAATTCATTTATTTATTCTGTTGTTAATGTATATTTTGATTGTTTCTAGGTTTTCTATTCTTTTTTTTTTAATATATTTTATTGATTTTTTACAGAGAGGAAGGGAGAGAGTCAGAGAGCTAGAAACGTCCATGAGAGAGAAACATCGACCAGCTGCCTCTTGCACACCCCCTACAGGGGATGTGCCCGCAACCAATGTACATGCCCTTGACCGGAATCGAACCTGAGACCTTTCAGTCCGCAGACTGACGCTCTACCACTGAGCCAAACCGGTTTCGGCGTAGGTTTTCTATTCTTTCAAAGAGTGTTGCCATATGTGTTCTTGGATTTGTTCCCTGGTGCCTGTATCTATGAGTTTTTAGAAAAAAAAAATTTATTGGGGGTATAATTGTCATATAACATTTCTGTTTTAGGTATAAACAAACCCATCACCACGCAGAGTTACAGTTTTTGTTGTTGTTGTTATGATGAGAATTTTAAGATCTCTCTTAGTAACTTTGAATATATGGCACAGTATTGTTAGCTATAGTGCATGAATTTCTTATCTTTACTTTTTTAAAAAAAATATATTTTATTGATTTTGTACAGAGAGGAAGGGAGAGAGAGAGTTAGAAACATTGATGAGAGAGAGTCATCGATCAGTTGCCTCTTGCACACCCCCTACTGGGGATATGCCCGCAACCAAGGTACATGCCCTTGACCGGAATCGAACCCGGGTCCCTTCAGTCCCCAAGCCGACGCTCTATCCATTGAGCTAAACCGGTTTCAGCTTATCTTTACTTTTGACAGTATTGCAGGTGTACTCCATTTCCCCCCACTTTGCACCCATCCCCCCAGCTGTCACACCACCTCAGGCATTCCTCACACTATTGTCTGTGTCTATGGACTATGCATATATTTTCCTTGGTTGATCTCTTCCAATGCTCCCCACCCGACTCTCCTCTGATATCTGTTAGTCTGTTCAATGTAGCCAGGCCTTCTGTTTGCCAGTTCATTTTGTTCATTAGGTTCCACATATAAGTGAAATCATGTGATATTTGTTTTTCTCTGTCTGGCTTATTTCACTTGGTGTAATCTTTAGGTCCATCCATGCTGTCACGAAGAGTAAGAGTTCCTTCTTTTTAATAGCTATATAGAATTCCATTGTATAAATGTACTATGGCTTTTTTATCCACTCATCTACTGATGGGCACTTGGAGTATTTCCAAATCTTAGCTATTGTTAATGCTGCAATGAACCTAGGGGTGCATATATTCTTTCTGATTGGTGTTTTAGGTCTCTTGGAATGTATTCCCAGAAGTGGGACCTCTAGATCATACCACAGTTCAATATTTAATTGTTTGTTTGTTTGTTTTTTAATTTATTTTATTTTATTTTATTTTTAAATCAATCTTTATTGTTCATATTATTACAAAGGTTCCTCATTTCTTCCCCCCTCCACCAGGCTCCCACCCCACCCTCCGCCCCCTCCCCATCCCCCATTGTCCTCATCCATAGGTGCAGTTTATGTTCAGTCTCTTCTTCCCTCAATTTCCCCGATAGTAAATCCCTTTTCAGATAGTAAATCAGTTACTTAGCATTTTCTCATATCAATAATACCTCCACATGCCCAATGATACACTTCACACAAAGACACTTCCCAATAGGTCCACCAGCCTCATCTAGGCCCCACCCAAGGCACTCACAGATCAACACCCCAGCCCTATACCAACCCAACACATCCAGATCTAAGCCTTCATCACTTGATTCAGCAGACCCTCAAGTTCCCACGAAAGTTTCCAGCCATGTCTGAGAGGCAGCCATGGGGCAGGGGCAGGCGAGGAGTGAGCTGTTCCGGGCCTGGCAGCTCAGGGCCTGGCCTCTGTTGCTCTGGTTCGTTCCACAACCAGCTGCTCCGGGTCTGGTCACTGCCGCTCCCGACCTAGTTGCTCTGGACTTGGCTGCTGCTGCTCCGGGCCTGGCCGCACCCGGCCCGGCTGCTCCCCCGGGCCTGGCCGCTCCCAGCCTGGCAGCCGCTGCTCCGGGCCTGGCCGCACCCGACCCGCCTGCTCCCCCGGGCCTGGCCGCTCCCAGCCTGGCAGCCGCTGCTCCGGGCCTGGCCGCACCCGACCCGCCTGCTCCCCCGGGCCTGGCCGCTCCCAGCCTGGCAGCCGCTGCTCCGGGCCTGGCCGCACCTGACCCGGCTGCTCCCCCGGGCCTGGCCGCTCCCAGCCTGGCAGCCGCTGCTCCGGGCCTGGCCGCACCTGACCCGGCTGCTCCCCCGGGCCTGGCCGCTCCCAGCCTGGCAGCCGCTGCTCCGGGCCTGGCCGCACCTGACCCGGCTGCTCTGGGCCCGGCTGCCCCGGGCCCGGCCGCTCTGAGCCTGACCACTCCCGACCTGGATGCTCTGGGCTTGGCTACTGCTGTTTTGGGTCTGGCTGCTCCCACCCTGGCTGCTCTGGGCCCGGCTTCTCCGGGTCCGGCCACTCCGGGTCTGGGTGTTCCTGGACTGGCCACCCTGGGCTTGGCCACCTCCGCCTCATGCCTGGCTGCCACTGCCCCAGGTCTGGCTACTCCAGTGCTGGCTGTTGATGCTCTGGTTCTGGCTGCTGTTGTTCTGGTGCCTGGCCGTTGCTGCTCCGGGTCTGGCTGCCACTGCCTTGTGCCTGGCCACTCTAGGCCTGGCCACCGCTGTTCCAACATTCTGTCCTTTTTTTTTTTCTTTTTTCTTTTTAAAACGCATTTATGTTGCAATGTTGGCTGGTGAGTTGAGTTCTGACTTAGTCTTTGATTTTTCAAGATCTTCTTTGTATTCTTTCTTAAGTAATTTTACTATTTTTTGCTCTCACTTGATTTCTTCACATTGAGAACTTCTTTGGTTTCTTCCTCCTTGTCCTGGGAGCTCAGCAGGTTGGCCTGTGGCACCCCTTTGTTCTCCGCGGGCTCCTGCGCTGCTTCAGCCTGTTGCCAGGGACGGCGCCCCCCAGGAAGCAGCCCCCGGCCTTGGCTCCATTGCCCGGCCTTGGCTCCATTGCCCGAGCTCAGTGGTCAAAGGCTCAGGGGCACCCACGCCCCCAGGGGTCCCGAGCCCGCCTCCTTGCTGGTGCCCGGTTGGCTGGAGTCCGACAGGGGCTTCCGCTCCCCTCCGTGTTCCCCCAGCCTAGAGCTTTTTTTTTTTTTTTCTCCTTCCCGCTAGAGAAATACAGCATCAGAGTCAACAGACTGTCCTCTGCGCGCAGTTTGCGCGAGTCCCGGGGGCCCGGCCTTTCGCGCTCTCCCCAGACTCCACCTCACAGCCCCATCTCCCTCTGCCTGAGCCTGGGTCCCCAGGGATTAGCCCAGAACTGGGGTTCGGAGCAGTCCGGACTGAGGCTCAGCGCCGCCGGAGGCCTTGTTTCTTCCGGCTAGGGTAACCCAGCCTCAGAGTCAACATTCAGTCCTCTGCGCGCATTGCGCGCGACTCCCGGGGCCCTGCTTTTCGCCGTTTTTCTGCCTCACAGCCCCGTCTCCTCCCGCGGGAGCCTGGGTCCCCAGGGTCTGGCCCATAACTGGGGCTCAGCGCTGCCGGGTTCGGGGGGGTTCAGCACTGCCGGTTCGGGGGTTCAGCCCAGGCTGGGGGTTTTATTTCCTTCCTGCTAGGGAAGGAAAGGCAGCTCCCCGCCCTCTCCTCCTCTCCGGCTGCGACCTCTCCAAGCGTGCGTGCGGGCGGACGCGCGCGCAGCATGTCTCCGTACCTTAGGCTTTTTTTCAGCTCCTCTGATTTTCTTTCTGGTTTTCTCTTTCCTTCTTGTTGTAGAAATTTCAGTCAGTCGACTACCTGTAGCTCTGGGCAATGTCCACTCTACATTTTAGTTGTATTCCATTGAAATTGTTGTGTGCTGCCGCGGCTAGATGTCTACCCGAGCAGCCATCTTGGATCCTCCCCAATGATATATCTCAATATTTAATTGTTTGAGGAAACTCCATACTGTTTTCCACAGTGGCTGTACCAATCTGCATTCCCACCAACAGTGTACTAGGGTTCCCTTTTCCCCATATCATTGCCAGCAATAGTTAGTTGATTTATTGATAGTAACCTTACTGGTAAGTGTGATTTGATACCTCATTGTATAATAGTTTTAATTTGCATTTCTTTGATGATTAGTGAGCATTTTTTTAATGTCTATTGACCATCTTTATTTCCTCTTTTGAGAAGTATTTATTCAGGTCCTTTTCCCATGTTTTAATTAGATTGTTTGTCTTTCTGTTGTTGAGTTATATATGCTGTTTATTTATTTTGGAAATGAACCTCCAGTCAGATGTATCATTAGCAAATATATTCTCCCATAGAAAAAGTGGGCTCCCTTTTCATTTTGTTGATGGTTTCTTTTGCTATGCAGAAGCTTTTTATTTCATAACTAAGAATTTATAATGTTGATATTGTAAATAGTACTTCATTTTCATTTATATTTTAAATTGATTATTACTGGTATGGAGAAATGATAAAAAAAATTTTTTTGTAGTTTGATTTGTATCTAGCAACTTTGCTAATTTTTCTTAATAATTTTAAAAGTATGTGTGTTCCTGGATCAGTGCGGTCATGTGGGGCTCACCTGAATGTGGTGCTCCTGCAGCTGTCCTGGCCAGGCCAGTTTTTCAATAAATTCTTGCCTGCTTTTTTTTTAATAAAAAATAAATAAATAATATAAAATAAATAAATAAAAGTATGTGTGTTGATTTGGTTAGTCTATGTAGATAACCTTATCAACTGGAAATAATGACAATATATTACTCCCCACTCACCCCCAATAATTGTAGTATATTTTTTTTTCTTTCATCTTGTCTGTGCCTGGACCTTCCAGTTAGACAGTAGTAGTAAGAACAGGCATCCATATCTTGGTCTCCTTTTTGTTTTTGTTTTTTGTTTGTTTGTTTTGTTTTTTTTAATTTCTATTTTTATTTATTTATTTTTTTAAATAAATTTTTATTGTTCATATTATTACAAATGTTCCTCCCCCCCCCCCAGCCCACCATTGCTCTCCTCCACCAGGTTCCCACCCCACCCTCTGCCCTTTCCCCACTCCCCATTGTCCTCATCCATAGGTGCATAGTTTATGTTCAGTCTCTTCCCACATCCCTCTCTCCCCTTTTCCCCAAGAATCGTCAGTTCACTTCCCTTCCATAACCTCTGATTCTATTATATTCAACAGTTAATATTGTTCATCAGATTTTTTATAATTCCCTTGGTTTTTAGATTCACTTGTTGATAGTTACGTATTTGTTGTTCATAATTTTTTTTTAATATATTTTATTGATTTTTTAGAGAGGAGGAGAGAGGGACAGAGAGCTAGAAACGTCGATGAGAGAGAAACATTGATCAGCTGTCTCTTGCACACCCCCCACCAGGGATGTGCCCGCAACCAACGTACATGCCCTTGACCGGAATCGAACCCAGGACCCTTCAGTCTGCAGGCCGATGCTCCATCCACTGAGCCAAACCAGTTTTGGCTGTTGTTCATAATTTTTATCTTTATTTACTTTCTCTTCTGAAAGAACCCCCCTCAGCAATTCATATAATTCTGGTTTGGTGTTGATGAACTCCTTTAGCCTTTTTTTTTATTAGTGAAGCTCTTTATCTGACCTTCGATTCTGAGTGATAGCTTTGCTGGATAGATTATCTTTGGCTGTAGGTTCTTACTATTCATCACCTTGAATATTTCTTGCCATTCCCGTCTGGCCTGCATGGTTTCTGTTGAGAAATCAGCTGACAATCGTATAGGTGCTCCTTTATAGGTAACTACCTTCTTTGCTCTTGCTTCTTTTAATATTCTCTCTTTGTCTTTTGCTCTTGGAATTTTAATTATGATTTGTCTTGGTGTGGTCCTCTTTGGATTCCTTTTGTTTGGAGTTCTGTGCGCTTCCTGGACTTGTAAGACTAATTCTTTCACCAGGTGGGGGAAGTTTTCTGTCACTATTTCTTTCAGTATGATTTTGATATCTTGCTCTCTCTCATCTTCTGGGACCCCCATAATTCTGATGTTGATTCGCTTGAATTTGTCCCAGAGGTTTCTTACATTATCTTCAATTTTCTGGATTCTCTTGCCTTCTAGCTTCTGCGGAGGAGTGTCTTCTGGCTCTTTATGTTCCAACTCTTTGACTTGATTCTTGCGAACTTCCATTCTGTTTTTAGGACTCTGTATAATATTTTTTATTTCAGATAATGTATTCTTTATTTCTTGTTGATTTCTTATCATTTCTTGTTGATCCCTTATTATCTCTTGTTAATCTCTTATCATTTCTTGTTGATTCCTTATTAATTCTAGTTGATCCCTTTTCATATCCTCATAGGTCTTATCCATCTTTTCTAGGAAATTCTTGAAAAACCTTATAAGTGTAGATTTGAACTCTATATCCAATTGCTTTTTGTCCTCCATTTCTTTTGTATGTGATCTATTTCATCTCGGCATTTTCGCAGCTTTCCTGAGTTGGTAGCCTTAAAAGTCTCTGTGTTCTGCTTGGATGGGGCGGGGTTTCAGGGTGGAGCCTGCAGTTTTGGCTTCCGTCAGCCCCGCCCTATGCGGGTCCTTCAGTACTAGTTGCAAGTGCCTCTGAGAGAAAGGTGCCCTCGATTTTCGCCTGCTGCCAAACAGTCTATGCTCTCCCTCAATGAGCCCAGTATTGGGGTTTAGTTCAGTTGAAAGTGGAGTTGGAGGTGGTGTTCAGAGCAGTCCGGAGCCCCAGTCTCCTTCCCGCCAGGGCAATCCCGTGGCACAGCCAACCGTCCCTTCTCTGCGCACAATGTGCGCGCCGCCGGGACCCCTTTCGCCACTTCCCCGGGGCTCCGCCTCGCAGCCCAGCTCCCTCTGTATGAGCCTGGGTCCCCGGGGTCTGGCCTAGAACTGGGGTTCAGAGCAGTCAGAACTGTGGCCAGCACAGAGTTTTATCTCCTTCCCACTTGGGAACGCCAGCCAGACACTCAGCCTCCCTCCTCTCCGGCTCCGTCCTCTCCTTGCGTCTCCGTACCTTAGCTTTTACAGCTCCTCCACGCCTCCTTCTGGTTTTCTCCTTGCTTCTCGTTGTAGAATTTCCAGTCAGTTGACTTTCCTCTAGTTATGAGTAATGTCCATTTTATATTTTAGTTGTATTTTATTGAAATTGTTGTGTGCGGCTGCAGCAAGGTGTTTACCTGTCAGCCATCTTGGAACAACCCGTCTTGGTCTCCTTTTTGAAGGGAGTATATTTATAAAATCAAATAATTTTTTTCTATTTCTACTCAACAAGTGTTTATCAAATACATATTCTGTATGTATTTAGAAAAGCAACCTGGACACATGGTCGGCCATGTTGCTAGAGATGGAAATTCAAAACATGTTGTTTTGTTTTAGACTACTGGGACATGGTTAAACACACTGTGGGTGCATAGCAGGCTCTAACACTTGGGAATATTAGAAGGCCACAGGACTTCTAATATTCTAATATTAGAAGAAAATCATCACATTCAAAGAATGTATTATTAATAATTATTATTATATTTTATCATTAATCATATATTATGCCAAATCTAATAACTGTATGAGGCAAGTGCCATTATTATCCCCAGTTTACAGATTAGGAAACTGAGGTACAGAATGGTTTATTAAATTACCCAAGATCACACCCTTAGTAAGTGATTGTCCTGGGCTTGGACCCCAGGCATCCTGGCTCCAGAGTCTATTAAATAAGCATTTCCCTGTGCTCTGTCACAGAAATAATCTGGCTGAAGCGGAAATCTGTAATAATGGTAGTTAAAAGATCTCAGGCAAGCATGTTTATTAAAAAACCGTGTAACACATACATATTTCCGCATATCTATTAGATATGCTTCAGAAATATACATAAAATATTTTGGATCTACTTGGCTATGGTAGTTTTTCTATTTCTATTATTCAACAAGTGTTTATCAAATATATTTTCCATATGAATTTAGAAACACATCCTGGATACATGGTTGGCCAAGTTGCTAGAAACCAAAATTCAAAGCATGCTCTTTTAAGACTCCTGGGACATCATTAAACACACCATAGGTGTGTAGTTGGCTCTGACAAACAGGTAAAGTCATAGGACAGTTGGAAGATCAGCTCTATCATTGTATCAGTGCCATGAATTTTAGGCCTGATGGTCATTCCAGGGACCTTCCCACGTAACAGCTACTGAGCATTTTCTACACATTGGTTACTATTCTAATGTTATATGCCTTAATGCGGGGTTTCTCAACTTCAGCACTATTGACATTTAGGGCTGGAGAATTCTTTCTGTGGAGACACTCCTGTGCATTGTAGGAGGTTTAACAGCATCCTTGAACTCTAAACACTAAATACCAGTATCACCTCCATCCCTGCTTTTCACAACTAAAACGATCTTCAAGCATTGTCAAATATTCCCAGGGGGGTGAGGGGGGAGATCACCCTGGGTTGACAATCACTCCATTCATGTATTTAATTCTTCACAAAAATCCTATGTGGTAACTATTAATATTATCACTTCCATTTCATCAATCAGGGAAAGAAGCTTACACAGAAATTAAGTAACTTTCCCAAAGTCACATCTAGTAGGTACTATAACTGAGATTAAATTCCAGGACTCTGAGTTTGACCAGGAAACTTTTCTGCCTTACAACTAATTTTTTATCTACAGGAACACTATGCCGTATGAGCCCTTGGGTCCTACGAAAATCTGAAAAACATTTTTTTGGCCTAATTCCTGCAGATACTGGGATCTGAGAAGTGGGACTTGCATACGAATCTTCACCGGCCACCAGGGGACAATCACTTGCATCGATTTATATAAGAATACACTAGTGTCTGGAGCAAAAGATTGCCAGGTGAAAGGTGAGAAGAAACTTTCTAAGAAGTTTCCCCAAGTCCATAGATTGCCAAAATACACATTTTGCTCATTTCTACAGGCATCCACTTTTTTTTTTTTAATCCACCCACCCATCAATATACCTACTGATCCATTTCTTTGACAATTGTTGGTTAAATATGTACAATATGCTAGATACTGTGTGAGCTATCCTGTATAATAAAAGGGTAATATGCAAATTGACCCTAACAGCTGAACAACAAGAAAAGACCAATACTGACCAGGGGGCAAATGCTCAACGCAGGAGCTGCCCCCTGGTGGTCAGTGTGCTTCCACAGGAGGAACTCCATTCAGCTACAAGCTGGGCTGAAGGTTGTGAGTGCAGTGGTGGGAGCCTCTCCCATCTCCTTGGTAGCACTAAGGATGTCCAACTGTGGCTTAGGCCCACTCCCTGGGGGAGTAAGCCTAAGCCACAGTTGGACATCCCCTGAGCTCCTGGACTGTGAGAGGGCACAGGCCAGGCTGAGGGACCCCCTGAGTGCACGAATTTTCATGCACCAGGCCTCTAGTTAAGAAAATAAAATGAGTATGAAATGGCTCTTTCAATACAGCCTTTTATTTCCTCCAGAGGCTTGTCATTTCTTAATGAAAATAGATATATAAATATATGATGGGGAATATAGTAAAATATGTAACTAATATAACAACTGCCACTTATTGAGTACTAACTTTTTGACTGTGTTAGATGCTTTATATATATTATCTTATTTAATCCCCATAAGAATACTATGTGGTGGATACAGATGAAAGATCCAAACTCAGAGAGAAAAACAATTTTTCCTAAATTAAAACTGCTGAGTGATAGAGTGTCTGACTAAATTATATGCTCCAAACCAACATGCAGAGTTCTGTGGGACCATGGAACTAAGAGCAGGAGGGAAAACAGCACAGACAGGATACTATTTAGTTCCTGAGAGAGAGTAGAGGACAATCCAAGTAGAAGGAACAGCACAGGCAAATCCATAGAAGGTTGAAGAAAATGGTGTGTTCAGGAAATTTCCCCTTGCTGGTGTGGCTGGGTGTAGTGTTAAAGAAAATTTGTTTATGGCCAGATTATCGAGGGCCTTATGCATCATGGAAGGAAAATGAACCTTATCCTATAGGACATAGGAAGCTACTAGTATAAATGCATCTTAAGCTGAGGACTGACATGATCAAACTAGAGGCCTGTTGCAAGGTCTTTCTTCCCTTGGCTTCTAGCACCAGTTTTCAAACAGAACCTGGGTCCCAGGCCTTTGCTCCAGCTGGAGTCTGCCTTCCTCGTCTTTGCTGCAGGCTACAGCCAGCGTCTGCCGCCTTCGTCTTCACTGCAGACTCCAATCAGAGTCTGCCATCTTCGTCTTTGCTGCAGACTCTGGCGTGTCTGCCATATTGGTCTTCACTGTACACCCTGGCTGAGTCTGACATCTTGGTCTTCAACGCACACTCTGGCTGGAGTCTGACATTTTGGTCTTCGCTGCAGACTCCAGAGTCTGAAGTCTTCGTTTTTGCTGCGCCAGAGTGCCGCTCCTGTAGATCCCTTCGCCCCCTGCCCTCCCTCTCATAGCAGGCATCCTGCCCCACCAACCACTCAGTATCTGGAACAGCTGGGCAGCTGCCATCTTTGTCCTTCTAATTTGCATATTCCCTCCTGATTGGCTGGTGGGCCAATTTGCATGTTTCTCTTTTATTAGTGTAAGTATGCTTTTGAGAAAGATAACTCTAGTAATAGTGTGGAAGAAGAATCTGGAGGACAGTAACCATGTGGAGATAGTGGACAAAATGAGACACTACTCAGTTTAGAGACTGTGGTGTTTTTATATTATTGGAGAGCAGGCAAGTGAAGAAACTCAGAAGGTGTGAGTTTACATTAAATGGCATAGATTCTCTGAAGGGAGATTTCTAGGGGGGGAATTGGCAGGGCTTTACCACCAATTGGATATGAAAAGTGAGAAAGACAGAAGCGCAAATAATGAGGCCACACTTTTAAACTCAGGCCATTGGGGATATAGAAGTGCCATTTATGTAAATAGGAACTACAGGGGAATAGCAGTGATACCATTATAACAATCTGGTTATTAATTAACAGAAATATAATAAAAGGGAGACTAAATAATATAGGCATGCTATTTATACAGCTTTGCCAAAAAGCTACAGTTTAACATTCCCCAAGTCTGTTCCTATAGATCAATGGGTTGAAGGGACTGGACAATAGGTGCATGCCCAGTAAGGTTGAATGATTTGGGAAGATGCTTATCTGTCAGTCACAACTGGGAGCCAGTCAGTGGACAGAAAGGTGTGAAATCTGAGACACTTAACTCCAGAACCAAGGGAGTTCTCTCTTGGCTCTTGTGCTCTGGAACTACTATGGTTGGGGATACACTCCCTGGAATTTATGTGGCCCATGGTAGCCTAATACTATATCAGACCCAGCTCCACCATGGAACAAAACTCTGGACACTGAACCTGCTGTGGGTTCTGCTGGAGGACCAGCTACGTATTTTCCAGGTCCAGGTTAAGAGACATGGGACTGTGCAACCCAATAAATATAATTCCATGCCAACAAAAGCCACCTTTTCTCCCATGTGAGTCTTAGAAAACTCCTTACTAAAGATATTTTTAAGAACCCCACCTCCACTATGACAGGGAATTGCAACCTACCCAATCTCCTGGCAACAATAGGGAAGGGTGAGGAATGGAGGAAGTGGTAATGGCTTCAATTTTAGACATGTTGAGTGTGGTGGGCAGAATAATGGCCAACCAAAGATACTCATGTCTTAATTCCCAGAATCTATGACTATGTAACTTTGTATGGCCAACGGGACTTTGCAGATGCAATTAAGGACTTTAAAATGGAGAAATTAGCCGAAACCAGTTTGGCTCAGTGGATAGAGCATTGGCCTGCAGGTTGAAAGGTCCCCAGTTCAATTCCAGTCAAGGGCATGTACTTTGGTTGCAGGCACATCTCCAGTAGGGGGTGTGCAAGAGGTAGCTGATTGATGATTCTCTCTGATAGATGTTTCTAACTCTCTCTCTCTTCCTTTCTGTAAAAAATCAATAAAATATATAAATAAAATAAATAAATAAATAAATAAATAAATAAATAAATAAATAAATAAATAAAATGGAGAAATTATCCTTGGTTTTCAATGTGGGGCCATGAGTAATCACATGGATCCTTAAAAACAAACTTTCTTGTCTGTGATCAAAAGGAGATGTGATTATGGAAGAATTGTCATTGAGATGCAATGTTGCTGGCTTGAAGATAAAAGAAGGGAGGCATGAGCCAAGGAATGTAGGTGACTCTGGAAGGTGGAAAAGGCAAGGAAGTGGATCCCCTCCCTCATAGTCTCCATAAAGAAACAATACCCTGCTGACACTTTGATCTTAGCCTTTTGAGGTCATGTCAGATTTCTATAAAATAATAAGTGTGTGTTGCTTTTGGCGTCTAAGCTTGTGGGAACTTGTTACAGCAGTAATAGAAAGCTAATTAATTGAGTATGGGATTCCCAGAGTTACCCAGGTGAGAATTGCAGTAGGAAGATGCATGTGTGTCTACACAAGTCTTGAGCTCTAGGTATGTTGTTTTGGTGGTTATCAATGATAATGAAAGTTGGAAGCTCTATGTATGGGTGAGAAGTTCCCTGCAAATCCAGAGGAAACATGACAAGAAGAAAAGCAAGAGACCCAAAAACCTCAGCATATTAGGGGCACGTGGAGGAAAAAGATGTGGAAAAGGGAGAAAGAGTGGTGACACATACGCAAACACTTAGACTTTCTTAAGATACTCCCTACCTTTTTGCTCTCCTTTACCTGAACATGTCTTGTTGCCATGATTGCTTTAAGGAGTAGAGCAGAAAGGATGAGGGCCTGAAGATGCAAGGATAGACAAGGCCTCAAGCTTGAAAGAATCCTATGATAACACAGGCAAAGGTGGAACTAGGGCAAAGGGATTTAGGCCTTTAACTCAGGTATAAAACTTGAGGGAGCACCAATAAAACCTCATAATCAAGTTACATATTTTAATGCAGCATTTAAAAGTCAAAACTAATACACAGGATGAAAAAACTATCAAAAGATCTCTCTTACCCTAAGCTTTGCCCTGCCAGCAGCCCCTGGCCTCTTCCCACCTGCCTGGGTTACCAAAACCCAAGAGAAAGAGACAATTGAAAACCTGAAAGGTAACTCTCCATGTTTTAAGTTCTTTAAATGATGTCCCCTTCCCAAGAATATTTTAATTAACATTTCAAGTTTCACACATCTAATTTAATAAAAGAGCCAGTATGTATGTAAAATAAGAAAAACATACTTAACGTTAATCTGGTATACATGGTTAAGAGCATAGCCTCTGGATCCAGACTCCCGGGGTTCTAATCACAGCTTACTCTGCTAATCGCCTGTGTGATTCAGGTTACCGAACCTCTCTCTGTCTCAGTTTCCCCCTCTGTACAGTGGGAAATAATAATAATATTTATCTTGTGAAGATGAGTTAATACATGTCAAGCAATTTGAATGATGCCGGGCTTTTTGTTAGTACTCTATAAATATTAGCTGTGGTCATTTTTGTCTTAGATTATTCATTCTGCTGCCAAGGAGGTACTTTGGGGCTGATGAAGTTGACCATAACAGTCTTATCACTGAATTCATGGTGCACACTTTTAATTTTTACCTCTAAGCTCTGTTCTCCCACTCCCCCATTTATTTCCATATCCACCCATCTTACAGTACACTGGGCTGTTGCTCTAGCACCATCTATGTAGGAGCAGCCTAAACCGGCCTCCAGGTGTGATAGCCTCTCAATTAGTACAATCCAAATCATATTCAGAAATATTAAAAAATGTAAGTGGAAATAGACAGCTTTCTTTTCTTTGGGGGATGGAAAGTGTCAGTCAGGAGCATAGCATCTTGAAAGATGATGCCACCATTTTTTCAACATCTCCATGGCAAGAATTTTTTAGGTTTGAGAAGTATCATTGGAGATGAGCTGTCCAGAACTTGGACTCTAAGGCTAAGTTCCTCAGTTAGAGCCATGATTTAGGCATGGCTGGATCTCCCAAGGGCTCATGATTAGGGAGCTCTGTGTTGCAGGTACATGGAGCTATTGGTGAAACTGTGGGGGTGCTGGGCCAGGCTAAAATCTTTTGTGGTCTGACTCGACGGGCTCCACTTAGCTTCTGTGATGGGGAATTGAACAAACCTGTAATCTGCTCTCCTCCCTCTGTCTGACCTCACCTTTCTCTATCCTCCCTTTCAGAGTGGGATGTAGACACGGGGAAGTGCCTGAAGACATTTAAACACAAAGACCCCATCTTGGCCACCAAGATCAATGACACCTACATTGTGAGCAGCTGTGAGCGAGGAATAGTGAAAGTGTGGCACATTGTCCTGGCTCAGGTGGTAAAGGTGGGGGCAGTAGGCTGTGGAGGGAATTGGGCACTGGGGGGTGATGCTTGGAGCAATTGAGTTACAGTCACCAGAAGGGCAATCCTAAAGAACTGAAGGGGAAGCCCCACTCCAAAAAAAATGGGCCATTGACTGTTGGTGGAATGTCAGGACCCATGTGACCCACGCTGTCATGGGGGTGGTATTGAAAGGCTGCATTCTGATTAGACATTATAGATGGGCTCAGGATATTTTTATAGCAATAGAGAATATTCTACCCTGATTCTGGCATGGGTAAGGAAAGGAACAAAACGGTTTTTCCCTTACTCTCTGATGAGAATGTTGGCTATATTGAAAGTGCCTGAATGTTCAAATACATAAAATGTTCTTGAAACCTCCTGGCCATCATGGATGGTGGTGAGATATCATTTATGCCAGGAGCACAGCATCACAGCTTTTTACCACTAATCTTGTTGTCACTGTGGTCTAACCAGCATTTGCAGGCACATGATGCCCCGGGTGCCCACTGGGTCCTGGTAAGAAGCTGGGGATGGAACACCTGGCCCTTCTCCTTCTGGCAGAAGAGGACAATGCAATGATCCAGGCCCTCTCTGGTACTCCAGAGAGATGGGCCTGCATCGGCCACAGACCCACCAGCAGTCTTCTCTCTGATCCATTCGCCCTTCACTGGGGAGGGAGCTCTGGAGAGAGAAAGCCTCCTTAGAGCAAAAGTAAAGTTGGCTAGCTAAATACCGAGTGAGCCGTACTCATGGGTTGGTGGACAGTGGCTTTGGAATTTACCTAAAGAAGCTTCCAGCTTTGGCCCTTGGAGGAGTCACACTTTGGGTTGAGGATTGGCTAAAAACAGAATCAACTTTTCTTGCAGATTCTCATTGGCCACGAGGGAGCTGTGAAGTGCCTGTGCTTTGACCAGTGGCATCTCCTCTCGGGAAGTGTGGATGGCCTAGTCATGGCCTGGAGCATGGTGGGAAAGTATGAGCGATGTCTCATGGCCTACAAGCATCCCAAGTATGTGCTAGGAAAGCCCTGTCTGAAGTGTATGGTGCTCTCTCCTTTTCCTGTCACAGCCTCTGCCTTGATTTTTGGCAGATCAGTCCCTTTTGCTGTCTATGACCTTTTGTCCCCTTTGCTACTCAACCCATTTCTTTTCCTCCTCCTTTATCTATTACCTACCACCTGCTCTGTTTGACCAGTCCCTCTACCATTCTCACTTGTTTCTCTTAAGAAACAACACTATTTATGTGGATTTAGAGAAATGTCTGATATGTTATATATATGACACACGTGATATACTGGTGTCTGTTCCTACTAAATGTCTGGATTTGGGCAGAAATGTCCCAAATAATGCCAATTCCAGTCAAAGTAATATGTTTGGAATTGGTGGTTTGCCCCAGGAAGTTTGTGTTCACAAAAGCTTGAAATGTTCCAAGTTAAAAGGTTTAAAAATAATTGAGGGCCTTCTCTGTCTGATAAGCTTAACTTATATGTGAATCTAAAGAACAATATAAATGAACAACCAAAACAGAAACAGACTGATAGGAATTGATGGTTGCCAGATGTGTGTGAATAGCAAGCTGAGTAAAAAAGGTAAAGGAGTGATAACTGCAATTGGTAGTTACAAAATAGTCATGGTGGGGGGATATAAGTTAGAGTATAGGGAATATAGTCAACAGTACTGTAATAACTATGTATGATGCCAGGTGGACACTAGACTTATTGGAGGATCACTTCTTAAATTATATAAATGTCTAATCACTATGCTGTACACCTAAAACTAATATAACACTGAATGCCAGCTGTAATTGAAAATACTAACTAAGGGCTTAGAGAAGGAGCTTACTTAAAGTCTGTGAGCTCAATTCTATTCCAGGACAGAAATGGATTTCATTTTATAATTCCAATCCCAATTTAGTGGTAGTGGCTGCTTAGAGCCATTTCAGAAGTAGTCTGAGGTCACATTGGGGCTTATTTGGAAAGGGTATTGTGGTCACTTAATGGGTTTGCCATGAACAAAGGTTTTACAGTCTGTTCTGTGCCACTCCAGTACTATGTGAATAATTATTTTTTCTCTGAGTGCAATGTAAACAACCCCAGGGAATGAAGGCTATACCAATTGATTAAAAGAGTAAATAAATCTTCCAGGGAAATCTATCAGGTGATAGCTATTTAGTAAATATGTCTCTAAATTTCCTTATATCCTCCAAAGAACTTCTTGGCAGGCACACTGGCTTCATAGGAGGTAGAAGGGGATTTGGGTATATATGTGTACTAGTGACACGGTGCACAGATTCGTGCACATTGAAAGGAAATTCATTAGAAGGTGGCTGGTGGGGTGGGACTGGGAGAGATGGCCAGACCTGCCATGGAGACAACCTCCCACCGTCCCTCTCTGGCTGGCCACACCTGGGGTGGTGCTGTGGCTTGAAAGGCATCTGTGGAGTGAGAGGGAGGTCCCTCCGGCAGGTGGGGTCCCTCTGCCTGGTCCTTGGGGATCAAGCTGAAACTGGCTCTCTGACATTCCCTGAGGGGTCCTGAAGTGTGAGAGGGCACTCTGCAAAGTTGTTGTACAGGGTGTGCAACGCAAACACAAGTGTGCAATAAACCAGATTCGGGGCCGACAGTGCCCCAGCAACAACATAACCCTGCCAAAGATGGAATCTCATGGCCCCATGAGAAATTGTGCTCCCTCCTCTCTGGCTCAGGGTGTATCACCGAGAACCACTGCTGCCACATCATTGCAGCTCGGCAGCTCCTGCTTTGAGCGTCTGCCCCTGTGGTCAGTATGCATCAGAGCAACTGGTCAGATGGAGGGAGAGACACTTAGCACATTAGCCTTTTATATAGTTAGGTATCCTTTGTCTGTGGTGCATGACTGTATTCTTGATGAGTGGGTGCTGGTAAGGGCCTGTGTTCGGTGATTTATTCAACCCTTAGGTGACTGTCAGCAACTCTCCTAGTATGTCAAACCTGGACCCCAAGGAGGGAGTCAAACCTTATTATGTTATCTGAAATTTGCAACTATATGTTTTAAAAACCTCCCAACCACAATTCAGTAGGATTTAGTTTAAGTATTGGAAAATTATTTGTTCCCAGAAAACCCACTAGTTTAGTTACTATTCCAGCCTCCCACTCCACCTCAGCTATAAGACATTCCTAAACCATTGTCACTCCCATTGAATGGGAGCCCCAACATACCATTCTCCTTGGCTCTTGATGCCTTGCATAGCTACAGTGAATCTATAGACAGCTGGCAGACATGGTCGATGCTCTTGTTTATGGGGCTCCTCCTCCTACTCGTCTCTTGTGTTTATGTACTGGTAAGTGCCCCATAAATATTCTTAATTGATTTTTAATAAGGACTAATTTAACAGATTGCCTTTCTGGAGAGTTGTCATGATTGGACTGATATCCATCTTCTGAATATGATAGAGGTGTAAAAACAGACATAGTTGCTATCTGTCTTCTTAACATTTTTTTCCTCCAAAATGAAGATTATGCTTATAGTGTGGGAGACAAGAGATAAAAGAAATAAAATTAGAAGATACAAAATAGGAGATATAGAAATGATGATCCCTATAAAAGTTTTGTACTCTGTAGTATCTTAAAAATCAAATAAACATGTCCTTTATTCTTTAATGTTTTATAATAATACATTTTTAAATTTTTAAATAAAGATAGAATTTGCATAACATAGAAGTCATAGTGTGCAATTCAGAGGTTTTTAGTGTATTTGCAATGTTGTATAACCATCACTACTATCAAGTTAGAGAACATTTCCATCAGTCAATAGGAATGTCCTCTGTTTCATTTCTGATTTTAGTGATTTCAGTTTTCTCTTTTAGTTTCTTGGTCAGTCTAAGTAAATAATTGTCAGTTGTTTAGCCAAAGGTTTGTTCATCTTTTCAAGGAACCAACTTTTGGTTTCACTAATTTTTCTCTATTGTTTTTCAATTCTCTAATTCATTGATTTATGCTTCAAGCTTTATTTTCCTTCTCTGTGGTTTATGTTTAGTTTGACCTTCTTTTCCTAGTTTTTTAAAGGTGAAAGTTAGGTTATTGATTAGAGAAATGTAGGCATCAACTACTATGTATTTCCCTATGAACAAATTTTCCATGTTTTCTTCTGTTATTTATTTCTAAAGAATGTATATATGCAAGGGTGGGGATGAGGATAAGAGATAGTTTTAAGAGCTAAGCCATGGGTGGACTTAGATGGGTAGAGATGGCAGGGATGGGTGGACTTGCTTTGCATTTAAAATCAAACAAATTGGTGGCATCAAATTCAACTATTCAGAATTATTTACAGGAATGTGTTAAGTACACCTCTCAGAACTGATTACTACACATATCTGGAGTCCCACTTGGACCAGCTGTTGTAGGGAGGATTTTGTTAGAGGAATCCATCTAAGTCATCTCCTGCTCCTGTCTCTTTTCTTACTGGTCATCACAAAAGGGAACTGATAAACCTCAGTTTTCCTTCAGGATGTTTAACTAGAAAAACAAAAGCTACCAATTTAAGACCCAAAAGAAACTGCTCAAATACCAGATTTTTTAAAAAATGTATTTTATTGATTTCTTATAGAGGGGAAGAGAGAAGCAGAAACATCTATGAGAAACATCAACCAGCTGCCTCCTGCACACCCCCTACTGGGGATGTGCCTGCAACCATTGTACATGCCCTTGACCAAAATCGAGCCTGGGGCCTTTCAGTCTGCAGACCAACGTTCTATCCACTGAGCCAGGAGGCAGCTGATTGATGTTTCTCTCTCATCAATGTTTCTAACTCTTTATCCCTCTCTCTTCCTCTGTAAAAAAATCAATTATATATATATATATATATATATATATATATATATATATATATATATATATATATATTTTTTTTTTTTTTTTTTTTTTTTTAAGTTTCAACCACATTCACAATCGACAATGACAGATTGAACTATATGCGTGCAATTGGCACCTGTGAGAGCTTTATATGTATCATACATGCATGAGTTAACTTAGCCTTTTATCTATACTAATAAAAGGGTAATATGCTAATTAGACCAGGTCAAATGGATATCTTCTGGATATCTGACTTCTGACCAGACTGGAAGGGGGGCAGGTAAGGGGTGACCAGACTGGAAGGGGGCAATTAGGGGGTGATCAGGCCAGCAGGGGGGCAGTTAGGAGGTGATCAGGCTAGCAAGCAGAGGCAGTTAGGGGTGACCAGGCTGGCAGGGGAGCAGTTAGGGGCAAGCAGGCCAGCAGGGGACCAGTTAAGGTGTGACCAGGCCAGCAAGCAGAGACAGTTAGGGGCGATCAGCCAGGCAGGCAGGCAAGAGGTTAGGAGCTGGCAGTCAGACATCCCTTCTGAGGGATGCAGGCTGGACTGAGGGACCCCATCTCCCAGTGCACAAATTTTATGCACCAGGCCTCTAGTATATATATAGAATAAACTTGCTTAATTAGTCCTGCTTTCTGATTTAGCTAAACTTTATCCAGCCCAGTGAAGCACCCCAACTTCTCTTACAATTAATTATCAGCAATTCAGCAGTAAATATCAACACAAAGCAGATTATTATTGTAGATCATGCAGGGAGAACAAAGGGTAAAATATTTAACTGCAGCAGTTGTTTGATGATATTCTGTGCAGTGAGAAAACCTGAAGTCATTTTCAAGGCCCACCATTTCTTACTTATTTTCAATCAGGTCAAGTTTCTAAGCTTTCTAAAACTTCATTTTCCCAGCTAATGAAAAGAAAATAGGATTCTATTGAGTCTTCTATCTACATACTCCAGGACTTCTGTGAGGATCAAATGAGATGAGGCATGGGAAAATACTTCAGATACATTTGGTTAACATGTGAAATGTTTGCACCTGGCTATAAAGCAAGTCGTGTCTCTGGGCTGAAGAAACTGCAAGGAGGCTAGTTGTCACTAGAGAGAGGAAGCCAGGTGTTGCTACATGACATTCAATGTCATTACCCAGCACCCACAGCCTCTATTTTGGGGCTGGGCTGGGCTGTGGGCCACATTTTGTGCCATGGAGTATTGGGGTCTTGGCAGCATTGGCTGTGATTTGGTGGGGTGTCACTCCGGGGTGGTGGCAGCTCCTGTGTCCCACTTGGGGGAAGCCGAGTGTTGGTTTGTTGGCACCGGGTCTGTGGTGCCAGCAGTGTACATCATGGCACCACAGAGTATGTGTCCCCTGATGGTCAGTGCATGTCATAGCAACTAGTCAGATGGTTGGACACTTAGCATATTAGCCTTTTATATATATTTTATTTAAAAAGGAATTAAAATGTTAAATAATTCAGTCTGGCCAGTGGCTCAATTGGTTGGAATGTCATCCAGTGCACCAAAAAGTTATGGGTTCAATCCCTGGTCAAGGCTGTGTGGGAGGCAGTCAATCAATGATCCATGCCCCTCCATGCACCCCCCCCCCACACCTCTTTCTATCTCTCAGAATCAATGAAAACATATCCTCAAATAAGGATTAAAATTTAAAAAATTAATTCTTGGCAGGACTTTTGTAGAAGTCAATAGCTAGGATCAAATTATAGAAGTATAATCATCTATAAAACAGACCCCTCAAAAATTTGACATAGGCATTTGCACTTTGCTATCTTGTGGCACTGTGACCAAATTTCAGAAGAAATCGTCACAGAATAGGAGGAATGAGTAGAGCCATGTCTTGAGGGTTCACGGTTTTACATCCAGAATTATGAAATGATGCCAAACATCACTTCAGGGATAGTTATAACCACTAACTTCTGACCATACACAAAATACCCTGAACCACAGAAGTTCCAAGCAGCTTACCAGAAGACAGACCCTGCCTATTGCTCTGTCCCCTTCCAGGGAGGTTCTCCATGTAGCCCTGCTCTTCCTCCGGGTCATCAGTGCCTGTGCAGATGGCAAGATCCGCATTTACAACTTCCTCAATGGGAACTGTCTGAAGGTGATGAAAGCAAATGGCAGAGGCGATCCCGTGTTGTCCTTCTTTATTGACAGCAACAGGTGGGTGGTCCGAGCTATGAACACTTCTGTTTGGATGATTTTGCCTCCTCTGGGACATCAGCCCTGGACTTTGTGTCAGTAAAGCTGGGCTTCGGCTGGAGGAGAATCATGGTCTCACGGGAGAACTTAGCAGTCAAGGTTCACATCACTCTTGATTTGTCCTATATGTCTAGGCAACTCATGCAGTAAGTGCAGCATGGCTCAGCTGCAGGGACCACAGCTCTGATATGGGCAGCTCCTGCTTGCTCCCTGAGCCTGCACTTACGGCCCCAGAGATCCACCCACTGTCTTTGCAGCCTCACTTCAGATGCCCAAATATGCAGGAGGCAGGGAAAGGCAGGGACAAAGCGTCCCATGTCCCCTGGGACAGTGCTGAGCAAGTGAATTTACAGAAACCAGAACTGGGACTAGACTAATTGCATTTAGTACTGTGCTTGATATAGGCCATGTTCAGGGTGCTATTATGTGAAATATACTCATGTAGAATTTACTGGTTAAAAATTCTACCACAGACTCACTTTAGACATCAAGTTAATCTCCATGAATCATATTGCCTTCTCTTTAATGAAACTTCACTATTTCTCATCTTAAAGAAGGAGGACTGGTAATAAGTCTCAGTAAATAAACACTGTTCAGTCAGGAGGTAATAATATATTTTTTAAAATCATCCCTAAATTTTTCTCATCCCTGATATCTGAAGAGATACTGTTTCCTTTTGGATTGAGTAAAAAATAAATCTGAAAGAGATTTGTAATTGGAATGATTCCCCAAATTTTATTCCAGTGTTTTCAACCAAACAAGTCACTCTCTTACAGGGTTTACACTAACCATTGTGATCTTAAAATTGTAGCCTTCTGTGCAGAAAGGAGCCTTCGTTCAGTATCTCTGTTCCTTGTTTATGGTGAAAGGAGGTCCAGGTAGAGCAGAGAATGTGGCTTTCTCTGAGAACCACAGAAGCCATGGGCAGGTGGGAGGCAGTTCTTGAGCTGGGGGAGGGTGGGGGGGCAAGGGGGGGGCGGTTGGCTAGGTTTGGAACTCTTTCCCACCAGGTCATTAAATGGGGATTAGAGAAGATGGAAACTATCCTGCTTTAAAACACCCTACATGTTCAGTCTAAGGTAGAGCATGCTTGGAGACCTTGGAGAGATAGAGTGAAAGGGAGTGGGCTGGAGGATCATTGAGGCAGGAACCTTTCCCATTAAAGAGTTTTCCACATCCCCATCACAGCAATAGAAACATGGCATTTGGATGCCAAGCTTAAAGCAAGGGTAAGTTTCAGGACCTAACATTCATGCAAAGTACCTAAGCCTTCTCCCTTTAGCATCCGAGGTGCTTGGCACTCACTCCAAGAATGGAAATTCTTTTAAAAGTATTTTAATTCCAAAAGCAAAGTAATTAGAACGTATGTTCCCTGGTCCCTAACCGGTTTGGCTATTATGTGAAATATACTCATGTAGTATATCAGCGGATAGAGTGTTGGCCAGTGGACTCAAGGGTCCCAGGTTCGATTTTGGTCAAGAGCATGTACTTTAGTTGCGGGCACATACCCAGTAGGGAGTGTGCAGAAGGCAGCTGATTGATATTTCTCTCTGATTGATGTTACTAACTCTCTATCCCTCTCCCTTCCTCTCTGTAAAAAATCAATAAAATATAAAATAAAATAAAATGTTTAAAAAATCAATAAAATATAAAATAAATTTTAAAAAGGAACATATGTGCCCTGTTCATATTTAATTAACAACAACAATAACAACAACAACAAATAGTTACAGTAGGCCCTGCTGTATGGCCTACTATCCTACACTCTTCAACAACCTACAGCCCCTACTGGCATAGTAATTTCCTGGGGAATTTTCCTTGTCCCAGGACTGGACAAGACAGTAGTTGGCATGCAGATCTGGATGCCGGGAGTGGTGGCCTTCATGATCCTTTTCTGGGCAATCTTGTTTTCATTCCAGGATGGTGATCAACACAGAGAGCAATATCGTCACATTCCAGTTTGAGAATATCAAGTGGCAGTACTTCCAGGAACGGACCAAACAAAGAAAGTACAAAGATAAAGAGGACAGGGAAGATAACCTCCTGGAAGTCATCTCTAAGACTAGCACCCCGATTCCCAACCTGGGGAGCTCCATGTCCAGTAAATACGTGGTGGCCCAGGAGTCCACGATAAGTAAATCTCAAAGGTCCCGCATTCAGCTGAAGGGAACCAGGACACAGTTAGGTAAGAGAACTGACCCCCAGGCCATCAAAGTGGTACCCAATGGAGCAGGTCCCGGGCTTCCAAGACTAGTTTCTTCGTGGGATATTTTGTCCAGTGGTTTTTTGATGATATAAATTCCACCTTTAAGAAAGGTGGGAGCAATTTTCTTTGATTCACCAATTTGTTAGCCAGCTCAAGGTAACTTCCTGATTTTCAAGGCCTAAGTATTCATATTATTAGCATCTTTGTAAAGTAGCTAACATTAGCCCCTAATACTTGTCATTAAAACAAAAAGCAAACAACCAACATCTTCCCTCTACACCCCCTAGCCAAACATATGGTACATAATTATTTTCTTAGGACAATATCTATACTAATAAAAGGGTAATATGCTAATTAGACTGGACATCTTCCAGGCATCCTTCTAGATATCCTTCCAGACATCCTTCTGGCCAAAGCCACAGTGTTGGGGGCTGAGGCAGAGGTGGTTGGGAGCAATCAGGCTGGCCAGGGAGAACAGTTAAGGGCGATCAGGAAGGCAGGCAAAGAGGTTAGAAGCAAACAGGCAGGCATAGGCAGTTAGGGGCAATCAGGCAGGCAGAGGCGGTTAGAGGCATCAGTCAGGCAGGTAGAGGGGTTAGGGGTAATCAGGCAGTCAGGCAAGTGAGCAGTTAGGAGCTAGCAATCTGGATTGTGAGGGGGGTGTTCAACTGCTGATATAGGCCTGATCCCACAGGGCAGTCAGACATCCTTGGAAGGGTCCTGGATTGGAGAGGGTGTAGTTGGAGCTGAGGGACCCTCCATGAATGAATTTCGTGCACAGGGCCTCTAGTTCTATATAATAAAAGGCTAATATGAAAATTGATGGAATGGCAGAATGACCAGTTGCTATGATGCACACTCACCATCAGGTGACAGACACTCAGTGCAGGAGCTGCCCCCCGGTGGTCAGTATTACAGAAGCCAGGCTCTATGACTAGCTAGTGCATCATAAGCAGCAGTGGCAGGAGCAGGTCTAAGCCATTAGTCAGACATCCCTTGAGGGCTCCTGGACTGCGAAAGGGCGCAGGCCAGGCTGAGGGATGCCCACCTCCAGCGCACAAATTTTGTGCACCAGGCCTCTAGTCTTATATAATAAAAAGGTAGTATGCAAACTGACCATCACTCCAACACACAAGATGGCCACCTCATGTAGACACAAGATGGCTGGCAGGGGAGGATATTTGTAGGTGATCAGGCCAGCAAGGGAGGGCAGTTGGGAGGGATCAGGCCTGCAGGGGATGGCAGTTAGGGGCGATCAGGCCTGCAGGTGAGGGCAGTTAGGGGTGACCGGGGTGGCAGGGAAGGGCAGTTGGGGGTGATCATGCCTGCAGGGGAAGGCAGTTGGGAGGGACCAGGTCTTCAGGGGAGGGCAGTTGGGGGGCACCATGCCTGCAGAGGAGGACAGTTTGGGGCAATGAGGCCTGCAGGCGAGGGCAGTTGGGGGTGACCAGGCCTGCAGGGAGGGACAGTTAGGGGCAACCAGGCCAGCAGGGGAGGGCAGTTAGGGGCAATCAGGCCAGTAGGGGAGCAGTTAAGCGTCAATCAGGCTAGCAGGCAGAGGTGATAAGGACAATCAGGCAGGCAGGCAGGTGAGCAGTTGGGAGCCAGCAGCCCTGGATTATGAGAAGGATATCCAACTTCCCATGTAGATCTGATCCTAGTGGGTTCAGGTCTACATGGGAAGTTGGATATCTCTCAAAAGGGGCCTAGATTGGAGAGGGTGCAGGCTGGACTGAGGGACACCCTAGTCCCGTGCACTGGCCTCTAGTATTATTATAAGGCAGAAGAAAAATGTTCTTTGACGAATGTATTATCTCTACCCCTGATAATGAGAACATGCATACCTGGAAAATATTAGTTATGAAGTAGGTACCTCTGTGTGTGTGTGTGTAAGTATGCAGTGGAGTGGCATGACTCATGCCATTTATAAGTCATACAATGAATAAATTGTGTATTATTAACCTATATTTGGTTTGTGAAGTTGGATCCATAGATCAATAGATCACCTCCCAGAATGTAGCACTGCAAATGGTCAGCTAGGAAAGAGGATGGAGAGTTTTAGATAATGCTTAGAGCTCAATAATCAGTAGGTGGGGTGACAATCCTTAGGCTCCAGGTGACTTCCTAGGTTCATATGACAAACAATAAGATGATGGTTTGGGTGAAAAACAATCAAATTATCAGCTATGCCCCCATTATTCAGGCTTAATTGAATTATGCACTTACTATGTTTTTGGGGTTTTTTTTTTTTCATCAATCTTAATTTAGCAGAGTCATTAGAGTCCCCTCAAAGTCAAGTTAAGGTAAAATCACCCCGAAGAGATGGAGACAGCAAAATCAGAGTGAGTCCTGTTTCTAAGGAAGCCATTAACTTGGATGGTGGGCAGGAGAATCTGGAAGCAAAATCCCTTACAGGAGGTAAGATGAGCACTGATGTTTTAGTTTCAGTGGCATGCTTCAATTCTCTATCTCCCCCCCCCCCCCCCACCTCGCTCCCTCCTTCTCTCCCTCTCCCTCTTCCCTCCTCCTGCACTCCCCTCCCTTTTCTCAGTCTAATTTTTCAGCAGATCATTAACATTGCTTATCTGAGACTTCAGAATGGATAAAATGCCTGGCTTTTCCTGAGAGTGATTGGTTTTACTTAATTGTCTACTTAAGAACTTGAGTCCACAGAGTGAGAACCTTTGTAAGAGCTAAATTTGGGCTCATAGTGTGCCTCCCTTCTCTGACATTCAGCCTCCTCAGTTCTTTAATGGTTAAGTCATCGGTCTGAGTGATGAGGAACAGAAGAAAGAAGAGGAAGTTGCGGCTGATTTCAGAGGGTGTTTTAGGGATTTCATAAGGAAAGAGATAGATTTAGGGATGGGTGCTACGTACGTAAGATAAGGAGATAAGCGAGAAATGGGGAAGGGGCTTTAAGAAGAATCACTGGACAGCCACAAATAGTGTGCCCCTTTGTTATTTTTGAGGAACTTTGATAAAGATGTAAAATGCCTTTCAAATAGTTTGGGTAATACAACAGCACTTCTTTGAATCAAACTCCCTGTAGATACTAGTTTCAAGGTGAGGGAAAACAATTAAGTTTTAGAAGGGCTCTACTAACTGTGGACATCTTTGTATATACCTATGTCTGTGTCCCCATGTAGATGTATACCTGTAGTGTAAAATCCTAGGAAGGCCTTTGCTGAGCCAAAGGATAACTGCATTTAAAAACCAGAAAAAATATTGTCATGGTGGTTCTTTAAAGATGGTGTATCAATTTACCATCCCACCAAGAATGCATGAGGACTCCCACTGCACACATGCCAACAATCTAGCATTTTCTCTCTCTCTCTCTCTCTCTCTCTCTCTCTCTCTCTCTCTCTCTCTCTCTCTCTCTCTCTCTCTTTCTATCTTTCTCTCTCTTTCTCTGTTAATCCTCACCTGGGGATATTTTTCTATTGATTATTAGAGAGAGTAGAAGCCAAGGGGCTAGACAGAGAAATATCAATGTGAGAGCGACACATAGGTTAGTTGCCACCCAAACATGTCTTGACTGGGGCCAGGGATTGAACCTGTAACTGAGGTACATGCCCTTGACCAGAATAGAACTTGAGACCCTTTCATCTGCAGGCCTACCCTCTACCCACAGAGCCAAACCAGCTAGGACTATCTATCATTTTGCACTTGCTTGTAACATATGAAAAACTGGTCTTTGCCTTTCTTCAAGAATGATCACTAACAAACTAAATGTTCATCAGTGAGCAATGACTAATAATGAAAATATATATATTATGCAATGTTACACAACAGATAAAATTGTATCATGAGGATCTATATATATTGACTTGGAAAGAAATCCACAATATATTATTATTTTATTTTTTATTTTTTACAATATATTTTATTGATTTTTTACAGAGAGGAAGGGCGAGAGATAGAGAGCCAGAAATGTCGATGAGAGAGAAACATCGACCAGCCGCCTCTTGCACACCCCGTACTGGGGATGTGCCTGCAACCAATGTACATGCCCTCGACCGGAATTGAACCTGGGACCCTTCAGTCCGCAGACCGATGCTCTACCACTGAGCCAAACCGGTTTTGGCCACAATATATTATTTTAAAAAGACAAGTCAATAAACAGAGTTATCACAATTTTTATAAGAGGAGAAAAAATTGTGTGGTTTGTCACACATGTACACATATTGGTGTGGAATGGTTTGTTCTGGGATTGAAAAGGGTCTGGTCCGAAGTGGGGAAGATTTTGACATCTTAGTTTTATTTTGTTTTCATACAGTATTATTTAATTCACAAAGTGTAAGGGAGAAATATGAAGTTTTATTTCATCCTAATATGTCCATACACAAACATCTTGGGATAAAACCATATGGTCAAGGAAGATTATATGCTCTCCACATGGTCGCATTTTATTTGCTAGTTATAGATTGCTATAGTTGGTGGTACAGACTTTTACTTGCTGGGTCAGACTAAACAAATGACTTCTACTTTTCATGACTCAGTTATTCCTTTCGTAAAATGGGAATACTACTTTCAGTGTATCCATGAGGTATTGTAGGGGTCGAAAGGCTCAACTGAGATGTAATAGATTTGCTCACCTGTGAAGACATTCTTAACTCAGATCTTAGGCACCTTGGTCTTGACCATTATCTAGTGTGACAGGATGAATCTCTGGTTCTTGTCAGCAGCTTTTGGTTCTGCTGCTTTTGTGCAGAACAAACCTATTCATGAACTGCCTTTCAGTCTTGCTGTGATACTTAGCATTTCCCAGGGGTAAAGGTAGTTTTGACTTTAGAAAATAGCCAAAAATCATTTGGAGTCAAATTTGATCCATAAGATGGGAATCCAATTTTGTCATTCAATTTTTCTTTAAAAACAGGTATTTTACTGTGAATTTATAAGGCCTATTTTGTGTGTATTATAAATGAGGTATGACATTTCAAAATATGTGTGGACCATTGGAATTACATATGTTCCCATCAAAATATGCATATCTAGAGGTTAATGCACATGTACACACAAGTACTAGCATATTTGTTAAAGACTTGTTGTAATTGAATATATCGTAATTTCTGGTATCATGGGGGATTTTTGCCCACATGATGGGTGACATGTCCACTGGGCGACAAATGTTTTATTTGTTAGAATAAATTAGAACACATTTAATTTTCATGCTTAAATACTTAATGCTTTTCATGGGACACTGATTTCTTTTTTTCTTTTCTTTCTTTTTCCCTTCCTTTCTTTCTTTTCTTTCTTTCTTTCTTTCTTTCTTTCTTTCTTTCTTTCTTTCTTTCTTTCTTTCTTTCTTTCTCTTTCTTTCTTTCTTTCTTTCTTTCTTTCTTTCTTTCTTTCTTTCTTTCTTTCTTTCTTTCTTTCTTTCTTTCTTTCTTTCTTTCTTTCTTTCTTTCTTTTTTGAAAAACTAGATGATACAGAGAGAGTACCAAAAAAAGGACAACTGGAAACTTCTGGATACCTGCCCAAACAGTCGATCAAAAAATCCTGGAAAATCTCTATGTCACCCGACCGGTTCCTACTGACAGTTAATGCCCTGCAGCAAGCCCGTAATTCAGGGAAGTATGCCTATCCGCATAGGGTCCGGTCCGAAGTCATTGATGTTTGGGAACCTTCAATTTCACCCCCAAGGAAGGTCATAAGCTTCAAAGGAAAATCATTACAACATGCCGTTGACAGTTTGAGAGCCATCCACCCTTCCACAGACATGAAAGAAACCAGTATTTCCCTTGAAATCCAAAAACTGCAGCCCAACTTGAAGAACTCTTTGCACCATTCCCAAATCCAGTCTACCATACCCCAGCCCATGATTATCCGCTCCAGCTTAGGTGGAGACCAAGTCGCCAGTTCCATTGGCCGGGCAGTACACAGCTTCAGACCCTTAACCAGCAGGCATGTCATTAAGGCAAACCGCATGCTGGCTCCACAAGTAGGCAAGACAACCCAGCCTGTCAAGAAAGAACGGCCTTACTACTGCATGGCCCTCGATCCATTTAGAATGAACAGCGACTTCATGCTGTTGACTGTGAGGGAGGAGAAAGCGTACGAGGAAGCCAAGCTGAAAGAATATCAGGCCACAAAGCCCACTGGAGTGGTCAACCCAGAAAAGGCCAGAAAAGCTGCATGGATCAGGAAGATCAAAGGCCTGCCCATAGATAACTTCATGAAGCACGGGAAAACCGCAGCCCCTGAACTTGGTCCAAATGTTTTTATCTGAACCAGCCTTGTGAGATTACAATGTCTTGCAATAAAAAGGAAGCAAAGTAGACATTGGTGTTTGGCTTATTTTATTGGAGTGAAGTTGGGATGACAGAGGGAGGGTGCTTGCTGCCAGTCAAACCTGGGAACAGAAATAAGTGGGGTCAATGCAAGCCTGTGAAAATCTGGGAATACATAATCCCCAGGAACTCACTCTCTTTGGCTCGTAGGGCTTTCTTGTTCCTGCTTCCTTGCATTTACCCATGTTTCCTCCCTAGCCACGTGGCCCTGCAGACCGCACACGCAGTGGACTGATAGACTGCGGATGGGAATACAAGCTAAGCTAGCCTGATGCTGGACTGGACACTACTCCAAGATGGAGCGAAACTCTGGACACTGGCTCTGAGTCCAGCTCTGCTGAGGCCACAGCTACACGGCTTCCTCGGTGGGACAAGGGGACATGGGACCTTGGAAACTCGGGGGTGTAATTCCACAGAAACAAAGCTTTCTACAGTATCTCATCCTCTCATGAGAGTCTCAGAAAATTCCTTTTCTGGGGAAATCACAAGAAGCTCTCTCCCACCAGCAACAGATGGAGATGTGGAAATCTCCCTACCTCTAACAGTATCAGGGTCCAGGCAGGTAATTTGGAAGAGTGCAGGCCACCACTGGAGAGAGCAAGCCCCATCCAAAGGGGACTGCTCCTACTCAGTGGCTCAGCATGGCCACAGGATGCTATCAGATAACAGAAAATAGATATTGGCTTCTGCCACTCATACCTGGCATAGCTCTTGAAACCTTTGTAATTTCCCAAGCAATAAGAATACTAGGAATAAATATCTTTTGTTCTAATAATTGTCTTTAACTCCCTCTTTGGCACAGAGATCTTGAAAAACCTTTTAATTCCTAAGTGATATCAGCACTTAGTGTTCTAATGATGTGGCTGGGTGGCCTCTTGTCACCAGAAAAAATAACCCATGAGGTTTGGAAGGAGAGGCTGGAAATGGAGTTAACCATTAGACATGCCTGCATGAGAAAGCTCCATAAAAACCCCAGTAGCAGGGGGTTTGGAGAGCTTCTCTGTTGGTGACCTCATCCACATGCTGGGAGGCGACACACCCACAGAAGCTCCTAAGCTCGGACCCTTGCAGACCTTGCCCTATGTGTCTCCATCTGGCTCTAGGAGCTTTTTTTGTTTTGTTTAATAAACTGGTAACTGTAAGTAAGTATTTCCTTGAGTTCTGTTAGCTGCTCTTGCAAGTTAATTGAACCCGAGGAGAGGGATCCTTGCAACCTCTGATCTATAGCTGGTTGGTCAGAAGCACAGATGAGAATCAGGGCTTGTGACTGGCATCTGAGTGTGTGTGTGTGTGTGTGTGTGTGTGTGTGTGTGTGTGTGAGAGAGAGAGAGAGAGAGAGAGAGAGAGAGAGAGAGAGAGAGAGAGAAGGGCTGGTGCTGCAGAGAATTGCTTGATGTAGAGAAAAACCTCGACATATTTGGTGACAAGAAATAAAGTGTTTTATATGAGTAGTGAAGAAGACACACAGGAGAGAAACACAGTAGGGAAGAACTATTTTTTTCCTACACAGGCTATAAACTGAATTGAGATTTTCCTATACAGATGGTAATGAGTTCAAATAGAATGCAAAACAAAAACAAAGAAAACCCCAACCCACAACCCCCCACAACCTGCATGGCATGGGCTGTCTAGACTGTTCACTGCCTCCACTTTTCACTTTCAGTGCAGGAATACTATTGTTTGCCAAATTGAAAACAATTTTTTACTATTAGGTTTAAAGTAGCACTGTCAAATAGCCATGTAAAAATAGTGATTTTATTAGGAAGAATTTTCTCAATTAAGGAAATGTGCTAATGCACATTATTTCACAAGCCTTCAATGGCAGCTTGACCTGAGGCCACCCGGGTAGGATACTGTTATGATCGGTGTCAAAGATGATTTACGATCCCTGAGTTTCAGAGCTTTCACATTGGCAAGACCACACTATTAGCAGCTGAACTTTAAAACAGTAATACGAGTACCATCTTCTGTTTATTAGGTACTTATCTGTATGCCGCCATTATCACCCCCCACTTTACAAAGGAAAATGTACAGCGGTTAGGTAATCAGTAAGCAGAGGAGCGGAGCTGGGGCGCTTTGGAGCAGCTCCAACCCAGATGCTCAAACTCCTGGACCAGCTCTCAGCCTCCCTCTATTCCTTACTCTTCCTGGGCGTGTTTTCCTCTCCTAATTAAACCCTCCACTACTTCGTGGGGTCCTCCTGCTTTGTTCTTCTCAATAACTTTTTACCCCTTCGCAGAAGCACATCCACTTTTTTTTTTTTCAATTGCTTCTAAATTTTAAAGTACAAATATGATACCCTCGCCTTCCGACAAAGATGCTGCTAGGAAGAATAGCTCCAGGCGGCAGACCTAGTCCCCGCCCGCGCTGCTTGCTCCGTTCCTGGCTGCTCCGCCCCCGGGTCGCCCCGCCCACCCCCTTGCTCCCTTCCCGGGAGTCCCGCCCCCACGCTCGCCCCGCCCCCACGCTCGCCCCGCCCACCCCATTGCTCCGTCCCTGGGAGTCCCGCCCCCACGCTCGCCTTGCCCCCACGCTCGCCCCGCCCACTCCATTGCTCCGTCCCCGGGAGTCCCGCCCCCACGCTCGCTCAGGTCCGGGTACTCGCTCCTCCCGCGGGCCGCGGAGAAGCGGAAGTGGGGACGGGCGGCGGCCTGCACTTGGTCTCTGCCGGGCCTTTGGTGATCGTGTCGCAGGAGTTCCAGGCCCCGCCCAGCGGTCGGCGCTGACGTGGCTCCCGGAAGTGGGCTGCGCTGGGCCGCCATGTTGCATCAGGTGAGGGGCTGCCGCGGCGGCGAGCTGCAGTGCCCAACCTCGGGCTGGAGAGGGTAGGGCGCGAGCGGAGCGTCCCGGGCTCTGGCGTCTGCGCCGGGATGGCTGTCGGAGCCCGAGGAGGAGCGACGGGGGCGGGCGCGGGCCGCTGTCCAGGCCGCGGCGGATTCGGGGGCGCGGCTGGTGCGGAGCCAGAGCGGCTCGGCGCGCCGGGGCGGCTGCAAGCACCGGGCGGAGCGGGGTTGCTGTCTCAGCTCCCAGTGCGGGAGGCTTGGCCTGACCCGAGGCCGCGCTGCCCAGCCAAACCAGAATTGGTGGTGGTTGGTGGATTTAATTACAGCCCACACGTTTCCAGTCAGAGATTACCGTGAATAAGTCAGTAATCCTTTCTTTAAAAGAGATCTGTGAAGTGCACTTGGACTTGATGGTCACAGGTGGGCTTTCTCTTACTAGAGGCATCACCCCGGCCCATGCACCGTTCTAGGCCCTGCCCTCCTGCAGCTGCCGTCAGTGAGGTCACTGAGGCCTGGGCAACGCAGCGGCCACTTTCCGTCATGTGACCTCTCATTGTCTCATCACCTCCCTGGCTCTGACCACTGGGCTTCTCTTCGAGGACCATTGTAATGGCATCATTGGGGCCACCTGGATGATCTCCCCATCTCAAGACCTTCTTTTAATCACTTCTGCCAAATATCTTTTTTCCCAAGCAGATTTACATATCCACACTATGCAGGGATTAGAACGTGGGCTTCTTTGATGGAGTGAGAGGAGGCATGATTGGTTAATGGAGGGGAGGGCCAGGGACAGGACTTGGAGGTGAGCAGGGCCCAGGTTGTGATGTGTCAGCCTAGGAGTCTGTTTTTCAGCCGCAGTGCTGTGGGTTGCGAGTAGGGGAATGGTAAGACCTCATGTGAAAAGGTCACCTCAGCTGCTGGGAGGAGATTGGACAGTTTGGATCGAGAGCTCGCGGCTTCATGGGTATTGATTGTTCTTATTAGGACAGTAATTCCATAGCATCACACTCTTGGCTGCACACTATGACCATCTAGAGAGCTTTCAAAAATCCAGATGTCCACACCACACCCCAGACCAGTGACACCTGAACCTCAGGGTGGAACCCAGGTGGTTCCAGCCTGTACTCAAGGTTGAGAACAACTGGTCTCCGACCTGAGTCCATTTTACCTCTCTAGCTTTAGTTCCTCCTCCTCTTCCACCTTTCTCTTACTCTGCGGGATCTGCTGTTCCCTGTACAAACTTTGCATATTCTCACTTCTGGACCTTTGAACATACTCCTCGTTAAGGGCCTGGAATGAGCAGGAGGCCTACTTGTTCTGTGGAGGCCCGCTGGTAAACTCCTCCCGGAAGCTTCTCCAGGTCCTCTGACTTGTGCTCCCACTTGCACTTGTATTTTTCCTGGCCTTGATCAGTCGCCATGTTTTAAAGGCAGTCAATCGTCTCCTTTGTGTTGGATTGTATTGTCTGGCCTAGTGTTCTCCTAAATACTAGGACTCACTGAAGTGCAGGGACAGACCTTGCCCCCCAGTAGCTTATAGTTTGGAGGGAGGGAGAGAGGGTACACTTGCAGAAGAATATCCTGAGATAATTGTTCAAATGGAGATTTGTTCCAGTGCCGTGGGAAGGGGAAATGGTATGCTTGGGGACTTCAGGGAAAGTTTCTCTTTTAAATCAGTATTTGAGCAGGAATTTGAAAGATGATTTGATGTTTGCCTACTGGTGAGCTATGTAGGGGATGGAAAAGGGAAGAGCTCTCTGGGTAAACGTGAAAGGCAGAAGGAGGGAGAGACCCCGTGTTTTCAGAACATGTAGTAACTATTGCTGTAGTGTCCAGGGGGAGGGAGTGTCAGAAGGTAAGCAGGGGGATCAGATCATGAGATCTGAGCTATGTGTGAGGGAGTTAAGTTTTGTTCCATACATGAAGGAGCTCCATAGACAATTTGGGCAAGGGAGTGACACGGTATGATTTTCATGTTGGGAGGATTACTCAGTAGATAATGAGAGGCTGGAGTAGAGCTGAGCAAGCCACTAGAACTAGAAAGAGGGATGAGTGGCTGGCACTAGGAAAGCTATAAAGAGCAGATTTATTGTGGTGGAGGCTGAAGGTGAATTGCAGTGAGTTGAAATGTGAACCACTCTTAGAAGCCTAAAGTTGTGAAAAGAAGGAACCCCTTGGAAAGTGGAAGATGGAAGGAGAGATTCAGGATCAAGGTTTTTAAAAATATCTTTTCACTCTATAAAGGACATCTGAAGAAGTTTCCATGCTGATTGGAAAGATCTAATAGAAGGCTTTGAAGATACAAGAAAGTGTAAATAAAGGGAAAATTAATGGAACAAGCCCCCGAGGAGGCAGGAAGAAAAGTGATTCAGAGCACAGGTGGTTTTGTTTTGGGTAAAAAGAGTTATGAGAAGGGGTCAGGGAAATAATGTAAGTCTAATGATTCTGTGAAGGAGCCAGAAATACTGCGTTTCTCCCAGTGCAGGACCATAGTCTGCACCCTGGTGCTTTCTCACAGGCTCAGCAGCTTGGGTATGGATGGAGACAGCAAAACAAGTCGTGTGTCGTCCCCGTCCCCCCCCCCCCCCCCCCCCGCACCTTAATGGGTGGGGGTAGGGGGCTTGTTCTGTCCTTGCTCCAATCTCACTATGAAGGAAATACAAATAAGTTGCTCAGAGCAGCTACATTTTCTAATAACTATTCACCCACACCATATGAATATGCTATGGCTGAAGCATTTTTCATCTACATCTGCAGTAACTGCCTAAAATGTAATGGGGGTTTTGCCAGTTGGCTTTGACCATGTCTTAACCTTGTTTTCCATTTTGACTAGCATGCTTGCCTTGTATGTAGTCAGCAGGTACATGCTGAATTTGTTTTGCTTCATGGGTTTTTAATTTTCTTAATAGGACAGTAATGATGAAAGTGAAGATGTTGCATTGTTTGATGCAGAAGAGGAAACAACTAATCGACCCCCAAAATCCAAAATCAGGTATGAAAATAATGATTACGAGTTGCGTTAGTGTCCAGTACTGTTCTGTCTATGAACTGGTGACGGCTGATGGGATTCAAGCAGAGTGGTTGAGATGTTCTTGTGATCTTTAGTCTTAGACAAAAATGGGGACATTTCAGATTCTCATTGTGCATAACTGACATGGAATTTTACTCAACACTGTTTTCAAATCCGCAAATCCAATTACATGACCACTACTATGTTTTCCTTTAAATTCTAGTAGTTTCTGTAGATGCATTCTCTCTAAAGAAATTCACTTAATGGAATCAGATTCTACTTAAACTTTGAAAACAAAGTGAGAGGTGCCAGTCACAAAAACCATATATTGTACAATTTCATTTATATAAAATGTCCAGAATAGGCCCTATCTAATAAAAGAGTAATATGCAGATTGACAATCACTCCAACACACAAGATAGCTGCCTCCATGTGGTCAAAGATCCTGCCCCTTTGTGGACACAAGATGGCCAGCAGGGGAGGGCAGTTGGGAGGCACCAGGCCTGAAAGGGAAGGCAGTTGAGAAGGACCAGGCCTGCAAGGGAGGGCAGTTGAAGGCGATCAGCCCTGCAGTGGAGGGCACTTAGGGTTGACCAGGCCAGTCAGAGGAGGGAAGTTGGGGGCAAACAGGCTGGCAGGGGAGCAGTTAGACATCAATTAGGCTGGCATGGGAGTTATCAGGCTGGCAGGCAGAAGCAGTTAGGGGCAATCAGGAAGGCAGGCAGGTGAGCAGTTGAGAGCCAGCAGTCTTGGATTGTGAGACCCTCAAGGGGTCCTAGATTGGAGAAGGGTGCAGGCTGGGCTGAGGGACAAATATTCCCCCCCCCCCCCCCCCCCGCGCCCCTCCTTTTCCCATGCCCAAATTTCTCAACAAAGCTGTTAAATACACTCTAATGGTTACTTTGTCTTCATGCCTGAAGTATTCAATGAGTTGTTAAAGTCCTGTTTACATAGTGTATTTGCTGTTTTAAACAGGGTTTAGTCAAATAGTGGGGCTTAAGAAAAAAGAGGTTGGTGATTTGCTTCTTCCTCAAATCATCTTTTATTTTGATCAAACTGCATGAGTATGCTATGGCTGAAACATTTTTTCATCTACATCTGCAGTAACTGTCTAAAATGTAATCGCATTTCTTTTGTTATGTTTTGGTTTTCAGACATCCAGTGGCATCATTTTTCCATTTATTCTTTCGAGTCAGTGCAATTGTAGTCTATCTTCTCTGTGAATTGTTCAGCAGCAGCTTTATTGCCTGTATGGTGACGATTATCTTGTTATTGTCATGTGATTTTTGGGCAGTCAAGGTAGGTTTGATTGTTTTTATTTTGAAACCATTTAATATGATGAGATTGAATGGTGTATAAACGGTACAAAAAATGAAAAGTAGTATTTTGGGTTGCCATTAATTTATCTTTTTGTTACCTTGGGCCTCATCTGTGTTAAAGTGCCAGGTGTATCTGTGCCTTGTGTCAGCCTACATCAGCTTTAAAATCTAACAAATGTGACTACATACTGCTTCTAATCCATTTCACCTGTTTTGCTTCAGGGTCACTTCTGGCTGTCTAGATAAGACCTCAGGATAGCTTGTTCACAAGTACTTAAGGCGTACCACCATCTGTGAAGGCTCTAGCGCAGTAGTTCTCAACCAGGACCCGTTTTGCCCTGCAGGGCATGTATGGCTCAATGTCTGACAACATTTCTGGTTATCTCAACAGGTGGGGGAAGAGTCCCCTTTGCTTCTAGTGGGTAGGGGCCAGTGATGCTGCTAAACATCTTAAATGCACAGGTTGGATAGTTCCCCAAAACAAAGAATTATCTAGCCCCAAATGTCAGTAGTGCCGAAGTTGTAGGGGATAGAAAGGAATGTAAGAAATGGTTTCAAACTCAAAGGCAGTGATGAGAGATGGATGGATAGATACAGAGGTAGATGGACATGTGATAAAGTAACTTTTAAAATTGAAACTGTATACTCTAGGTTGTAGGTATGTAGGTGTTAACTGTAAAACTACTCTTCTGTGTGCTTGGAATTTTCACAGTAAGATGGTTTGGGATGGAGTGGGGAAAAGCAAAAGCTAATTTTGGAATTTCAGAGACATATATTGATTCAAAGACGGGCAAGATATGACAAGTCTGTTCACTACCACCAACGCAGCAGTTTTTATTTTTCTCCTCCTCCTCCTCCTCCTCCTCCTCATTATTATTATTATTATTATTATTTTAATATGTTTTTATTGATTTTTTTTACAGAGAGGAAGGTAGAGGGATAGAGAGTTAGAAACACCTATGAGAGAGACATCAATCAGCTGCCTCCTGCACACCCCCCACTGGGGATGTGCCCGCAACCAAGGTACATGTCCCTGACCAGAATTGAACCTAGGACCCTTCAGTCCACAGGCCAATGCTCTATCCACTGAACCAAACTGGTCTTGGCTACGCAGCAGTTTTTAGACCTTTTATTCTTACAGATACCGGCAATGGTTGGTTTGGTTCAGTTTCCATAGGCCACAAAATGCTGAAGTGAAGAGTACAAAAGTCTATTTTATTTAAGCTTTTGTACAGTCTTCTTTGGCTTGCTTTTCTTTGAATTTTTTCTGTTGCTTTATGCTCTAAAGTATTTACTATATCTTGGTAACAATTTTGTCCCCTTTTTATTGTTCATGTAATTTCTGTTTAGCCAGATAAAGCATGGCCTTCAGTAACTTTTTCCTTATAATTTCCAAATTCTTATAATTAAATCCTTCTGGGTTTAGGGTTTTAAAAAATGTGCCCCAAAAGTATATTTTTTGATAAGTTGGGTTTTTTTTTTTTTTTTTTTTTTTAATGAGGGATTAAAAAATGTTACCCTTTTTCTGGCAAAATTACTTACAGATATCCAAACAATTGCTATATGAAGAGTGATTAAAAAGTCAAGATAAGGAAATTATTGAATGAACTTGGGAAAGGAGGTAGGCAGGGTTCCAAACCTAGTTAGAACAGAGATGTTATCATAATTATTATAAATCTCAGTGCAGTTGTCAAGAGAAGAAATTATAATCATTAAAACAAAACATTTATTTAAAAAATTTTTAATTGAAATGTTATAGTCTATATGGTGCTTTTGCTTTATTTCATACTCTGATGGAGTAAAAAAGTTAAATGGTTTTTAAATTTTAGTGTTAACTATTAGTAAAATAGGTTGTGTATCTTTCATAGCATTGGGAAAGAAAGGAGCAACTAAAACACAGTTTATAAAGGAAGGGAAAGAAAGCACATGCCAAGGAAGCTTAACTGTCACAAGGCATAGTACAAGGTGGTGGAAGTAGTAGCAAATTAGTACTAACAGTAAATGTAATTTGATTAAACTCTCTTTTTAAAAATAAGAATTCTGAGATTGGGGCAAAAATCAAAAGTCCAACCAAAAAGTTCTAACTAAAATCATGATACTAGAAAAAAGTATAAAATGCAATAACATCAGACCAATTCAAAAAGAAACTTGGCGTTATTATTATTAGACAAAATAGAAATGGGAGTAAGCATTCAATGGAAGAAAAATCATTTTATGAATCATAGTAAGGTTCATTCACAGAATAACATTACATCAAACTATGTTTAGTGAAAAACTTAGAAGCTCGGAGAAATGGAAGGAACATTACTGTAATAATAGGAGTTTGACAAACCATTGTCTTTGACCAATCAAAGCAACAAAGCTGAATGTAAATAATAAGGTGGGAAGGACCTGAATGAATAACGAGGTCAGTTTAACAGTGGTATTTGTAACTTTTTACATGCAAGGATCCTATATAATAAAAAGCCAGCTACCATGACAGCCTAATGACCAGAACGACTGATCACCCAGTCGCTATGAGGTGCATTGACCACCTCTTGGTTCCTCCCTCCAGCCCGCAGGCTCTGATCTCATGGCCAATGAGAACCATGGGGAATGGGGTGGGCCGCAGCGGGACTGGGGACTAGAGAGCAGGTGCAAGATGGCCCTGATTGCAGGCTAGGTCTAGGGCTCTACCCACAAATGATTTTGTGCGCTGGGCCTCAATTTAATAACTAGTTTAGTTCCTGTGCAATATTTATAAAATTAATCAAATATCACTATGAAGGAAATCTAAATAAAGTGCTCAGAGCAGCTACATTTTCTAGCCCAGCGCAACAAAGCTAGAAATTAATAAAAAAATGAATGTCAAATCTGGAATTTTAAAAAGATACAATCTAAAAAATATCTTGGCTTAAAAAGAAAACAGAACTGTCTGCTTTTCTACCTAGAATGTTCTTCTCATCTACATATTACCTTAACACAGGGATTCCTAATTGTTTTTGTACCATGGGTTCCTTTTCCAGTCTCATGAAGCTATGAATAGTGCTTTTAAATACTGTTCTATGGTTTTTATTGTGACAAAATCACCAGTACTGTTAATTCTACTGTGGTTAATTGTCTATATTCATAATTTAAAGGTAAATTAAATTTAGCCAGGTGATAGTGAAAATAAAGATAATTTTTCCCATCAAAGTTCACAGGATGCCACTAATTAAAAATCTGTATTACTGATTTATACTTATTCTTTAAATTTCATTCCAATTGTTGATCCCAAAGAGAGTCACTTTCTGGTTCCTGACGAGATAATATTTCCCTGTTAGACTCTTAAGGCACCCCACACCTCTCCCTCACAGTACTTACCACATTTGGTAATGGAACTTATGCCCATTGGTTGGCTGCCTCTCTTCCCCACAAACACTTGAAGCTCCAATTTTATTACATGCTTAATAAATATTTGTTGAATAATAAGCACTAGGAAAGCTATCAAAATAATTAGTTATGTTCATAAGAGGAAAATAACTTGGTACATTTGAAGTACTGAATGAAGTTCAGTACTTGGAACCATTGTCTTAGTTTGAGCAGATATAAAAGAATGCCATAGAAGCTATAGGGATTTATTTCCCAAAGTCTAGAGGCTGGAAATCTAAGATCAGGGTGCTAGTGTCATTGACTTCACCTGAAGACTCTTTGGGGTTCCAGACTTTTGACTTCTCCTTGTAACCTCACATGGTAGACGGCAGAGAACAGGTCAAAAGCTCTCTCTTGATTCTTACAAGGGCTCTTATCCCATCTATGAGGGATCTACCCTAATGACCTAATCTAATCCTAGCCACCTAAAGTTCACTCTACACCGTAGAGTGCCAGCATATAAATTTTGGGGGGATGTAAACATTCAGTCCATAATAACCAATTTAAGAGTTACATGTAAAATATATGTAGCTGCAGCCAGAATATATAGGAAAAATAGGTCACAGTAGCTAAAGAGCAAGGGGTTTAGGAACAAATTACTGAACTGGAGAAAGGACAAGAATTCATGAGGGAAAAGGAGTTGTTTATAGATATGCTTACCCTGTCACCTCCACCCTTGCTGGTCCTGCCATTGCTGTATGTTTAATCTTTCGTCCAGGCCTGGTATGTAATGATCTTTAACTGAATATTATGGAGGTAAAGCTACTGCTGTTTTGTTGTGAAATATTACACTGAAATAATGACCCTATGGTAGATCTTTAAATAATGCTTTTAAAATATGTGATATATTAATCTTTACCAGAATGTCACAGGAAGACTAATGGTTGGCCTGCGTTGGTGGAATCATATTGATGAAGATGGAAAAAGCCATTGGGTGTTTGAGTCCAGGAAGGTAAACTCCTCCCTCCCCCAGTTTTTAGTATCATTCAATGAATTATGTGTAGTTTATATTTGAGTGTTTATGGATGAAGTGTTCAAGAGTAAAAGTACTACCCAAGTCATTTGTCATGTCAATGCTAAACCAGATGGCCTTCTAAAACTAATTATATTTTTCTGACTAGTTCAGACTGGAAACTAACTGTACAGGAAGGAATCCTCAAGGGGTGGACTTTGGGTTGGAGTTTATACAGTGTGCTAAGCTGCCTGTTAGGAGCTGATGACAAATGGTCTCTTTCCTTACATTGCCTGGCGTGGAATCCGCTTCTAATAGCTTGTTCTGTCCTTGCTCCAATGGTCCTTTCCCATTCCTGGGCAGGAAAAAGAAAGAAGGTTTGTATCTGGATAGAAAATCTGAATTGATCAGTGCAGTGCCATCTTTAAGTTGGCCCTTCAGGAGCTCTAGGGGACCCTGGTCTATTTTGGGTTGGCCTGCTTGTCTATAATGAAAGTTGTTTGGGAGGCAGAGGACAAAATTTTTAGAGACAGTACCAGTGAAATTGCTTGCCTTTGGCTTGGAAGGGCCTTGACAAGTCTTTCTCAGAAAGCAGCATATGCTTAGCGAGCCCATATTCCTTTACATTATAAAATCTACCTTATAAACAACTCATCATCCTTTTAAATTCCTGAGTTCTGCTGAGATACTGTGGTCCTTGTCCAGAATCCATCAATTCTATTTTTTTTTCTATGGATCCTGACTTAACTTTTTAGTTTGACTATTATCTTGATATCATTGATCCTCACCTAAGAAGATATCGTTTAAAGCTTCTTTATGAATAAACATAAATGCAAGAAGAGTTGAATAGAAGTCTATCAAAGATCATTCTTAAACTCTATCTTGAAAATTCTTGATTTAAAACAAGTGTATTAAAACCAGTTCCTAAAATTACAATAGAGGTAGTAGACCTAATAGCTGTTTTGTTTATTTGGTTGGGGGAGGAGGGTGATGGTTCTAACTTAGGACTTTGGTTGTCTGTATTTATTTGAATTTGAGGATAAGGTGTTTTTCATAAATAAATATTAAACAGTCTTACTGATAAATATCACAAAACATTGCTTATTAAATTCATGTTTTTGTATAGGCATCCCCTCAAGATAATAAAACTGTTTCCGAGGCTGAATCAAGAATTTTTTGGTTAGGACTTATTGCCTGTCCAGTGCTTTGGGTGATATTTGCCTTCAGCTCTCTCTTCTCCTTCAGACTGAAGTGGTTGGTGAGTATCAGTGTATAGCTATTGAATTATCCATTAAGATGACTGATGGGTAATCATAGTAATCAGCCATTTATATTAACTTCAGGATCCCATCTTGAATGGGCAGCTTGATCCTGAATTTCCCAAGTTTGATTTTCCAACTCTTCTTTTTAAGTATTGATGAGCAGAGTCCTAGCAAAGACCCCATTTCACCATTTCCTTGGGTGTCTGGCAGAATTTTAATTTAACCCACCTTGTACAGACATTACTGTATTTATCACAGAGTTAACTTCTGGGATGGGATATTCAGTAAACTGCAGACAAACATGTTTAGCTTAGTTTGGAACTAGAGTGGTCTTTTAAAAATATTGGTTGCTAACCTGTTTTGGATATCACTTATTTAGTAAATCTTCCCAAAATTTAGTGGCTTAAAATATCAACAGTCATTTAATGATCTCTCTCAGTTTCTCGGGTTTATGAGCTTGGGAAGGGCTGGTCTGGAAGTTCTGGCTACTGTAGTTGCAATCAGACAGTTGTTGGAGTGACTGGGAGCTGGAGTGGCATCTCTTCATGAGGCCCACAGCCTCTCACATGGCCTGAACGAGTGGCTTGGGCTTCCTCATATTCTGTTGGCCCCATGGCAATTAGATTGCTTACTTGAAGGATCAAGCTCCAATTAAGAGTGTTTCAGCTCACAATCTGAATTACCCTTTACAACTGTATGAGTTTGCTCAGGCCTCCTTGTTCCCATCTGCCACCCCTGCTGGCATGATTGCCCCCAACTGCCCCACCGCTGGCATGCTCACTCCCAACTGCCCCCCCCCCCCGCCGGCCTGATCATCCCCAACTGCTCTCCAGTCCTGGCCTGATCACTCCTATCCGCCTCTGCCCTGCCACCATGGCTTTGTCCAGCAGGACTCTGGAAGGTCTCCCAGTCTAATTAGCATATTACCCTTTTATTAGTATAGGTAGCTATCCTCCTATATAATAAAGTGGTAATATGTAAATTGACTGTCACACCCTCGCACAAGATGGCCGCCACAGGATGCCCTGCAGGGAAGGATAGTGTGGCAATTAGGCCAGCACGGGAGGGCAGTTGGGGGTGACTGGGCCTGCAAGGGAGGGCAGTTGGGGACAATCTGGCCTGCAGGGTAGCAGTTAGGTGCCAATCAAGCTGGCAGGGGAGTGGTTCGGGGTGATCAGGCAGGTAAGCAGGCAAGTGGTTGGGAGCCAGCAGTCCTGGATTGTGAGAGGAATAACCTGCTGGTTTAGGCGCGAAACTGGCAGTCAGACACCCCCCAAAGGGGTCCCAGATTGTAGAGTGTGCAGCTGAGCTGGGAGACACCCTCCTGACAGTGCATGAATTTCATGCACTAGTCCTCTAGTATATATACTAATTAAAGAGTAATATGCTAATTAGACCGGGAGACTTTCTGGACAAAGCTGGGGGTTGATCGGCCTGCAAACCACCCCCAACAGCCCTCAGCCCCTCGCCCAGACCGGCCACGTCCCCAAGTGGGGACCCTCACCCTGATGGGAGCATGTCCTGCCTAAAAACACTCCTCAGCCCCTAACTCAGCTGGCCACGCCCCCAGCGGGGACCCTCACCCTGACGGGGCTGTGGCCAGCCTGCAAACTGCTCCACGCCCCTCACCCAGCCTGGCTCCATTCCCCAAGGGGACCCTCACTTTGATCTGGGACCCCTTTAGGGCAGACCAGCCCCCTCCCATGCACCAGGCCTTTATCTATACTAATGAAAGGATAATATTTTAATTAGTCTTGGGGACCTTCTTGATGTCCTTCTGGACAAAGCCATGGTGGTGGGGCAGAGGTAGAGATGTTTAGGAGCGATCAGGCTTGGAGGAGAGGGCAGTTTGGTTTGATCAGGCTGGTTGGGGGGAGAGTTGGGGGTGAGCAGTCAGCAGGGGTGTGGGCAGTTAGGGGAGAGCAGGCTGGCAGGGAGTGCAGTTGGGAGCAAGCAGGCCAGCAAGCAGAGTGGTTAGGGGCAATCAGGCAGGCAGGCAAGTGAGCATGCCCCCGTACCTCAGTTTTTCAGCTTCTGTGCACTGAATGCTCCCCTCTCTTTTCTTCTGCTGGTAGAACTTCCACTCAGCCAGCCCTCCTGGGCTCTGAGTGATAGACGTTTTGTCTTTTAGTTGTAGTTTTAAAATTGTTGGGCACGGCCGCAGCTTAGGTGTGTTTACCTTCGCCGCCATCTTGGGTTCTCTCTAGTTTTTCTATTTTTTATGTTATTAGATATTTGTATCATACCTTCTTTCATGAATTAGGAAATGCATTTAATATATGTTGATTTCCTACTATGGCGAGGGTAGAGTTACCAATCATGGTTTCTCCTACCTTTCCTCCCTGCTTCTACCTCTGCATTTTTGTTGACTATATAGTTGACCCATGAATGCAGTAAGAAATCTGTGTGTAACATTGGACTTCCCCAAAACTTTACTATATGATCTTATTTTAGTCATTTTAAGTAATGCCATTAAATCTGTTTATTGACTTTGTTTAGAAAAGAAATGGGATTCTCCTAAATTCCCTCCTTTGTTTCTTCCCTTTCTATCACCTGTTTTGTTTGTTCTAGTATTATTTTCATTGTCAAGGTTCATAATAATTATCTTTTGAATGACATTTCTGACTAGTTGTTTAGTCCTTGATATACAGTATTTTAAAATACATGAATTCAATCTTTTTATTTCATTTTTCCCTCTTACCTCCTGGATGGTTGGCTAAATTTCATTGTTGGGTGATTTAAAAAGCAAGTTGCAGGTGTTGCTTTCCTTTAGTTCTGTCACATTTAAGGATGTGAGCTTATTAATTTTATTCTTGAACTAGAGGCCCCGGTTTATGAAATTCATGCACTGGCGGCCGAGGAGGCTATGTCCTTCAGTCCAGCCTGCACCCTCTCCAATCTGGGATCCCTCAAGGGATGTCTGACTGCCCTAAACGGGCAGTTGAACATCCCTCTCACAATCCAGGACTGCTGGCTCCAATTGCTCGCTTGCCTGCCTACCTGCATGATTGCCCCTAATCACTTCTGCCTGCCAACCTGATCACCCCTAACCACTCCCCTGCCAGCCTGATTGATGCCTAACTGCTCTCCTGCTGGCCTGATTGCCCCTAACTTCTCTCCCTGACCAGCCTGGTTGCCCCTAGCTGCTCTCCCCTGCTGACCTGGTTACCACCAACTGCCCTCCCCTGCAGGCCTGGTTCCCCACAACTGCCCTCCCCTGCAGGCCTGGTCCCCCATAACTGCCCTCCCCTGCAGGGCTGAGCCTCCCCAACTGCCCTCCCCTGCAGGGCTGAGCCTTCCCAACTGCCCTCCCCTGCAGGCCTGGGTTCCCCCAACCGTCCTTCCCTGCAGGCCTGGTCACCCCCAACTGCCCTCTTCTGCCAGTTTGGTCACCCCTAACTGCCCTCTCCTGCAGGCCTAATCACTCCCAACTGACCTCCCTTGCAGGCCTAGTCCCTCCCAACTACCCTCCCCTGCTGGCCTGATTGCCCACAACTGCTCTCCCCTGCCCGGCCGTCTTGTGGCGACCATCTTGTGTCCACATGGGGGTGGCTATCTTGTGTATTGGAGTGATGGTCAATTTGCATATTACCTCTTTATTAGATAGGATGGCTACTTACTGGAGAGATCTATTCTGGCAGGTGAAGGGGTCTTATTGGCACAGCCCCCCTTCATAGAGCTTCCTTTTCCTTCTCCTCGGGACACTGTCTGTTCTCATTTATGGTGCAGGTCAGTAATTATTGCTTATTTTTCTCTTCTAGGCAGTGGTTACCATGGGCGTGGTGCTACAAGGTGCCAATCTATATGGCTACATCAGGTGCAAAGTGGGCAGCAGAAAGAATTTAACCAGCATGGCCACATCTTATCTTGGAAAGCAGTTTTTAAGACAAGTAAGTTTTTTTCTGGCTGTGAGGCTAAATTTGATGTGTCAGGTGACTAATACAGTGATTTCTAACCCTTGTGGAATTTAGTTTTTATGAAATACTTAACTTTTTTAAGGCACATATTTATTTAAGTATGAGTTGATGATATAGTTATTTTAATTACTTTTTGGAGTCTTTTAAGACATTCCAGTGTATTGTCCTAAAATTATTTTAAAACCAGAGAGAGAAACTGTCATTGCTAATAGCTTACTTAAAAGAAGAAAAAAAATAGTTTAATTACTTTCATTAATTCTGGTGGCTCTAACAGCTTTTAAGAATGATAACTATAAGGTTTTAGGTTTTCTATAGAAGAACAATTAGAAACAAAATAAGACTGTCTATTTAAAGATTGTTTTAAACTACTAAGATTTTTTTTTAATAATATACTGGTTTTACTACAATTCCCCAATAAAAATATTTATGAGGGTTTTCAGTGGGATAAGTAGTAATCTTAGATAGTTAAATCTCTTGGGGAAAAATGATTAGGTCTTTGTTTCCAGGCAGTAGGTAGTCAGGTAGTATTGTATTAGTAGTGAGCATCAAACTTGAACAGGTATAGGATCACCAAGAGGGCCAAAACAGGTGGAGGGGAATCCCTCTCCAGAGTTCCTTGTTTGATCTGGGTAGGGTATCGGTTTGCATGTCTTAACAAGTTCCCAATGAGTCCAACGATTGCATTTAGAAAACTAAAGCCCTACTGAAGAATATACAGCTTATAAATGGTACAAAACTAGGCTTAATCCAGGTCTCCTCTGAGATTCATTGTTCTTTTCATTTTGCTGTGATTTCTCTTGGGTGAGGAGTAGAGAAAAATAATATTTTTGGAGGGATATGATTCTCCTCCCGAGGGTCTTTGCACGGTGCCAAAATAGCTTTGCTGTGGTCCACATATGGTGATTGTCAGGTGTGTGTTTGGAGGTGTTTTTCCTTAGGATTTTCAGTGTTTCTGAAATGAAGGTGGCTGTTGAATACAGTGAAAGTGAATGGTGGGTAGATTAGTGGACTTACCTGGCACCTGGTGGTACGCTACTAGAATGACACTGACCTGCTGGACGTTGGGGTGGATCCATTGATTTGCTTCTCTAGCATGTTTGTAATTTTTAACATGATTGGGGCCATTGAATGTAAGTTAATGTAGCTGGCTCTGCTTACAAATACGGAATATTTTCCTAGCTCTTTGAAGTCTGTGTTAAGTAAAATAGCTTTTTTTATTCAGGAGTTCTTACTCTTTTTCAGAACACTGGAGATGATCAGACTTCCTGAAGAGGGGGAGAAGTCCCGTGTGGTCTGTTATATTGGGAACAACTGAAGAGATTCTTCACTCTGAGCCTCTTAGAACTCAGTACATGTAGCAGAGAGAAGTATTGGGTTTGTTTTTCCATTTAAAAATTTACTTAAACAAAATGGAAAAGTAGTTTTCATTTTCTTGCTAGCATTTGGGGCTTAAAATATTGTATTGCTAGAAACATTGTCAAAATTTGGTTCATGGTGTTCATATGTGTGTACCCAGTCATGTAATATCCACACATTATAGTTTGATAAGAGTCTTTATATTTGTGTACATATGTAATGAAGACATTTGCATTTTGATTCATAGAATATAGAAGGTTGTTCTTAATCTCATTTCAAAATTATGTATATTTAAATATTTCTGTAGGTTATTTTCAGAAGAAAGTTTTGTTTCCGTGGTAAGAGTGAGCACTTTGACTATGTATAAGTTAGAAATAATTGTTAATTTTATGGCTTACTATGTACTTGATAATGAAACTCTTATTCTACGCATTCACAGGCAGATATAAAACAAATTTGGATAGTGGCATGAGCTAGTTTATTTTTATTGTAACAAGTCATGTATTTTAGGTCTATTAATATAAATGAGTTTTCATGGTTTAAGTGTAAGAGATACTTGTTTATTGTTGTGTTCTATTTGTTTTTGGAGATTACAGCCAGGAAGCTTCTGAAGTGTTCTTGGCCTAAGAAAACATTTTGCCATGAAGAGAGCATTATTCTTAGTCATAGTAAGAATAATTATTTAAATACTTGGCATAATAAATGCCTAAGAGACACTTTTTTTATGAATCTATTTTTTCTTGCTTTAGTGGGGATATTGTAAACCATGTATTTGTGTTAATGGTATTTCTTAAAAAGCAATATGTGTAACAGTCTATGAACTGTTACAGACATATGTAAATTCTCTTATAGGTATTCGGTAACCTTTGTTGGAGTCTCAATCTACAAACTGTTTTGCCAATGTATTTATACATTGTTAAATTGTTTTAAAGATGTTTTGTTTAATTGAATAAGTGTCTGTTTGGAGTGATAGCTTTGAAAGTGCATAACTTTATATTTGTATAAAACTCTAATGTTTACAAAGCACTTGACACGTGTAATCTCATTTGATATCCGTCTCGTGTGATGCCTGGTACTTCAGGTTACTGAGTGACTTGTCCAAGGAAACAGGTTATAGGAAGTCTCATCAGTATACAGTTCTGTGTGTAGAGGAAATTTTTTTCTCTAATGTCTTTTCCTTTCTTAAGAATCATTAAGTTATTAAGTCATTCATTTATTAAGTGCCTGTTTGCCATTTTATTTGAGCTTATCTGGTGAGGAAAGTCAGTGCTGCATACAGACATGTTATTATTTAATTTGAAAGATCTGAATCTTTAAAGTTGAGAGTCTGACAGGGGACACATTGATACAGGTTTTGATATAACTGTTGTTACTTGATCCTGCAGTCCTACAAGCCAAATATGAATTGATTTTTGGGATATGCATGTGGCAGGGTTTACCACTTATTTCTAATATCCATTTTCTCTTCTACATGTTTCCTACTTATCAGCTGGGACATGGCAACAAAGACAGCTTGTTCCAGATTTGCTTGCTGCATCTTATGTGGCCATGTGACTGAGTTCTGGCCACAGGCACATTTTCAGGAAGTTCCTAAAAGGGGGGCATGTCCGTCCCCTCCCCTTTTCTTTTTCCTGCCAGCTGAAATGTGAACCGCAAAGGTGGAGCTTGTGAATAGCAGATAAATAAGGTGGGTGTTGAGCTCCCTCTAATGGGAATAGCTACTCTTACTGCCTATTGAATCTACAATAATAAAAACATAATATGCTAATTAGTCCGGGCACCCTTCTGAATAAAGATGGGGCTGCAAGGGAAGACTGGGTCCTGAGTGCCAGAGGGAAGCTGGTGCCAGCAGCCAGGGGAAGAAAGGCCCATTCTTGCACGAATTTTGTGCATCAGCCTCTAGTTTTTAAATAAGAAACAAACTTCTATCTTGCTTGAGTGTTATTGTTTTGGCTTTTCTGTTGCTAGAGTCTTAACTGAATTCTTCAATAAAGTGTAGTTTCAGCATCCCCCCTAATTGTTTGCATTAGTATAATATTTAGATAGAATAATTCAGTAGGTACCTTTCAGCTGTGCTAACTTTTGCCCGTAGTGCAGTGATTTTTCATACTAGTTCATTCTTCCAAGTCTTATGTCAAAGCTTAATATTTATAATAAATAAAGCAGGGCTGCTCTGGTGGAAACAGAATTGGAGGCTCTAGAGTCACCCTCTCAGCCCTACCTACCAATTTCTGAGGAGCCTCCTGAGCTGCTGTTTGGAAACCAGTCTGTTCCTGGTTTTGAAGATTATAGTCTCAAATTGTATGTTAAATATACTTTTTAATTACTAGTAAAATAAAAAGAATATCTAATTCTTGTGAAAATCAGGAAACACTCCTTCAAACCTTTATGTTGTTCTAAATAAGAAAGGAACAAGCCTATCATTTCCTGACATTATAATTTAGTGCCAAGGAAAATGTAATCTCATTTATAACTTTTTCCCACTACAACTAATTAAAGAAAGAAAGCACCCATGGTCAGAAAATCAAGTAGTACAGAAGGGCAACAAATAAATGCAAATCTTATCCCATTCTCAGTTTTGTTCCCCAGGAGCAAACATTTTCAACTGCTTGGTTTTGTGTTTTGGGATATTTACCTCTAAATATGCTTAGCGCTTACCTTGTTTCTTGACATAGTAACTTTCTAATTAGCTGTTGACTTCCTTCTGTGAAAAATGAAGATTTAACTCAACCTCCCCCCTCCCCATATATAGTTTGAGCCTGTTCTTTGTCCAATTGATGGTAATATTAAAGGCTTAGCATAAACCTCCATTTTTTTTTTAATCAATGACCTGTTGTAACTGTTAATTTCCTCTATTCGTAAGTTGTTCAGCTCATAGTAACAGAAAATCCTTTAAATAATAGATTTCAATAAATCTGAAAGTGGGTGATTGCTGGTGTTGATGTAGTCACCAAACAGTTCCTTAGAAAGCTGGGTCCTGTCCCCATGCTCATTGCCTCAAGGTCATGACTGTCACAGCCGAAGAAATCACAGGAGACTTTTGCTTCTACTTACATCTCATTAGCCAAAATAGTGTCACCCAGGGGTAAGAAAGTCTGGGAAAACAGGTTATTAAGGAAGGCACACTGCTGCCTTGAATAAAAGAGATTTTGTTAGTAAGGAAAAGGGACACTGGGTAGGCATCGAGCAGTGCCTTCCACATACTTCTCATGTGGGGCTTTCTGTAGGGTACGCCAGCCCCTGTGGTGGCCAATGCTCTTGGCATCCTTTGGTCCAGACCGCCCTTTAAAGCAACTTTTTTTTTTTTTTAAATATATATTTTATTGATTTTTTTTACAGAGAGGAAGAGAGAGAGTTAGACATCGATATAAGAGAAACATTTGATCAGCTGCCTCCTGCACACTCCCTACTGGGGATGTGCCCGCAACCAACGTACATGCCCAGGACCTTTCAGTCTGCAGGGTGACGCTCTATCCACTGAGCCAAACTGATTTCGGCTAAAGCAACTTTTTATGCAAAGCCTTTAAAGCAAGTAGTTCAGTGAGGGTGAAGACTGGTGTACTAACACACTGCGGACGGATCATGAGAATTCTCACGTTTTCTAAGGCTTGTGGTCAATCACAAGAATTCTTTAAAAAAGATATTAGCTTGTAAGAACATGTAATAAATAACTTCAAAATGCAATGGGTATTTAATTTTAAAGTGTCCCTTTAACATTTATGTAAAATGTTTTTTGTACTCGTTCGATAGAAACTTATCTGGCCACTGGGTAAAGCTAGAAAGAAAACTACTGGTCCTCAATGTGTTAATTATGTATCCTTTGATATGATTAGGGGGTTGGATTTAGAATATTCAGAGCAGTGGTTCTACCCACAAGGGATAGTGCTTTGTAGTATGGGAGAGAAGGATTGATTGACACAATGATTGGCTATTTTAGTGGGCAGAGCCTCGGGGTACCAGGCCAAGGAGAGGACAGGACCAAAAATTGTCATGTATGTCTAATAATTCCCATATATCTCATGAATAGTTATATACATAAAATAATTTTTATCATGAGAAAGAAAGAGCAATCCCTGGAAACACCTGTTCTGACAGCCAGGCTGTGGTGGTCTCCTGTTGAACATAATTTTATATACCATCAACATCTGACAGAGCCATTCTGACCATGAGGGTACAAGAAAAAATAAGGACCCTGTGATCATGATGGTAAGTGCTGTGCAAACTTCAAAAAAGACTGAAAACCCCCTCCCCTGGCTTACATGAGTGGCTGCTGCTCTACTAAATACAGCTTCAGACTCCTGTTCTTCCTACTTTCTAGATGAAAATTAGTAGGATACCTCTCAGGCTTGCTTTACTTTCTGAAAGCACCCAATCCAACTATGATCCATGGAGCCAACCTTTTGTTAAGTCACAGAGACCCACCTATAAGCCCATATCCTTTAAATAAGCCCTTAGCACCCTCTATGAGAAACCCTCGATGTGGTCTTTCTTGTGCAAAAGGTTCTAATAAGCGCAACTCTTCAACTACGGATCTATTCCCCACGGTCTCTAGCTTGTGAGCATTGACAGTTATCTGAGCCTACACTGTCAGTCCCATTGTACATATAAAAACTCCATTTTACATTTTTAGTTGCAGATTTGCAATATTTGACATCAAAAGCAACTATCGGGTTAAAGGTTATACTCTATTCAGTACTTTACCAAGAGTTTCCTCTCATTTTTAAAACTCACCAATGACAACCTTGCTCATGGCCTTTGAATTGCAAATCAGACCTGCTGCAGTTGCATTGTCCATTTGTAGGGCCACACTCCTGGTAATTACGTTCTCATAAAAGCACCTGACTGTCTTATTGCATCTTCAGTAGCTGTGGCCATTTACTTTTACATTGAACTACATATTTCTATAAGTTGCT